AGCAGGACCCCCTCCGGCCGCTTTCCCCGCCTGTGCACTTTTCCCTTCCCTTTCCTTCTCTTCCCGGGAGCTCTCGGGACAGCTGCAGCCGCCCTCCTGCACGTAACGGGGTCCAGCCAGTACCTGCCCGGCTCCCCATCCTCGGTACGCGGGGCGGAACCGCTGACCCATTGAAATGGATCCATTGCTGATCCATTCGCTACACTGCAAGGAAGAGGGGTGCCACTTAGAGACACAAAACCACAGGGGAACAGTCCAGGTGCTTCACAAGCCAAAGATCAATCGCAGACCTTTAACAATATTTCATGCTCTACAGAATCACAGAATCAATCAGGTTGGAAACACTTCTGATATTATTAAGTGTAACCCATGACCCAACACCACCATGTCAACTTCTGTGAAGAAATTCCTACTAATGCCCAACCTAAACCTCGCCTGGCACAGTTTAAGGTTATGTTCCTCCTCCTGTCAGTTGTTGCCTGTGAGAAGAAGCTGACCCCCACCTGGCTACAACCTCTTCAGGTAGTTGTAGAGAGGGATAAGGTCACATCTAAGCCTCCTCCAGGCTAAACAACCCCAGCTCCTTCAGCTGCCCTTCAATTACTCTTTAATTAAGGAAGACAAGCTGGAGAACTAATATACTATCATAAAATTTCAATTGCAGAAAATGCAATGGAAGTTGTACATAGCAATAACTATTTCAGCTTTTAAACTGGAGTTAATTTCTATATGCTTTGACCAAAACGCTTGTCTTTAAAATAAAATAAATCACATTTCTAATAAATTTCAAATGCAAACTCCACTGAGATATCCATGAATCACATCAGTTACAACCCCTTGCCTGGAATTCTCAAAATCACGTAAGAGGCAGAGCAGTCCAAGGCTCCTCCAAAGCAGAGGATGTTTAGCTTGCAAGGGACCTCAAGATGTCACTAGGCCTGCTCAAAGTAGCCCTAACTTCAAGTTTTAGATGAGGTAGTCCAGGGCCTCATCATACATCACTTCTTACACATCATTTAACTCCAATTATTTTTTTTCAAACTTTGATTTTAGTACATTCTGTTGCTATGATTAATCCTGGACAAAACCATAATCTTAATGGAACAGACACACCCATCATATTATACAAGACATTACAGTTTGGATTAAAATAATATGTAAAACCACCACTAAGCCAATCAGTTGGAAGGAAACATGGCCAGCTGGTAATTTTTAACTAGCACTGGTTTTACACCTACCACAGGATTTTCATTCTTTGTGACTATTGGTGAAAATCATACAATAAAACTCTCTTAAACTGCTTATTCAAGTTGATGGATCATAGTTCTTTCAGTCACAGTTACCTTTGAAAACAGGTTTGTGACATGAACAGAAAGTACATTTCTGCAGTTAAACTTTTTTTTTTTTTTTTTTAGCACAAATTGGACTTTAGGCCACAGTTCTTTAAGGCTCTGGGAACAAGTTGATTTTTACTTTTGATCTCCGTTTTCTCTGCAGGCTGGAATTCTGAAAAAGGGACTATTAAGTCTATAGGTGGAATTTCAGTGATTTTATGAGATGTTTTTGGTCTAGTATATCTCAAACCAGAATGGAAGTTTAGCACATGTTTTCTGACTGTACACTACACACTTCTATCTGGGTATTCTTGCTTTCTCTTTTTGCATTACTCAGAAGTGACCCAAGTAGGCTTAAAAGCTACATAACCTTTTTTTTTAATCAAGTCAGACTGCCTAAAAACTGTAAATAACAAGTCCTTTTATGTTTGAATGCATTGCAAATGACATAAAACAATGCAATATCATGGCTAAAGAAAGATGTATGTACAGCTTATTTTCTGGTCAATAATATCTCTGCTGCCCATAACCATCTATGACAAGCAATGATTCTCTGTTGCACACATCTCCATTGATCTGCAACCAAATCTTCTAAACCATGGGGAGAACTATTTGGCTTTTTCTATTAAAGATCTAAGGAAAATTGGCATTATCTGTGCTATTGAAGCATTCGCCTACGATGATTGTAACATTAACAAAGAACAAAAAGAGACTTTGCCTCGGCAGCAAAATAACTAAAGAACTCTCAGCTGCCACTGGTTCCACTGGAAGTACCCAGAATGCAGCAAAATGATCAATTGTATTTACTAAGACTTCAAACTTAGTAGCACAAAGCAAAGATGCCTCTGAAAAAATCAGCATTGAGGCCCCTTCCCAAGAGTGCAGCTTGAGCTAATAACAAAATTACACATCTAAACAAAATTCCTCCACACCACCATGTCCAACTCAGTCCTGTGAATGAACTGGCTGAATACAGAAGTATTTCATTGCTTCGTGTGCATTTAGAATAATTTCCAGTGAAATCTTTTGTGGAAAACAGTAGTGGGGAGGTAGGAATCAAATGACCAGAGCTAATGTTTTTAGCCAGATTCTCGAACTGCTGCGAGCTAATGGAAGGGCAAAAGTGGCTGTGGGGACTCTGCTTGTCTGTGGGCTCTTTTGTCCTTCTCACAACAGTCTCTTTTTTCCCAAGTAGTAGAGAATGCATAATATCCAAAAGTCACGGGTATCAATATCCTGCATTCTACAGCTGGTTTTGGTTGCTACTCTCCCTTCTTGCTTAAAGCTAAAAACCTTTTTTTTTTCCTTCCCTTTTCTGAGCAGCTGTTCCCAGATGGAGGAGAAAGTAAAAACTCAGCGATTCCTATAAAAACCAAAATCTCATGTAATAAAAATTTGTGATAATATGGTTAAAAATTCTCTACCAAATCTTTCAATCACTCAGCACAAATTCCTTCTTAGACTTGGAAGTTGTATCTCCATCCATAGTTCATATTTCTAGCACTGAATTCTCTCCCAAGGGAGATTGACCTTGACTGCAAAAGAAATTATGAAAACAGCTCACTTTTGGGCCAGAAAACATGCATCAGGTTTGGAGGATATTCAGCTAAGTCAGACAATCAGCTATTGCAATATCCCACTGCTGTTACAGACAGCCATCGCCCACTGTTGGGAAATGAGGATGAGCTATGAGGAACCAACACTGTGCTAAAAGAGGGCCCAGAACAGAAATCCTCAATGGGAAGGTCTTCTGGAACTTCATCTGACAGATACTTGAAGGCAGAAAACCAGATCTTTTGAAAGTACCCAGTTATTCAAAGTTGTCTCACTTCCATGGGGGTGGTTTATCTATAGGATGAACGTCTAGTGTAAGACAGAGGAAGAAAGATTCCAGAATGAAACCTCCTGAACGAAAGTAGGAAGTGTGAAATGGATGTGGACACTTTGAGCAAGGGCATGAACGTTCCCACTGGTGTCAGGGATCACAAAAATTCTGTTCTGATAGAATCTCCTGTATTATAACATGCCATAGTTTCAAATGATCTGGCTAGGCTCAAGTGAGAGGTTATCAGCTGATAAGACAGCAACCCCAGGCTGTAAAACTGAATTGAAATTGCATCAAATCTATCAATTGTTACTAATAATGACCTTGTTCAAGGCAACTGTTAAATCACTAGGCCTTGAGAAATGTGACAAAAATTCATGAAACACAAAGTTCTGAAGGCAAAATCTGTATTTCTAGTCCCATTTTATGGATGAGGAAAGTTAAGCACCGAGTCACAAAGATGCCTGCTTTTATGTCTTGCACACATGCTCAGGGCTAAACCAATAATTAGATTTGGAGTCAGGAAAGACTCTGCCCCTTAGTAAGACAGGAAAAGACCCCTGCGTGTAGCATTCTTTGGGTTTAATTTGCTGCTTTCTGTAGACACACACTCTACTTCCTAAGGTCGTGCAGGCAGTACCAGTGGGTGCCACCTCCAGAACAATTCCACCCCCCTGGCTGCTCCTCTCTGGTGAGTGGCAAAGAGCACACAGCAAGCTGTCCTGGCAGCCACTGCCTCCTGCGGTGTCTGCACATTTACTGGCACTTCTGGAGTAGCTGCTGCTGTGTCCAGATGGGACTTGAAAGTGGAATTAAATGCAGGAATTCTGCTTTGACACTGGCAGCCACCACTTCTATATCCAGCTGCTTTGCCACAAGCCCTTAAACTGAGCATCCAGCCCTAAATGCTGACTAAGCCAGACCTTGCAGAAACCCTTCTGCTGCACTGGCAGTCATGTTTCCCTCCTGTTCACTTCTTTTTATCACTGTGATCTTTGAGCTTGCTTTCTTAAAATTCTCAAGTCTGTCTTCAGGTATTTGGATATGTTTTGAGGCTTGTAGAGTTCAGAGAGTAGAGAGTGAATGGTCTCCTGACCTTTCTGGATGACTTAATCTCTTCTACAGGAAATTGCACTTAATGACCAAAGAAGCTTCAGTCCTATATTCCTAAAGGCTCAAGTTAGCATCAGATGTAGGAGTAAGTTAAGGTGAAAAGGAAATGACTGAAATAAGCCAAACAGTCATTATATGAAAATTACCTCTGATCACCATCAAATTAACAACTTATCAGTGATGTATGGATGCAAATCTTCATATAATATTACCACTCCCCAGACCTCACACTTCCCTGTATTGTATACAGGCCTTCTACTGGCAGAGAATTTTTGCAGTCAAATATCAAGTTTCTGTGTTTCTGTTCAGTTTTGCATCTGTTTATTCATATGAATATAATAAAGGAACAGAAAGTTCTCTGAGATTGTTCAACTCCCTGATGTGCCACCAAACCCACTCCTCCCTGCTCCAAAAAGCGCATTGGATTGACTCACCCTGTAGCCACTTGTCACCTCTGAGAAATGAGGCAGCAGGGCAGGACTGCATCTTTCAGCAGCAGTCTTCTGTTACCCCGGATTAGGTGTAATGTGAAACTGCACTTTTAGAGAAAAGTAGATTTATGATGCAAAGAAAATTAAGAATTGCATGGATGAGTCATTTTACAATAAAAATTCTGTTGAACTAGAAATATTCTGAACCAACAACTGTATCCCCAAAGTTATGTATGTTTTATTATCTAACAACAATTTAATAACTTATAATGTTCAATTTTAAAATAATACATTTAGGCAATATAGAGATTTCACCTTGAACAACTATGAAAAATGCAAACCCAGATCCCCCCAGTGCAGTTTAAATAAATGCAAGAAATGCTAATAAAGTAACATCTTTACAAAAGTTTCCCAGTTTTAGTTCTCCTCAGCCCTTTCTTATTGCAGCACAATCCTTTCCAGCCAGCCAGCTTGTCATTTTCCTTCTGCAGGAAAATCCGGGGGAGGGAGGGGGTGGAGGAACAACCCGAACCTGATTTAACAGTCTACTCTGCAATTCAACAGCGTACTGTGGCAATGTCTGCAAAATTAATCCTAGCACACTGAGGGACCCCTCACTGAGCATAACCTGCCTTAAACCCTTTCCCATTTAACTGAGGGAGAGCTATTTGCTCAAGCACCTCATGATGACATCATTTGTTATTTGAGGCCAAAAGCTGAGGGTAATTAAAGCTGAAGGAAATGCTTTGAAAATTTTTGCAATTAAAATGCATAGAGACACTAGTAACAGATACTGTTGGAGAACAATAGGAACATGGCTGGAAGAATTAAAAAAAAAAATCTTACTGTTGTGCAACCATTGAGGAAGAAGATTGGAAAGCCCTTTGTCAACAGCACCTCATTCTACTCCCACCGGGGGAAAATACACACACACAAAGAAAATACCAAGGCTAGAGGCATATGGGAATTGCAATTTTTGTTTATATGAGAGATATTTCCCAAAATATTCTAGTGTAATTTTAAAACATTTTAGAACAGATTTACAAAAGAATGCACAGCAATTCTACATGATTGGGCTAAAAAAAAAAAAAACAAAAACAAACCAGAGAAAGGGCCCTGCTAGGAATGACAATTGTTGCTGGCAGCCCTGCCTCTCAAACAAACAAACTCAAGGTTTTGTTTATCTAGAGTCTGGCACATTATTTTAAAACACAAATTTGAAGCAGTTGGATATCAGGATTGAGTTAGCTGCTTATTTTTGGAAATAATAAGATGAATATGCAGATAATAAAAGACTGGAATGAACAAGATTTGTTAACACTTCCATGGAAAGTTAAAGCCTGTTAATATGGTCAGTTACAACAGATAATTATTGTTTCTAATTAGACTGTAATAGTAGCAACCACTGAAAACACCACTCCTAAACTGGAATTTACATGTAACCAACTTATGCCTTGAAGTCTCCAGCCTTAGCTGGTGCCTCCTGAGAATGCTGCCCTGGAACTTCCTTTCTCTGCCAAAACTAATTAGAGCAATTTGCAGAAATAGTCAGATAACCACATCCTGTAGCACAGAATAAGATGCATCTCTACAGTGAGAGAATTGCATTGCACTGTATGTCTCAATCCAAATACCTTACCTGGGAACTTACAAATATTTGAATCCTGACAGAAATTTAAGTGGCCACTGTAATATTTTTTACTATTTTACTCTGACTGAATGCTTTGAAATGCAAGAGAAACGGTTAAAAAATCCACAGTATTTAAACAACACGAAGTAATTTCTTATCCTTCTAATATGACAAAACAATGAAAAATTAAAATCCTGGTGGCAATAAGTGCTCCTGCCTGGCAACATTTGCATTGACAACACTGTATTTATTATCTCAGAAGAATTATATCAGTAGATGTAATACTGGAAATCATTCTAAGTTTTATACCATAATGAGGAGTGGTTTTTTAGGATTACTGGCTACTTTGCCAAATGGTTTCACAGAATTATTTTGGTTGGAAAAGACCTCTAAGATCGAGTCCATTTTGCCAAGCAGAACACCACCTTGTCAGCCAGGCCATGGCACGAAGTGCCACATCCAGTTGTTTCTTGAGCACAGCCGAGGATGGTGACTCCACCTCCCTGGGCAGCCCATTCCAATGGTTAACGACCCTTCCTGTGAATAAATTCCTCCTGAGAACTCCTTTCTCAAATATAGAAATAATCGAGGCAAGATTTTAAAAGACTGGCTGTTCAGACCATCAAAAACATTAAGCACCCACTGATTTTCACTGTGTTCTGTTCATTATTGACCACTCGGAGCTTTTGCCAATCAGCCTGACCTGAAGCACGTGTGTGCAGGCGGAATAAATTCAGACACCGAGTCTGAACAGTTCAAAGGGGCAGTGATTCCCCGTGGGAGGGTCCTGCCGTGCCCACAGCCCCGCTCGGGAATGCCGGATTAAATCCCATGAAGGTGCAGAACTGTAAATAGCAACTCCAACCAGCAGAGGGCAGAAGCAGCCCAGCACTTTTATAGGCAGTTCAACTACAGACTGGCTCAAAATTTATGACTTGAAAGCCTAATTTAATATGAGAAAGCAAAATAAATAGCCAACAATCGTTACTGCAGAATACTTCATCTGTTGTCTTCTTAATTTCCTTAATATAGCATCGTTCATAGAAACTGAATCCCAAGGTATTTTGGAGTATTACTGTGATCCATGCAATACAATCACAAAGGTTAAAAGTGTGAAATCTATCATTAAAAGATATATATTCCTTTTCATTTAATATATAAAACTTTGTTTTGTTATACACAGACAAAAGACTGCCACAGAATCTAGAAATCGTGGACAGACATTTAAAACCTTAGAAGGAGTAAAATGAATGACATGGACTGCTAAAATAAAAATTCAGTGCTAAAAGAGCAAGAAAGGATTAGAAGAAAAAAGGTACAATAATTGAGTTGGTGCAAGGTTATGGAGGGGTTTTTAAAGGTCACAATGAGATAATGAGTTTGAAACATATGCAATTTAAAAATGGCAAATTCACAAAATTTTATAGTGATTAATAACAAGACTAATAACATAGATAATTTTTAATGAAGAGGACTATCTTATACCACCTGCTAACTTTTGTCCTTTTTTTGCTCCAAATTGCACAAGATCAAAGAAAAGAGTGACAGACTATACTCCTTGGGTTCTTGAGCCATCACAGTGGTAGAGGAAAACTGGTTAAGGGGGTAGGAAAGGAAAAACACTGGAATGTAAATCCAGAGAGAAGGAATATTCATTTCCCTTAAAATCTAGGTATTGTATCAGTTTTACCTCTACACACAGCAGATCCTTCCAACATCCTGAGCCAGAGGACCCTGCTTGAAAATGGATGTGAAAAGCATTACTGGTGCCTGTGTGAATCCACAGACGTTCTCTTTGCTCCAGGCACTGGAATTTACACCCACCAATTCACAACACAGATCAAAACACACCTGCAAATCCCATCTTTCATTGCTTTTTTGTTCCTTCTTTTATCTTTTTGTCTTCTTATTATTAAAGCACAGGCAATGCATTACTTACTGTCACTCTAACACCATCCCCACAGCACACCCATATGATCCAATCTAAAACGTACCCAGGGATATGAAAGTCACCGGCAATTACACCACAGCTACACCAAAGCTGTGGATCCCTGAGCATTTCTGATCATGTTCTTACCTCACTGCTTAATAAACAGCGTCCTGCAAAAAAACAAATGTGAGAAGAAATCCCATTTATTGCTGCTTCTAAACTCCACAAACACTGAGCGGTGTTCCAGTTGGCTTGTCAATCTACGAAAGCAAAGCCACAGTGCTGTGCTAACACAGCACTGCCTGGAACTCTCCTGACAATACAGCTGGCCCCACCTGTACAAGCTTTGGGTGCCCAAAACAGAAAGATCAGTCTTCCAGGTTTTCTGTCTAACCCTTTCCCCTCACGTCACACAAGTCAAAGCACTGTTTCCCCATAAAGGAATCTAGAACCGAAGGCTCTTTAGCAGCCCTGGATTCCCCTCCCTCACCAACAATCCTGTCTGACCACATGAACTCCCTTTGTAATGCAATCAGCTGGGATCCTGACACCCCCACACCCCCCAAGAGGCTGAGCAGCCCCAGCATTCCCTCACACAATGATCATTTCCACTTTGTAAGCAGAAATGTGAAGTTAAAACTTCTCCTTTGATTTGCCAATGCCTTTACTTTGGGAAGAACAACCTAAGCCAGGACAAAGCAAATAATACAGCGACACTTTTAAACTTTGTGCCCCTCAGCACTATGTGGGACACCCTCGGTAGTTCACACCAACCGGTCACGCTGCTGGTAACATCTGCTAATTGAGAGCTGGATACCGGGGCTGCTGCTATAATTATTCTGCCACTATTCTACTCCTTCTCTTCAATTCCTTTGTCAGACTTCCCGTCACTTGAGACCAGTTCCATTATTGGAGACATCAGGCGTATTGAGGTGTTTGCCAGATAATAGAGTGGGGTTCTTAGGCATCAATCTGCACAGATTAGTCTAACCTAACAAGGTTTCCAGCAGTAAAGCAGACAATAGTTTCAGATTACCTGCAATAAGGTTAAGCTATGGGCAATACATGTTTTGAGGTGTGAAGGAAAACAAAACAGAAGAATGCATTTCCAATATTGGCTTCACCAGAACAGGTAGGTATCTGAATTGATATTTCAATTTCTCTAAAAACTATTCCTAATGGGTTTGGCTCATATGGTTGCTTTATTTGTGAATGTCCTCTTAAATATTTTGGAATGCAGGATACAACAGAAGTTCAGTTAGGAATGTTGTTTCTCAAATCCAACAAAACACAGAAAATTAACATTTCAATATTGGATAAAAGCTTGTTATTTTCACATTAAGATTTCCCAGAGAAATGCAAACAATACATGATTTTAAGGATTCTATGTTAAAAAAATGAAGGCAATGAGTCAGTGAAGTTAAAGACATGAAATGGCCACCACCTGTTCTAAAGTAATGCATCTTTTTCAGCAATATTTTTCATAAAATATAGGAATGTTTTTATTTAAACTCCCATAGCTCAACCTATCATCCAAAATGCTAAGTAAGGACTGAAGGCAGATCATCCTTCCCTTTAGCTTTTCCTAGTATGAGATTACATAAAATGATTTTTGTTCCATTGTCCCATTTTCTCAAACTTACCTTTCATTCTGTAAGACAGCAGATATCAGGGATAAAAGCATGGAGGAAGGAAGAGCAATACTGTGCCTGTTCATGACAGAATTTATGGATTTAGGCAGGATTTATGTCTAGTAAGAAACACAGGCTGAAGCCTCACTGAAGGACCTCAGCACTTCAGTTGGGTGGGTTTGTTTTATGTGTATAAGGCTCTCTCCTTGACTTCAGGCTGAATATCAAATATGAGGATAATTAACTTGCATGTAATGTTTGATAAAAATGAATCCCACACCCTAAAATTAATGGCAATGATGTGGATATCTGGTCTGGTCCCAACTGATTTGATCCTGTGAAACACTACATTCTGGCATTAAAAGATAATAGGGCAACTTCCATAACTGGAACACTTACACTGACAAGAGAGGAGATATCCAAGTTGAAGTATTAAATAGGCAAATATCCTAAATTAATTAAAATTATATATAAAGATTATAATTTTCAGCTTCTTTTAACTGGACAATTGTTCAAACTAAACAGTCAGTTGAATATTACGCCTTCCATTTGAGATAGTTTTCATAAAGAATATAATTCTTTATAGAAAACTATCATATTCTTTATAAATAAACTATTTAAATTCCAGTGTAACACATAGTCTCTTTCTGGCAGCAAAATCTATTTTGCATATTAGGTATTTCATACTCTAAACAGACTTTTTTAAAAATCTTCAAGTTTTGTCAAATCATCTCCAGTTAAGCTGTAGCAATTCACAGTAGCTGAAAATCTTGTACGACCTAGAGTTTGTATTTCTTTAAACGGCAAAAATATCTAAACTTCCTTGAAAACACTTATTCAAATATATAGGAATAGTTCCCTTTTTCCACAAAAAGTAGATTGTGATAATACTTCAAATATTTACAGTTTATTTGAATGAAAATTATAATAAACTTTCAAATCTGAGCATAAAATCATAATTACTATGTCATTACTTAATACAGGCTATTAATAATTCTTCGTGCTCTGCTACAGTACTGTGACACCAAACCATCCTTCTTTCTACTCTAGCAGGCTGGAGGTGAAAGTGTTTTTCACCATTAGAAACTGAGATTCTCTGTGTGATCTTTTCAGCTTTGCACGACGGTTCTGGAACCAGATCTAAAAGGAAAAGAGAAGGCAGGCTTTTCAGAAAGCACAGGAAGCAGAACAGTACTTGAAACAAACATATTCACACAGCATTTACAATATTTTGTGTGATGACAGCTCTCTGGAAGTTCAGTACAAATTTCAAAGCTGCAGATGATGGCATGCAGCTCCTGGCTGTCATACTGAGCGCACACACAGAGAAAATAATATCCCCAGCTTAACTGCAAAGTGAGGAGCAGCTTCAGTGCAATTCATGTAAAAACTGTTATTAATTTGACTGACAGGATCTCAAACATCTGGAATTCCGTCTTCAGTTGCAACATCAAGTTTCCAATCAACCCCAATATAATACTTGCATCCAAAGCTTGATAAACATCAAGGTGTAGCCCGAATTCTGATGTCTACAATATTCTTATCATATTGGGCTACGTGGAAATCAACAGTCAATATCCCTGAGCAGACCTTGCTTTAGGTCAGATGAAGACAGAGGTTCAAACACTGATTTAACAAATCTGTGCTCTACTGACAGTCTCAGACAGTCATACAAATTATTTCAATATCTGTTCCATATTTGTTTTTCAAATAAGGTGAGAAGCATTAATATAAACATGATTTTCAAATATGGAAGTAAATGATCAAGTTCTGTACATGACAATTAGAGATTAAGAGAGCAGATATCATGGGAGTGTTATAGTGATTATTGCCTCACCAATGCTATGCAATAAGGTTTTAGATTTCAGAAGGAATGAAATGGCTTCTATTTCACAAATCATTGAGGGCACATTACATATATGTCCATTGATTTACACTGAGCTTACCAACATCGTTGCTACTGCTGTAAAACTACTTATTTATATAACCATAGAGTACATATAAATGGAATTACAGAAAAGTTCAAATACATTTTTAATTACCTGGATCCTGTCTTCATCTAAGTCTAATTTGCGAGCTAGCTCTTCTCTTATATCAATGCCAGGGTAGGAGTTCATTTTAAAAACGTTTTCCAAGACTTCAATCTGAGGAGTTTAAAACACACTTGTTGAATAGTTAGCACTACTTTCACAGCAGTAATACAGAAAATAAATACAGAAAAACAGGTTTAGTTTGTTCAACAGGAGACTTCAAAGCTGGGTTTGCACAATTCTGATCCATGCATAAACACAGGTCTGCTGGAATTAGCAACATTCCTGCTAATTTACACTAGTTCCTGATTGCATTTCTCTCTGCAGAGGTACCTCACACTGCATCAGTCTACTGTTTCAGGCTTCTACCAACATTCCACTCAACTTCATTGTTGCTCTTTTGTTAAATACTGAGAAAAGCCCTACCTGGTTTCTAGTGAATGCAGTTCTTGGTCTTCTACCCCTGTACCAGCTCAATTCCCGTTTGAAAGACAGCCTTTCAGTGACTGAAAAATATTTTTCATATTTCCAAACTTTTTCCTCTTGCACTGGATCACTGTTAGCATGAAATAATGGATTGTCATAGCAAACAACAGGGATTTGCAGATGGGGATTACTGTCATCACCTAAAACTAGAAAGAGCAAGCAAAGGAGAGCTTCAATTTACTGGTTTCCAATATAAACATGCAAATATTCTTAGAGTAAGAGTCTGAGAGGTTACAAACCAGCCTGACTTACCCAAGCTGGTGCACGCATCCATCCAGGGTCTGTGAGGTTTCACAGCTGGAATGCCATCTTTTTTCTGCTCCAGTCCCAAAATACTTTCAATCGAAAACGAGCACTGGGTGGTTTTATTCCCTACGAAGGCAGACACTCTGTGGAGGTTCTGAGGCGCTGCTGCTGCGGTGGCAGCACACAGCGATGGCCCAGCCACGCTCTCCCCCTCGGCCAGCATCGCAGGGACGCTGCACTCGCATTTCTCCACAAGCCCTTATAGCTGTGTTGACAAGGGGGTTGGATTTGCAACGTCATTAATTAAAATCTTTTATTAGAAAGTTTTAGCATGTCAATGAAAACTCTCCCACCAAGAGGCACGAGGAGTTAATTGTTTATTTGTTTGCGAGTAATTAGCAACTAATGGTGACACTAGGGGGGCCACCAAGGGGGACAAAAAGTGTTATCTCTCCTAACCAGAGCATCGACTTAACTTTCTCAAAAGAAGCTGTGCACAAATATAGTACTTGTCTTTTATTTGAAATCATTAATGTATAAAATCAGTTTTTTAAAAAACTTTATACTCTAATGGACTCCACTTACCTAAACATAGCAGCATGATAGGAAACCAGTCAAGTAATAAGTAATCTCATTTAAGTGAATTTCCTTCCAAGGAAATTTAAAAAATAATCTCTTAATGCTATTAGGGTAATCCCGATGAAAATGCCTCTGTTTTTTCATATGCATATGTAATGGTGAACGTGGTCAATAAAACAACAATAGCTTTTGGCATAAGGCACTGTGCAGTGGGTTGGCAATGTTGTCAAAGCTCAGTGTAATTGCCTTCCAAGTGCCTGGATTAGTTAATAGGAACAGTTGCACCAACTATTTTAAATAATTCATGCATTCATTTTCCTTATTAAAATAACTTTGTTGCAGCTTTTCTGAAACATACCAGATGTGACATTTCCTGATAATTCTTCACAACATAAAAGCAAAACTTAAAGTAAAGGAAGCAGTACACTCAGAATCACTGGTTTAAAAACACCCTTTTTCTGGTGGATGTCCCTCCCTTCCTGTAGGTTTATAGCCAATAGAAGTATATTTAAATCCTACAGAGCAAACACTTAAAATTACAAAAAAATATATGAGTGATGAGTGGAAAGGAGATAAAGGCTTTGTAATGAGGCTCAAAGTCTGCAAACAGAATTCTGATCTCGTCCATTGTAAAGAAAGTATCGACTGTAACATTTTTATATTCAGGCTCATCCATCAGCCAACAATTTACATGTCACATGCTCAAAACCAGCTTTTGGTTCAGGACAACCTCTCTACAGAAATTCCTCCTTTTCTTATTTTGGGCAAAGCTTTATTTTATAACACGCAAAAATGAAAACTATATTTTGATTTCAGGATGCAAAAGTTCCCCCCTCTGGCTGGCCTGTCTTTGTGCTGTGCAATAAGCCTGTTGTCAAACCAAACTATTCAAAAGTGACAGTATGAGGAGTGATCTCACTGAGGGCACTTCTCAGCACACACCAGTGTATCGTGAGGGGGCATCGATCCACCTGCAGTGACCACCTGCAAGCTGAGCTGCAGCCTCCATTTGACAGCCTGGCAATCACAGGGGTAGATTCACAGGAAAGCCAGAAGGACCTGGGTGTGAAACCACAGCTTGCTGGAGGAGTTGGAGAGCTGGAGGTCACTGGGAAGGAGAGTTAAGCGAGGGCTTTACAGCCCTTTAAGTCTCAGTCCAGCAGTGCCCAACAAGGCAACCTCTGGCCCTAAGAAAGCAGTTCAGGGTGTCCAGCCTGCACACCAGGGGTTACTAAGGAGACCATGCAAAGCCTCCTGCATAGCAGGGGTAGGTAGAGCAGTTTTCTGCCTCTACAGTCTCTAAAGGGACCACCAGCTTTTAACTTTTTTTTTTTAAATCCTACAAAAGACATTAAGTCAAAAAGAAAACAATACATCTCCTTCTGTATTGAACTTGGAGCTGCTTACAGGTTTCTCTGTCCCAAAGAGGTAACAAGCATGATCACCAATAGAGAGAGACACTCTTCAATCCAGAAACCAACAGATAATAATAACTTTAATAATACAAAAACCCCTGTGAATGATTATAATACAAAGAGCTAGTTTCCAAACACAGCCCACTATTTTTCTTAAACAACTTAAAAAAACAACACACTGACACAAAACACATGGAAAAATGAATTTCCATAAAATAGGCCAAAGCCAGTGAACTCATTCACTTGGCACAGGCCAGGACCTCTCCAACACTGCCACCCAGTGTTTGGGCTCCCCAGCTGTTAAATTCCTTCAGCAATGTCATAGGAGTAAGAAACCATGTTACCATTAAATTAATCATATTATATTCATTGCCCAATGTTGAATTGAATCAGAGGTGGAGACTGCAATGCAGTCACAAACATATCAACACTGTTTTTTAAACAGAGTTCATGGCTGCAACTGCATATAGGAGCAGAAGTTTATTAAAAAAAAATCACATGAAAAGACAAATTATTCTAGAGATAAAAAGTCTGCATTATACCAAAATTCCATTATATGTGTGCAAGTGTCCAAGGTCAGACTGGATGGGGCGTCGAGTGACCTTATCCAGTGAAAAAAGTCCTAAAAGGCATTGGAACTGAATGACCTTTAAAGGGCCCTCCCAACCCAAACCATTCTAGGATTCTTAAACAACACATATGTAGAGATGAAGCCACTGGAAAGTCTGGCTGCAGGTCTCTCATGCAAGAGTTGCTGGGTTTCTTTGAAGAGAAGTTTGCTGGGCTGTAGAATAAAACTATTTGTTATCAAGACAAACAGTCAACAGGCTCTTCTGTAAGAAATCAGAACGAAAATACACTTTCCACAGGACAGAATACCTCAAGCTTTAGATTCAAAATTGGTATTATAGATTAAATTTCTAAGAATTCCCACTGAAAGTGTAAATGGACCTTGAGCCTTCCCTTCAAAACTGTATTTTGGTCCATTAGAGATTACCAATACTTGCCTGGCAGCCCATGAGAAATTACCTATAGACTGTTAGTTAAGTACCTTTGTAGGGGCAATTAGAGCAACATAACAAACATTCAGTTGAGAATCCTAAGTAATCAATTATAGGAGAACTCACTGCTCCTTGGATATGCAAATCCAATCCTCTTACAGCATCACATTCTTGATGAGGCAGCGAACTAATCTCCCTTTCAGACTTTGCACCACTGTTTTTTGCCCAGGGACAGCAGAGTTCATCTGTTTAGTAGATGAAGCTCTTGTTCTTTAGAGATGGTGAAGCCTCTGAGGGCTGTTTGCAGCAGCTCAAGAGACCACACCGAGAGCTCTTGGGGGCTTTGGTCTGAAACCCCAGTCCTTGCTCTTGCTGCCTTTTGCTCTTCTCACCCATTGCTCCTCACCTGCCGGGTCACCTTTCACTGGTCAACACTTTTCAGCTTTCTGAAAAGGTATAAATGGAATATATAACCTTCTCTTGATTACTTATCGCACTCCAAACATTTGTCTTTCATCTCACCTTTCCCACAGCTTCTTTACCCCACTGCTTGGGTGTTTTGCCACCTCAGAAGTTGTGCTGTGTAAAGCTCCCTTTCAAACATGTTTTGAACATGATGAACACACATTAAAGTCAACAGCAGCTTCATAAGTCAAAGGCCTTTTTTAAGCAAAAATGGTAACACAAATTTTCACAAAACTTGACCAAAAAGAGGTAGCTATTTGTTTTTGGCTGAAGCCAAAAAGCTTTTTTTGACTCAAGGAGATTAAGTGAAGACAGATAAATTCAAGGTAAATCCAAGGGTGCCACTAGCAAAAGTCTGAGAAACAGTGTGTTAAACATGCAGATAAAGCCTACCTTATCCACACAGCTCCTCTCACCCTCCAGCAGAGGCAAAATGTTCTCTCCACGAGGGAACACATCTGGAGTACTCTAAAGAGCTGTTGGCTGCTCTTCTCCCTGTTTAGGTAGTGCCAAGTGTTGGTTCCTCTCATTTTTAAGGCCTCTTAGCAGATATTTTGCAGAAAGAACAAAAAACCCCCACCAGTCCCACAAATCAAAGAACCCAAATCCCAACATAAATCGCACAATAAGAAAAAACCTAAAATGCTGAAAACAGTGTAACACTAAAAACGTACTTATTAAAGGGTGCAGAGGGATTCTTCAACTCATTATTATCAGATGTCATCTGATGGTGTCAAATGTATAGCTCAAATAAAACTTTGGGATACGTTGTAGCATTTGTAAAAACGCGCACAAAAGGTAAGGACAAGACAAGTAACACACAGAATGTGTCAGCATAAAGGACATATTAAAAAAGCTGGGAAGCCCTGGTACACTTCAGAATTATTAGAAAGGCCACCCACTAAACCAAATCATTAAACTGAATTACTAAGGTCAACAGAAACAAGACACATTTCTATGTTACATGCCAGCAGGGATAATAAAGCACATTTCTGCATATTAAAGGGCATGTTTGTTAGGGTATTGTTTTTTCCTCCACAAAACATTTAATTCTCAAAAGGCTGTTCTCTACTGATAGCAGCTAAGAAATGTTATTTTTTTTTCTCTGCCACTTACAGCTGCAAAGATACAAAGCTAACCAAACCCAATTCCATTTAAAGTGGCTACCTTCCTGAATTTTACTGGGGAAATGCATCTTACAGCACAAAACAGAGCTGTTTCTTACAGGAGAGTGCTGTAAAACTCAGGCACAAGTTCACTGATCTCAACACCAGAAAGCAGGTCACGGGCCAATGCTCTGTCACATAATTACAGATACAAGACTTAGTCTTCACATACCTTGTAAGATAACTCTGAGTTATTACCCTCATATGACAAGGAAAGAAAGAGGTGACTTGCTTTGGTCAGGTGAGTCACAGCTGAGCTGGTAAATGAATTGACTGAACAGAGTAGTAGCTTGGAAACTTCTTCCCCACTCCCTACAGGAAAACAAACAAATAAAACACTCCCCACCAAAAAACCCCAAACTATCAAACAAACAAACAATCTTACCTCAAAAATCTTTAGTTGTTTGTAATTTAACACCAGCCTTTTCCTTTATTTGCTTTTAAAGGTAAACCATAATCTGATACAACATAAAGAAAGGTCTCCACAGCAGAACTGCACAATTGTTAATCATTTACTCTGCCGAAAGCACTTCATGCACTTTCTAATCTGGTTTTATACTAAGTTCACCTGGTCCCAAAAAGACAAAATCATCAAGGGAATAGACTTTTTTTTTCCCCAGCTATAATAATAAATATATCTAAAAATGATCATCAAGTCTATCGAGTCTTGCTCTCTAAGTAGCTGAAAGGAGGTTGTAGCAAGGTGGGGGCTGGGCTCTTCTCCCAGGTAACAAGCAACAGGCCAAGAGGAAATGGCCTCAAGTTGAGCAGCAGTTTAGGTTGGCCCAGGCTGCCCAGGGAAGTGGTGGAATCACCATCCCTGGAAGTGTTAAAAAGGCGTGTGGATGTGGCAGCTGGGGCCAGGGTTTGGTGGTGAACACAGTGGTGCTGGTTAATGCTGGACTGGGTCTTAGGGGGCTTTTCCAACCTTAGCAATTCCACAATTCCATGACTCTAAGTAATTTCAGAGTTGAACCAGTTTGCAAGTTCAACCAATGATCTGGTTCAGCTCCAGTGAGCCCTCACAGTAGTTTTTAAGCACTTAAAATTGACCACCAACCTATAGCACCAAACTTATCCAGTCTAAGAGAGCAGGGAGCCTGCTAGAACTGAACTCTTGCTTCTGAAGGGGAAAATTCAGTGCTCAGCAATGGTTTGGGGATTTTTTTTTTAAAGACACAAGCAGGAACAACAGGTCCTCAGGAGAAGCTACCCAACAAAAATTACTAGCTTGACAGGGATAGAAATACTTCTTCAAGTGGTGGAGAGATACATAGAATCATCAAATCACCAAGGCTGGAGGAGACCTTTAAGATCATCCAGTCCAACAGCCAGCCCAGCACCACCACAGTGAAATTTTTTTTCTAATATCTAATCTGAACCTCCCCCGTCTCAGTTTAATGCCCTTTCCTCCGCTCCCCTCACTGCAGGCACGGTACGAGAGACCGGCCCGCACCCGAGACCCACCCACAAGAGGAGGCTTCCCAGCAGGGATGCTCCAGGTAACTCGAACGAGCTCCATCGCGGCAGGGGCACAGCGGCGTTACCGCTGTGGGCCGGCCCCGGGCCGGGTGTCCGTGGGCAGAGAGCAGCGGCCGCCGGACCGCGCACACGGCGGGGAGGGCACCTTGGCTTGGCGCGCTGACCCGCACGGCCGGGCGGTCACCTCGGCGGGGACACGGCCCCGGGCGGTCACCTCGGCGGGGACACGGCCCCGGGCGGTCACCTCAGCGGGCACAGTCCCCGGCCGGCCCCGCTCCCCGGAGCTGCTCCCGGACCCGCCTGTCCCTCAGCCCGGCACAGCCCGAGGAGCCGCGCACGGGGCGGCAGCGTCGGGGCGCCCCCACGCGCGCACGGATAGACAGGCAGCCCCGCCCGCCAATAAGGAGCGGGCAGGCTGGGCGGGCGGACCAATGGGCAGGCCAGGCGGGCGGGCAGGGGGCGGGACGTCCGGCGCGCGGGGCGGGGGCGGCGGTGCCGTGGCGGGTCCGGGCGGGCCCGCGGGGGGAGCGGAGCGGCTGCGGCAGCGGCAGCGGAGCCTCGGCCCGGCCCGGCCGCCACCATGCCCGGCATCGACAAACTGCCCATCGAGGAGACGCTGGAGGACAGCCCGCAGGTGAGACGGGCGCGCCGCGGGCCGGATCGGGCCCGGCCCCTGCGCCCCTGGCCCAGCGCTGCTGCCCCGGCGCTGCCGGCCCCCGGCGAGCCCGGACGGGCAGACAGAGGGACGGGCGCGGTGGGAGCACGCACGGCCGGTGCCTCCCGGTGCTGGGGCTCGGGCCGCGGTCTGGGCTCGTCCTGCCCGTCCCGGCCGTGCCCCGCTGGTGTCCGATGGGCCGGGGATGGGCCGGGCACTGTCTGTGCTCCAGCATCGCCCGCACCGGCCCCCGGCCCTCCCCGCCCCCGCCTTCGCGCTCGGCAGTGATTTTGGACACCTCGTGATGACAAAATCCCGTCTTCGCTTCTCAAGGCGATTTGTCTTATCTTTATCTTCTGCTAAAACCGCGCAAAGGTTTAATAGATCCGTGTGAAAAGGAGGTGTTGGGTGATGTTGCCGCCGCGGTGGTTTGTGCTGACAGGAGGGGGAAGCACATGGAGCCCAAAGGCCTTTGATTGCCCCGATCCTTCCGTGCCATTGCTGTGCCTGACCTTTGTCAGAGATGCCCTGTAGTGCGGTGGCATTTGTCTCTAAAGCAGGAAAGGCTTTTTTCCACGGCACGGGTTTCTCTTGCTGGCGGCAACAGCAGCAGGTACTTGTACTGCTCTTCCTAGATGGGGGGAAAAAGTTTACAGTGTATTTTCCTTTATTGCAGCCTTTTAAATTAAGATCCTTGTTCTGATGCACAGTTTGTGTAGTGAGCAAGACGTCCTGTTTTGTAGCAGCATCTGTGTTGGTAGCTTTGATTCCTTGGCCATGGGAAGGAAAACTTGCTTATGAGGGAATATTAACCCTCTAAAATGACAGTCACTTTAACAGTTCTAAACCAAGGGGAGGAACGACTTGGAGAAGGCACTAGAAGGCCATGCATTGAGAGAATCGTTGCTTTCTGAACCACAGTGCCCCAAAAAGCTCAAATACTCCATGTGAGATGAGATCTGGCCTGTCAGGGGGCCTCTGGCCCAGGGTATAACCTGGTGTCATCTCATGAAGAGGAAAAATTGTCAAAGGGTTATAGTAATAGTGATTTTATTAAAATATATCTCAGTTTAAGGAAGTCAGAACTATTCATATTTATAGGAAATGCCAAATGTCAGATAAACTTTGGATCATTTGAGGACGTTTGGGAAGCACATGCAAAAAAGTTCCTTATTGGAACATAATTGTAAATTCTGGAGTCTTTTGAGGTTATTTGTGACACAGGCTGGCAGAGCCTAATTCAGCCCAGTGAGTTTGATGTGCTTAAACAACTGGATTTGCCAGTATCATTTTCTATTTCAGGTGAATTCTGGCAATCATGTCTTAGGAGAACATAACAAGGATTCTGTGGCTTTCTGTTACATTAGTCCATTTCTGTTACTTTACTTAATTTTGTTAATTTGAAATCAGTGCAATGGAAGTGGGAACAAACGTTGCTTGAAGAAACAGAACTCTCTTCTTGAGGAGTTGCCAGGCTGATGCATTCCTACTGTGATAATGAGAACAGCTCATCAGCCCAGGTCATTGTTTAGTGCTGAACTCTGGCCCGGAGCTTAGACACGTTCCAGACACCAACTGTAGGTGTATAAACATCAAACTTATTCTGTGTCTGAGGGAAGGAAGGGCTTTTCTAAAATTTCAAACCCTGTTCACTTCCTGCTGTCACAGGATAAAAATCTGACCAGTGTGTTGTCAGGCCTAAACCAAATGCCAAGTTTGCACGGTCTTTTGCTATGCAAAGCAGAGTCATTTCAGCATTAACTCAGGACATATATTACACACATACTCAGTGGATATTTAGGGAGAGTTTCTGCTCAGACTGATTTGCATTCCCAAAGCATTGCACAACAAAAAGCCAAGAGGCTGGATAGCACAGGCTCTTGCAGCATCACCTGGGAGCAGTGCAGAGCATGGCAGAGCAGCCTTCACAGTCCACTGACTTCTAACCAAGTGGTGTCTTTGTGCAGCTTCTCACTGGTGCTCTCCTGTTCCCCTGCTCATATACACAGGTTGAAAGCATCCTAAAGAACATGCAAAACAATGCAAAGTTTTACTAGAAACATGAGTGAACCAGTTCCTCTAATTTTCTTCTAAGCAGTAATCTGCCGTAATTTGTTTATAGTTTCAGGTTAATTTCTTTCTATCAGTATCATACAATGCCAGTTCTTTAACATAAAAAAACATAGAAAAGCAATTTTCTTCAGTGTTTGGTTTTAAGGAGTCAATGTAATAGAGAAACCTGACATGATACTCCATTAAAATTACAAGTTCAGGTTTATTTATGGTCAGGTTTAAAGTTCATGAGTATATAATTCAGTGGCTACAGTACCATGTAATTTTTTCTTTTGCATTCTTTCGTGTCTGTCTCCTCTAAAGGGAGAGTCATGGTTATTAGGATGACACATGTTGCCACACCTGGCAAAGATTTGAGTTCTCCTCCACCTCTTTCCTCCTCTATTTCCCCTTTCCACTTGTTTTATAAACTAGAATCACCAATAAAGTTATTTATTGTGTTATGCTGTTTGTTTACATTTTTAGTATTTAGATATCTGGTGTCAGACTTCTTATGCCAGTCTTTTATTCTTTTCCCAGGGCCCATTAGTTCCTTCCCTTCCTCTTTGAGGAAACCACAGTTATTCAGCCTAGGGAAGACTAAGAGAATTTCCAATTTCAAGTGTTTAACAATCATAATTTGGAAAAAAACCCCAACTATGTACTTAGAATTCTTTCAGTTTTCTATCAGGGCATCGATTTTAGTGTAAACCTAAAACCAGAGCACAGTCTTTTTGCTAAAACATTTCTGAAGTGTTCTGCTGTGGCTCTTGCAATACTTCTGTTTCTACATCCAAGCACCCCAACCAATGTTTAGATGAGGAAGAGCCAGTGGAGCCTGTGCAGAGTTCCAGGTACATCCTCTGCTCTTCCCCCTCTGGGGTTTCTGCCCTGAGGAAAGGAAGCCATTCGATATCCTCGTGCTGAGGAGTAACTTTGCTTCCAAGTGCAAAAAGGATGCAAGAACACCGAGTCAGCATCTCATTTAAGCTTAAAGGGCAAATTATACCTGAGTGACCTGATTGCCTGCTCATCCCGAGTCAGTCATTCCAGCACAGGGAGAGCAGGGGTGTCGCTCAGCTGGCACAAGGACTCTGACACTCTCTCTGGTAACGTTCTTCTGGCCAAAGGAACAGATTTGGACTGACCTGAATGGAAAAACTGGCTGAATAGGTGGGCTCACAGATAGAGATCGTGTCTGGAAGTCTAATAGGTGGACAGTGAGGTTGATTTTTGAGGTGGATGCTGTTACGCACCCTCATCAGTGATGTGGGCGGTGCAGTAGAACAGAGTCATCAGGCCTGGGGATGACAGATTGACAAGCTGGGCCAAGGACAAAAGGACAGATCTTTTCACTCCCTTTCAGTGGTGAAAACACTTGTCTTGAGGAACACTAGATGTAGGTTGTATTGTTTGGTTTGGTTTGGTGTTTAGTTCCTCAACCTTTTGATTACAGAATTGGTGGTTATTGCCCAGGTGAGTGACAGGTCCAAGCACAGCCAGCAGCTGTCTTCATGCAGGTTGGACAGTATGGGAAGAGCACGGCCTTTATTTGGATCTCACTGCAGAAGAAACATGTATTCCTGGCATGCTGTTTATAGCACTCATCTTTACCCTTTTCCTTAGGGATGTACCATAGTGGTCCCAGTAGTTGCCCACAGTTTCAGCTTTTTAACACAGTTGTTCATTTCCCTTGGTCCTTTCCTCTCTGAAAATGCATTAACCTGGAGAGGCTGACAGCAGGAGTGAGGCTGAGCTTGGATGAGGTTCTTTGGCATGCAACAGGTGTCATTCCTGTAAACAGTGTTGGAGGGTTTATAAACTTTTCATTAATGAAACCTGAAGCAATGCTCTTTAACTCTGAAATTCCATTCCATTTAAATGCTGCTTTTCTAACCTGCCATGTTGATGTTTTGGCTGTTTGATTGTTACAGACCCGCTCTCTGCTGGGAGTATTTGAAGAAGATGCTGCTGCAATATCCAGTTACATCAATCAGTTATTTCAAGCCATGCACAGAATATATGATGCACAGGTAAAGTTCATGAAATTCTTGAATGCATTATAAAGCTTTTGAACCACATTTCATGTCTCTTGCTTTTTTTCCAATTATTATAAGCGATATGGGTCGTTTTTAACTTCCACATTCTTTAAATGTAGAAGTAAAATAAAGTAAAAATTAATGATTGTTCTTCTGTAAGGGAGTGGTAGAGACTAAATTCTTGTGCTTTATTTTGCAACAGAATTTCTTATGACAAGTAAAAAAGTTTTCTCATCAAGTAGTTCTGTTTTATTTCCCAAGTGTTTCTAAAATGTTATACACACTAAATGATCGTGGTGTATATAATAGTATGTACCAAGTGGGAGATTCTTTACCCACAATATATTCATGTTTCACTCATTATCTCTAAGTAACTGGACTTTTATGCTGAAGACAGAATCTATTTTGTGTGGTTTTCTGAACAATTGAGTTTATGGCTGTATTTTTAATTTGTATATACTTGAACTGCTTGACCTTTTTTACTGATTTTACTTTTTGCCTTTTTTTCATCAGAATGAGTTAAGTGCAGCAACTCATCTGACTTCAAAGCTTCTGAAGGAATATGAGAAACAGGTACTGTGTAAATCCTTGTTGTCTTTGTGTGGTCAGGACTGTGTATTTTTGTAGTCTTTTATCTCCCAGAGCACAGTGTAGAGCGTGTTTAGGTTTGGTCCATATAAAATGAACTGCTGTGGTTGGTGGTTCAAACCTTTGCCAAAAGAATCTCCCATCTTTATATTAGTTCTTCCAACTAAACCAGAATTAATTCCTCTTACCATGAAGAATATTAATAAGTTCTGAAATATTTTACCTTTGGATCAGCGTTTTGGGGGTTGCTTAGGGTGGTTCTGTTTTGATTGTATTTCAGAAGCCTGTTTACTCTTAGGTGCTTTATTTTACCAGTCACCAAGAGAAGAGATGACACAGCAATCTCCAGTTAACAACCGTAATTTACTCTGGGAGAGTAATTTCAGCTCTGAAAGCACAGACTGTGGAATCCATAATGTTCTTCCTTGGGAGCCTGTACTTTTGAAGGGTTCCCTATTTGTGGCTTTGCTGATGGACCCCCTTTTCTGAGATGCACCTTAAAAACAAGAAATGTACTTCTTTTAGGAGGCTGCTGCTCCCTGTCCTCCTTCTCCACCTAACAAGGGGAACAACTTCAGTGTATTTTAAGTGCATAATGTTTTAAAATAATGGAATACCTACTATATTCATAGACATGATTAATAGTTTTGTGAATGGCAGGAAACACTGCCAACAACGTAACTTTTTTTATCTTCTCTCAGCGCTTCCCACTCGGGGGAGATGATGAAGTCATGACTTCCACTCTGCAGCAATTCGCAAAAGTGATTGATGAGGCAAGTGCTTCTGTTTACTTTGCTGATGTTGTCATGTATAGACTTTAATTTGCTTTATTATTCCAGCCCTTTTCAAGACAGTAGGTACAGAAATGGCATTCATTTGTCAACGAGGTGACACTTAATTGTATATTGCAGCATCTATTTAAAGTCACGTAACCTGAAGATAAAGGGATTAATTCAGCAAAAAGAGGATACATTGCTGAGAAAGAATGGAGTTCAACTTACTGTAGGTACAGCCAAAAACATCCCACAGTGGCAGCTGGTGACTGTTTTCATGAGGGTATTTGTATTGCCTGATTTTGGTACCTGTCTGTATTAAAGGCTGACTCTTAGGACAGACAACTGAGCACCAGTAAGAGCTGGATCAGGATGATTGCTCTGATCCAGCTCCTCACTGTTAACCCTACTTAAACAGCATTTTGGGAGGAGGAACACATTTTGTTCTACCTCTGTAAACTGTGAAAGATGGGCTGTGAGGTGGCTGGAGAGAAACTGGAGAAATAAACTGAACAAATGATGCCATCCTTGGATGTGATCCAGTAACTTGGAATAAGGTTTGAAAAGTTTGGACAAAAACTAAACTCCAAAGTTTAGTCTTCTGTAAACAGCTAGTGGTGAGATCTGGAACCTAGGAAAAATTAGCTGCAACAAAAGGAATGTGCAAAATGATGTTTAAGTTATGTAGTTTAAGTACATGTCATTTTTGAGTGAAATTGATGTCGACCTGTCACGACTGGATTTGCTCTGAGCATTTTTTACTAAGATTTCCCCCTTTTTTTTGTCTTTTCCAGCTCAGCTCTTGCCATGCAGTACTTTCAACTCAACTTGCAGATGCAATGATGTTTCCTATTACCCAGTTTAAAGAAAGGGATCTAAAAGGTAGGGGACTTGGCCAAATATTGGTTTTTATCATCAACAGCAACAATAAAACATAGCATTTAATCTCCATAGCTTTTGGGTTTTTTCAGCTCTCAAAATATGCATCTCCCCATTTAAAAAAAAATTAGTTATTTCTATTCATGAGAGTATTACAACTGAAGAACTTAACACTATTGAGTATTGCAACAAGAGTATTACTTACATTATGGAAGCATTTATCTTCTATCCAAGATGAACATGTTGCAGCTACTGAAAAATGTTAGGAAAGAATAATTTTCAGATAATTTGCATTTTCAGGAAATACTTGTGTATATTTTAATACCATGACATCAGTGTAATTGCTGGACTAAACTCAAAGGGCACAGTGCCAGGGTTGTAGTACTTACTATATTAAGAATTAGTGACATGGTTCTTCAACCCTGCTGGTCATACAGGTGACTTCTTATGTGCAGGCATAAGGTGCTTCCAGCTTCTGATTTTTGTGGCAGTTGTGTTTTATTCTGCCTGGTTTAAAATAGTGTATGTGTGTGATTATGGTAGATTTTACTCGAGATGATGGAGTAAATACACTGTATGGCAAAGGGACTTTACATACAAATTATGAGAGTTAAAACCAAAATAATTTCAATATCCCTGTTGTGAACATTCTAGAGTGGCTATACCTAGCATATGAATGTCTTAAGTCTAAACTGAAATAGAAATTTCCAGTCTTCCATAAGTCTTCTAACTGTTTATGAATCTTGGAAGATACTTCTTTGGCAGTAGTTTGCTGCAAAATTATAGATTAAATAGATTGTGCTTTTTGAGCAAGGGATCGTGAATATCCCAGGGCTAATCTTGCTCCTCAGAACCTGGAAAAATCCCCCATCAGTACTCACTGAGCAGCATCCCCAAGGCAATAATCACAGAATAAATTTTCCCACTGGAAGTTTTCTGCCACCAGCCGGTGTAGTGTGTAATGACACCATCGTTCTTTCTGGACTTCACAGGCAATTCCCGTCCAGCTTTTCCTTGCTTTTTTGTATTTGCTTTCCCATAAGGTTGAACACAGCTTTCTGCTTGTTTCTGTTGTGATATGACCCAAACCACAGTCAAGACCAGAACAGCTGTAATATATTGTGCTGCTTTCAGTTCCCTGACACAGGGAGACTAAATAATCAGCTGGAACATGGGTCATTTTAGGGAGGAGGAATCTCAGTGTGTTCTGGGGTTGGATACTTCCCATCTCCTGTGCTTCACTTCCCCAGCTCAAAGTAGAACTTAGACTGGTGACTCATTTGTGTTGATAACATCTTGCACAGACTTTTGCAAAGAAGCTCCTCCTTACATTGTTACAGTGCAGTATTGTTTTTGGAGCCAGCCAGCCACAGAATTGACACCAGGCCCCAAGCAGGAGCAGATTTTCCTGGCCCCATAGTGCCTGTGCTGGTAACTCAGTGTGCTATGAGGTGTTAACTACAACTGCTCAGTACTTAAACGTTACCTGAAAACCTTAATATGGGACTGTTATGTTAATAACAACTCATTAAAATTGTGGTATGTTCTTTTGTAGAGATATTAACTCTAAAAGAAGTTTTCCAAATTGCAAGCAATGGTAAGTGTAAAACACTTAGTCTTATAGATATTACAAGTAAACAGTATTATTGTAGATTGCTTATTCAGAAAACTAGTGGAGTTAAGCCTGTAGGCTTAAAGTGACTAATTAAGGTGTCATTTTTTTCAATGATACTTAGGTACTCAACTGTCCTTGGTTCACTTGTAAATCCCTGCTTTGTGCACTGAAGCATTAAGGCAAATTGACAGTGCTTTGTACAATATGTAACTGTATAGATGATTATTAAAGGATTATGCTACCAAAATTGCTAAAAAATAGTAAGGTGCTAGCTCACTTATTAAAGTCAGGACTGGATGAATAAACAAACTTCACCTCGCTAAAATGAGTTTGGTAGTTCTCTTCCCTATTGTCAGAAGCTATTTTTTTAGCTCTACTATATCCTTGTAGAGAACTTATTATTTAAGCAAAGATTATACTTCTCTCAGTGTGTGATTACATTAGCAGCAAAAAAGATTCGATACAGGTTTTCATAGTGTGAAGTTGTCTCTGCTTACAGAAGGTTTCTGTCTTTGAAGAATAATAGATGTTAGGGCAGTTTGTAACAATTTGGTGGCATTCGTGTCTGGTTGGAATCTTTCCTCAGCCCAGGTATTTGTAGCAGTGAAATTTTGACTGTAAACAGACAAGAACAATTCCTGAAAGTGTTAATATGACAGAACTCTGCACTGGTCTGTCTGTGTAACACAGTGATATAAAAGTTTTTCTGCTCTGTGTCATAAGTCATTAATTTATCAAAATGATCATAAATTCTCTCCTCATTGCAGACCACGATGCTGCCATTACCAGATACAGTCGGTTGTCAAAGAGAAGGGAAAATGAAAAGGTTTGTAAAACAAAACACTTAATATAAAGATTTTTAGAGGAGATAAGAAATAATTTTCATCTTTTATGTATTTGTGATGCAAGACAGTGTAGGGCAGATTCCACCTGACATTTGATAATTTATGTTTTAGCAGCCTGGACAGAAAAGCAGGTTTCTCCAACACATACCTGTCTGGTAAAACTGATAATGCTTTAAAGTTGTGATGCCATGTTCAATTTGTTTGTGAAAAGAAATAACCATACTTTCCATGGAGAAAAGAATGCTGTATTTGTTTTTCATGTATCTCATCTATAAATTAGAGAAGCAGAGTACAATATGCAGTTGCTGGTGATAGAGGGTAGAACATGACTGTTGTTTTTCCATGCTGGCTATAAAGCTGTCCAAAAGGCATGTGATCAATGCCAAGTCTCAAACATTCCTTTTTTTCCCTCCCCTGTCTGTGTCTCTTCAGATCAAGGCTGAAGTTACAGAAGATGTATATACTTCCAGGAAAAAACAGCATCAGACTATGATGCATTATTTCTGTGCATTAAATACTCTCCAGTACAAAAAGAAAATTTCTCTGCTGGAACCCTTGCTAGGATACATGCAAGCTCAGGTAATTTCACATTCTGAAACCTGTAGGTTTGCAAGAAGATGTAAAAGTACTTCATGAAGGTTGATGTACTGAAATTCATTGCAAGATCTTGTACTGCCATCCAAGGAAGGAAATGGAGAGAAAGACCTGCCCCATCATTTCCCTGTAGCTGCCACAGCTGCTCCAGAACAGTGTCTGCAGCCAGCACTAGTCATGAGTCTCATCATGATATGCCCTCACTCCCATCAGAGAATCTTTTAGGAAAGCCTGGGTGACAAATATAAAGGTTAATTCTACCCCAAACCCAGCTGGCTGAGTTTGATACACTGCCTAAATTTCATTGCTGTGTCCTTGATTCTCCTAATGGGAAGAGCTGATTAGAGCTTCCATGCAGGAGAGTCCCCATGGAATTGTACCTTCTCAGTTAAACTCATTGCCATGGCAGCTCTTCTGAAACGACTTCATCATCCAAAGTTATCACTGCCGTTTTCAATCAAGGGTGTGGAAGAACTGGAATGCTGAAAAGCATTCTGGCTTGGTTTTGCTTTATATAAATAAGTTCATTATTGGTTTATTTGAGGACAGGTGCATGTCCTCAAAATCCAACCATGATAAAGTTCTTTAGAGAGACTTAATTTGTATTTTCAGAAGTATGTCACCAAACATGGGGTTTTTTTTTACAAGTCAAACTTCCCAGCATCTGACACTGCCACAGTGACCTGAGTAGAAATTAACTCCTCTCCCTGTCTGAAAGCTTTGCAAAGGCAAGGACTCTTGATTCTTTTTCAGAATTTGCAGCTCATGTTTAAGAACCAAGCTCTGCACGTTTTGTGCAACACAACAAAGTAGGTGGTGCAACCTCTTGTTCAGGTGCAGCTTTGTGCTGGATCGAAGAGTGGGAAGGGCAGGGCCATCCCCTGTGTCTGAGATTTCTTGTGGATAAACTCAATTTAGCTTTGTCGGGAATGAGAGCTGAAAACAGATTTCTCTGAGAAACTTCAACCTCCTATGGCATCATCAGTTGTTAATGTAGAATTTATTAATGACTAAATTCTCCCTTCTTTTTTTTTTTTTTTTTTAAAGATAAGCTTTTTTAAAATGGGTTCAGAAAATCTTACTGAGCAACTGGAAGAGTTTTTGACCAATATTGGCACAAGTGTACAAAAGTAAGTTGCTTTTGTTGAATTTTGAGCTTTTATCAAAAGACAATTATTTTTTCTGTTTCTACTTATTAATAAATTATCTTTGTTAATAGCACATTATTTATCGTAGTGTTCGCAGGGAAATGGATTGTGAAGTAGAAAACATGCAACAAACCATAGAGGACTTGGAAGTGGCGAGTGATCCACTGTATTTGCCTGATCCTGATCCTACAAAATTTCCTGTTCACAGGAATCTGACACGGAAAGCTGGCTATCTCAATGCAAGAAAGTAAGACTAACTTGCTGCTTAAACATTCCAGAATATTTAATTTTGGGAAAGGAAAGCTAAGAAAGCTGAAGAATTTTTTGTTGGTGTTAGCTATGCTGATTTTACATACTTAGTTGATTAAGTCCCATAGGAGCTGTTCTGTTTCTTTCTTTGGACTTCTTCACCTAATTAGTATTAAATTCACTGTTACACTGACATAGTGTCATTTGGATACAAAGCATAGTTATCCTCATTTTAGTCTAATCTTGCCTGGTATTTTCACATCAAAACATAAAAAGTTTATGAGAATGTAATTTCCCTGCACTGTAATGGGGAAGTAACAATATTCCATCTCTCAGCTCTAAGCAAAATTTTGGAAATCTTGTTGAATGGTACAAAATACTTGGAAAATGGAGGTATCTTACATGACCAAGCTGGTTCTTAACACAAGTTTTGAAGAACTTAACACAAAGTTCTTCACAACTTAGTAAGTCTAAAGTGTAAGTGCAGAGTTCAGAGGTCTTATCAGTCCTATTGGCAACTCATAGAATTTGAATATGCATGTTGTGTAAAGCAGTACTGGGAAAGCTGATCATCAAAACTGAAACCTTTTTGTTCTGAATTGTTTCACATAATTTAAGAAAGCACTTATTATTATTTTATGTATTCTTTGCCCAGCAATAGGTTTAGCATGAAAAACCAAGAGTTGGAGAGAGCTTAATTTAGCTGTAACACTGACCTAAAACATTAAATGGGGAATGGTTTATTCCAAGTGACTTTCAGCTCAGCTGAGCTCCTAATCCTCTAACTGGACCTCTTTTTATCTTTCAGTAAGACAGGGCTGGTATCTTCCAGTTGGGAGAGACAGTTTTACTTCACCCAAGGTGGAAATCTGATGAGCCAGGCCAGGGGTGATGTAGCTGGGGGACTTGTCATGGACATAGACAACTGCTCGGTGATGGCTGTGGACTGTGAGGACAGACGGTACTGCTTCCAGATAACGTCGTTCGATGGCAAAAAGTGAGTGGTGTGACACTGCTGGAACCTGGGAGTAATGCTGGACTCACTAACTGAGAAAAGAAACATGGTCTGCCTCTGGCCAGATTAGAGCTTGATTATTTCGTGGATATCGAGAAGCAAAATCTGAGATGTTTTAACTTTAAACTCTGGAGTTTTGTTTGTAAGCTCTATAATGTAGCTGAGTAGTATTTCAGAATAAGATTATGATAATCAGTTTACAATCATGTATTACTGCTTTGTGTGAGTACTAAAGTATTACATGGGCACAATTAGAACTTTGTTCTTTTTCTGTTTCCAATTAAATGAAGGCATAGGTCCCTCCCTTCCCCAATTAGATGCTGACTGCACTCAGCACACGCACAGAATCTTCAGCCTTTTGTAACTTGTTCAGTGTACAAAGATAAAATGGGGGTTTCCTTGATGAATGTATTTATGAGGCATTTTAAACAGAGCTGTTTTTCCATTCTCCTCTTTCAGGTCTTCAATCTTGCAGGCAGAAAGTAAAAAGGATTATGAAGAGGTAAGGCCATGGAGGTTCACACGGAGCCCAGTGAGTTTCTGTCGTGCAGAAGGAATGTGTTTGTAAACCACAGATGGACACTGCATCTATTCCAGTTAGTGTTCTCCTTCAGGAAAAGTTGAAAAGCCAGGAACAGGAGCCAGTGGTTTTCCAGAGCAGAGGGAGGAAACAGATTCTAGCTTGCAGATGCAAGAAATGGGCAAATTCCACAAAAAGTCAGATTGAATCTTTATAATGTCTTGAGGAAACAATGTCACCTGCAGAACAGAATAATGGAGTACAGAGAATCCTGGGGTTTTGTTTGTTTGTTTGTTTGTTTAATTAGTTAGAGAGTTAGGCTTTCTTTAGTTTTGATCAGGGTGACTAAAATAATTTTTTCAAGTAAGAAGGGTGTAAGGTGAGGTGCAGTATGCAGATGGTAGTTAATTTAATGGCAGGCTGGATGTGCAGAATATTTGGCTCCCTGAAATTACAAAGAAAGTAGAAAAAGTGCTGAAACTAGCCAACTCGGGGATTTAATGAAGTTTGTTAAAAAAACATGACAAATTCATTTATTTTCTCTTTTCTTTCTCTTTTCAGTGGATATGCACCATAAACAACATATCTAAACAGATATATCTAAGTGAAAACCCTGAGGTAACTATTAAAATTTATAATTATCAGTAATATGTTAAGATGTAATATAGGTAAAATTAATAGCATAGAATTAAGCCAAATACTTCCTACATGTCTATTCATGGTATTAATACATGGAGTCCATTGATCTAAATGCTTATTTAGAAAGCATTAAAAATACGTGATTTTTGTATTTGGTGTAGCCTTTTGACATCTTCAAGATCCTGTGTTTGTATATGACACTCTTTTAAAAAATAAAGGCTTCGTAGCCATTCTCATTTTGTGATCAGACACTCCACAAAATATTGCTTCATTGTTGTCTCCTGCACTTTGTCTCTCCAATGATCATTTTCTCAAGGACTTTCTCTATTGGCTCTGCCCCAGGAAGTGAAGGCATCAGCATTAAATATTGATCAGAATTAGTGATTTCAATGAAAGATTAAAATGGAATTCAACTGTAAATGGTCCAGCATTTGCTGAAATAACTGTTATGTAGTTCTTAATTGATAGTTTTTAATCTTCATAGGGTTTAGTTTGCAGTTGAGGGCTGCATTTCTCAAATGAGATTTTTCTTTTCCTTCTGGGCTACATTTGGGGTTTTCTCCAGGCAAATTACTGGGACTTTTCTCTCATTTTCTCTCTATTTTCACTATTGCTTTTATTACAGTGACAGTATTGTGAAGCAAAAGTGTTGACTTAAATTGAGGGAGGTAACATCAGGATATGTGTTACAAGAAGACCTGGAAGAAAATACTGCAGCTGTGTAGTGAAAATTTAGGAATGCCAGATTCTCACAAAGGGTGGAGTTTATAACTTCTATCAATTGCATATAAATAAAACTAGAATCTGGAAGCTTATTTTGAGAAAAATGTTTTCAGTTAATTTTTCCCATCCCTGCCCTGCAGGAAATGGCTGCCCGTGTCAATCAGTCAGCCCTGGAGGCTGTCACTCCATCTCCCTCCTTCCAGCAGAGGCACGAGAGCATGAGGCCAGCTGGGTAAGTTCATAACAGGGGGCACTGCAAGAGCACATCTGGAAAGAGAATCCTGGAGAAAGTTCCAGGGAAAAAAAATACCCAGACAACTCTCCCCCCTGAACTTTCTATGTTCAGAACTAAATCTTTGAGGAGAATTTCCTGCACTCACCTTCCTAACACTGTTCAGCATCCATTGTTCCAAGCAATCCTGATGCCACTGGCTGACAGCTTTGGTGGTTGCACCTTATGTCTGGTTTGTTGTGTGATTTCATAATGAGAATTTTCTACCCTTGGAAGCAGATCTCAGATTGTATTGATAATGTATTGATGTTAAAACATACTGATGCAATTATTAATGCAAGTAGTAACTGTAACTTGCTTAAATTTGATAGGAACATAGACTCTGGTTTTGTTTACCCTGATCCTCAGGTTTTTAGTTTTTGTCATGTGTTACATCTAAGCATTGGTCTCCTCTGTGGTTTAACTCATATCAACCAGCCCTCCTTTTGCTGTTGTGGTTTTGTTGTAGGCAATCTCGTCCCCCTGCAGCTCGTACCAGCAGCACAGGCTCCCTGGGATCTGACTCAGCAGCTTTATCAGCACTTTCCTTGGATTCACTCGTGGCCCCTGACACTCCTATACAGTTTGACATCATATCTCCAGTTAGTGAAGATCTGCCTGGCCAAGCAAAGTCCTCAGGGCAGTCGGGCAGGTAGGAAATGGAGAGAGAAGGAAACAATTCCTAAAGTTATTGTTACTAATTCAAAACAAGAAAACCACGTTTAAACTGCAGCTCCAAAACACACATTGCCTTCTCCCTGACTCATGTCACAAAATGTGCAGTGGCCAGTGAAGCAAAACAATTAGTTTAATTGTTAAATGGAATTGTTGAAAAAGGCTTAATTACATACACTAGAGTCAAGGTGTAGTTTTCTGGTTTGCAGCAGCTTTTCTTGCTTTAACAGCCAATGCTTTTACTTATTGATTTATTTTAATTTTTCAGTTTTACAAAGTATTTTCCTTTCCTATTGCTTGCTCACCCAGCAGCTTGGGTTATTTCCTCTTGGAAACTCAAGAGAAATTTGGTAGCCCTGCCTCCAGGTGATGATGGCAGACGATGACACTCTTCTTAACCTGAAAGGTGAGTGAAAATGATCTAGGCTTCTGGAGTGATTTCATAGAGACACAAGTTAAAATTATTCAAGAGTTCATCCCAAAACATAAACGCATTTTCTCCTACTTGTTATTATTTTTGAGTGGGAGATTTATTACAAAGCTAAGATCTGTAAATCTGCACTGCATTTTTGGAACTGTATCTGCAATATTCAGATATTAAAAAAACGTTTGCAGATCCAGCTGCTCTTAACTACAACAACAAAAAGTCAAGTTAAAATTATATCTTCATGTCATCAGTTACAATTCTCTCTAGAAAATCATGGGTTTTGTAGCAGAAATGATAGAGTTGTGCTCAGCATTTTCAATTAACCATCACTTTCAGTAAAGCACTGCAGTGTTTATACAGATAGGCAACATGTTACTTTAGAAATATTAATTATTAAAAAAATAAAAATACTTTCCTTCATTTCTAATACTGATGACAAGTATTCATATGTTATTTTTGCCTTTTGAGAGATCCTGTGAGATTTTGCATTTACTATTGCAGTTTAATCTTAAATGACAAGAAAAGTCTGAGTGGTAGAAGATCCTAATAGAAAGAATTTGCCTTTAGTGTATTTACCCAGGTCAATTTAATGGGATGGTTCTTGATCCATGTTATCCATTGAGGCAATATTAGTTTGACTTCAGAGTTCTATTTAGAACAGGTTTTTTTCTTTTAGCTCTGGAATTTATTGTTAGAACACTACTGAGAGGTCACACCTTCATTACTCCCAGATAAAACCTAATTTGAAGTTTACTGAGCCCTTGCCAATAGCTTTTCAGCTACCAGTTAGGCAAAGAGAAAGGGTGATTTCCTCTTTACAATAAATAAAATGTCCCCATTTCCTGTGCCCTTTTCAGCATTACTTCAGTGCTTTTGAAAAATGAAACTTGGAAGCCTAGAGTATTTTCACTTCTCTTTGTAACCGATGGCAGTTCTGTCTTTGAGAGCCAGAAATAGCCACATTTCTCTTGACCCTCTAGGAGTAAAACCCCAGTGATGTTTTCAGAAAGCTGCATTTGAAACAAACCCAGTGCCTTCTCTTCAGTAAGTAATTCAGCACCTTGAGACAGTGAGGAGAAGTGGGTGCTCCTACGGAGTTCTGAAAGAACCAGCTTTTGGTTGTGCTTCCTGAAGCTGGTCTGTGAAATGTCATCCCCTAAAACTTTCCAGATATTAACAAGGTTTTGATTTGGGCTTAATTCAAATATATAAAAAAAAAAATACCATGTGAGCAAAACTTTCTATGGCAGCAATAGGACAACACTATCTGGTGTTTGTGCCATAATGTGGGCCTCAAATACAGCAATTTATGTGTCTCCTGATTAAATTGCCTGTCCTGGTGATTCAGGATACTCCAGATTCATATTCCTGCAGATTACAAGTTTGTGAAATCATCACACATTGGTATCTGTCACAGCATGAGACTGCTACGTTCTCCATGAGTGGTTCTGTAATCTGACTGCTGGTTCAATGTTTTCGTTTTTTAATAGACGCACAAATCCTTTTGGTGAATCTGGAGGCTCAAAATCTGAAACAGAAGGTAAAACAACAATTTTATTTCAATGCAAAATAAAAATAGAATTTGAAATTAATTTTCTGTTTTCAGCTTTAGTTTCTCTTCTAATTTAACACAAATCTTAAGAATACTGTTTGGTAACTGTACCTCTAATTGCTGAGTGTGAACACTCCTCTTTTTAGGAGAAGTTTGGAGTTTCCCTGACTGCAGCCCAGCTTGGGTTTTGAAGGGGAAAACCCAAAATGGAGTTTGCTTTTCTCAATACTTTTTTTTTTCTTAGATTCAATTCTTCATCAGTTATTTATTGTAAGATTTCTTGGCTCCATGGAGGTGAAGTCTGACGAAAGCCCGGATGTTGTTTATGAAACAATGCGTCAGATCCTGGCGGCTCGTGCCATCCATAACGTTTTCAGGATGACAGAGTCACATTTGTTAGTCACCTGTGACTGCTTAAAGTAAGTTTTGCTCCCTTACTTCTACTCATGTTTATTTACAGAATGATCTTCTTTCACTTTGGTAAAATTTACTTTCTGGTTTGTCTTTAAAACCAAATTTTTAGGTTAATTGATCCACAGACACAAGTGACAAGACTACGAGTAAGTAACTTTACATTTTAAGATTAATACCCAGCAATGTAATTCTTCTACTTAAAAAATATTATTACATGATAGTGAAAATCACTGATAGCATGACATTTCCAGCCAAATTTCCACTGATGTTAGGAGACTAATGCAGACATGTAAAAATAGAGAGAAAAACACCTGCTAATGAGGTTTAAGGGGAGTGATTTCATTAGGTCAGTTTAGCTTTTGAGACCCCCTTCCCCCTGTGATCTGAGAGGGTAGAATAAAGAGAAAACATAAAGGTTGGAGTCACATTAGTTCTAAAATCCAAAAGGGTTTGTCTGGTGTTTTGTTTTGTTTTGGGTTTTTGGTTTTAATACATAACTACATTTAAGGTGTTGAATGGTTTTTGATTTGGTCTCTTTTTTTTCTAATTCTTAATAAAAATGCACTTGGAAGGAATAAGTGAAATTCCTCTCAGGATATCAAATAAGGCCAGCTTAATTCTTCAGTAATAGAAGTCTTTATTTTTCATATTTCAAAACTGTTCCCCCTGCCCCTCTTTATGCACAATTTATGGTCTGTCATTTAATTTCTTTGCATTTTTGAAAACATTCCATTTTTTTGGAGGCTCTGAGTGACATTAATTTCCATGAAAGGAAATCTTAAGCACATGAAAATGTCTTGATATTTCAAGTAGGGCTTTTTTCCTTCTTTACCTTTGTGACATTTAGTTCCAAAGTGCCCCAAAGCTGTAACCTTTAACAGGTGAGATACATCAACTTGAGGTCACATCCTCTGTGCTAAATGCAAACATTTAATATTAGGAAAAACTCATCCTATTGGTTTATAACAGCTGCTTGTCTTTTGAGTGATTTAATCCTTGCTGTCTCATCTACTGTTTGTGTTTCATCGTTACATGTTTGGTCAGGTTGTACCTTCTTGTGCTGTGGTTGTGCATTTATGATATTGAAGATAATTAATGTGAAACCTCATGTAGAAAATATTTGGAGCCAGTTTTGATCTCTCCACCTTTGATCCTTTGGCAGTTCCCTTTGCCCAGTGTAGTTCTCTGTGCTACACACCAGGAGAATAAACGCCTGTTCGGATTTGTGCTCAGAACCTCAGGAGGGAGAGCTGAGAGCCGCCAGACTTCCATCTGCTACATATTTGAATCAAATAATGAAGGGGAAAAGGTATTGCTGATGGTTAGAACTTGTATCAGTTTTGAATCTGACATGGATTCCAAGGTGTTAGATCCGTGCAAGCTGTCCGAGGGACTGTTTATTTATGTACTGAAAAACAGTTAAACCTCTCAGTTTAAGTACCTGTAAGTGCTTTAATGTGGTGTTATATCTAATTTGGGATGCTGGCTTAATTGTAAAGGCATTTTGATTAGCCTTTTTTTATTATTTCCTATGTGTTTTGTGTTTAGATTTGTGACTCTGTTGGACTGGCCAAACAGATAGCTTTTCATGCAGAACTGGTAAGAATCTTTTCCTCTTATATTTGCTTGTGAATGGAAGGAGGAGGGCATGTGTAATATGTGTAATGGAACATACTCTGCAAGACACAGATGCACTAATACTGTTATGGAGTCTAAGGGATTTGTTTCCTAGAATTTAAACTCAAATAAAAAGACTGACCAATGCCTACTGTGGGATAATGTTCAGTATAGATTCAGTTTGCTACCTTTAACAGCCATACCAGTCCGCTAAAACAAGAATAATTGAAACAGTGATGTCACAGTCTTGAGCAAGCTCATAGCAATCAGTAGTGTAGCAAATGTCTCAGGTTGTTACTTTATTTACATTTTTGCCCCTCAGGATCGGAAAGCAACAGAAAAGCAGAAAGAAATAGAGAGAGTCAAAGAGAAACAACAAAAAGAACTGAATAAACAGAAGCAAATTGAAAAGGTAAGTTTCATCAGTATTTCTTAATATTGGTTTTTTCTGTTTCCTTTCTTTTGCAGTTTTGTACTCCATGCTCTACTATCAAACTCGTCAGTAGGGGTTCATTGAGCATTATGAAGTCAATTATCATAAGTGTTTCCTGTGCAGATTTTGTATATTTTTGTATAGTAGTTTTTAAAAAGAGCTTTTTGAGGACATGAATGACAAAATGTCTTTACTTAAGAGCAGTGCTTGAAGGAACACCTATCACAGGCCCAAAATAATTTCATTTGCTGATGAGGGATCAGTCTCACAGTGAGGAAATGGGCTTAAGAATCACAGAATCACTAAGGTTGGAAAGGATCTTTAAGATCACCAAGTCCAACCATTAACCCAGCACTGCCAAGGCACCACCAACCCATGTCCCTCAGTGCCACATCTGTATGGCTTTTAAACTCTTCCAGGGATGGTGATTCCACCACTGCCCTGGACAGCCCATTCCAGTGCCTGACAGTGCTTTCAGTGAAGACATTTTCTGCAATATCCAATCTAAACCTCCTGTGGTACAACTTAAGGCCATTTCCTCTTATTGTATCATGTGTTACTTGGGAGAAGAGACTGATCTCCACCTGACTGGTCTCCACTCTCCTTTCAGGCAGTTGTAGAGAGTGATAAAGTCCCACCTGAGCCTCCTTTTCTCCAGGCTAAACAACTCCAATTCCCTCAGGTGTTTCCCACCAGGCTTGTGCTGCAGCCCCTTCCCAGCTCCATTGCCTTCCTCAGTGCAGATGAGGATGGTTGTTCTGGCCTGCTGTGCCCTGAGGGCTGTGGGTGCAGCTGTGTTAACCAGGGAGCTGTTCTGGTAATGCAGCTACTGAAAAGTGAATGTTTTGGTTTCCTATTCAGTCTTTTCATTCCTTCTCTACAAAGCTGTCCCCTGATCCTATTGATAGTTTAGAAATGATAATAATGCAATGCTGTGTCAGTTCCAGATGGCTTTAAGGGGAATATTCTTGCTCTGATTTCCCAATCCCCTCTCCTCACTTTAGGACTTGGAGGAGCAGAGCCGGTTGATTGCTGCTTCCAGCAGATCCAACCAGAGCAGTGGAGAAGGACAGTTTGTAGTCCTGAGCAGTAGCCAGTCAGAAGACAGTGATTTAGGAGAAGATGGAAAGAAGAAGAGAGAATCTGAAGCCTAAGGCTGCCCACTTCATTAAAATTGGAATCATGGATATATCTGGTGAAATGGCACAAGTTCTACAACAAGTGAAATGTAGGTGGTGGGTCTGTTGTATTATAGAAAAGACTTCTCAATATATAGACCCTATTATGCCTTGATTTTTATTTCTCAGTTAAGTGATTTCCATTTTCCTGTCAGTATAATTTCTCTTCCATATGCCAGATGAAGCATGGTGATGCTGCCATGTTTATTACAAATTTATGTTTTCTCAAGGCTTCTCTGCAGTATGAAAAAAATGTGGGTTTTTCCCCACTTACTTCTCTGTGCAATTAACTGCTTTTGAAGCAAAATTTAAAACTCCCCTTGGGCTTCAGCAGCACATGAAACTCATTCTATCCACTGCACTATGGAGAACACCTTGCTGGAAACAGAAGGGAATGTCCAAATAAGACAGTGCTAAGCTTTACCCAATTTGTTGCACATAACTGTTCTTAGATTTAGAAAGAAAAATCCTTATTAACATCAGTGAGATGTGCAATAGTTCTAGACAGAAGGATCTTTTTTGTTTCGTTTTGCACTGTATGATATTGCATTGGGGTCTTTTGGGGGTGATTATAATGCTGAAAGACTTCTTTCACCAGGAGAAAAAGATACTGTCAGACCTAGATGAGAGCTGATGAGCTGCAGTTGAACTTTGCTGCCTGAGGAAAAGCATTCCTGATGATAGGAGCAATGTGTATAGCCTGGGAGCACAAGTGCCATGTTCTTGGTTTTTCCCCAGTCCTTGGAATAAAGAGCTGTTAAGCCTTTGAGTTCACTTTTATAAGACATGCTTAGAGTTGCAAGAACGTCTTGAATTCCATTAATCTTCGGCACATGTAAATGCCTTGATGCCAGTGCACTGCATCTACTGCAAAGGAGTTGAGGCTCTGTAAGTCTTCCTATAAAAAGGGATTTTGCAAACAGAATTTGCCATTTGGGAAGTAAGAGATGATCCTAATCCTACATCCCAGAGTCAATCCTGGAAAGCATTTTTCAAAGCAGTGTCTGTTTACAGCTTGTAATCTGCACTCCATATTCCATACCCTGTGTAATATTTATTTTGTATAGTATTAGATGTGCATTCACCTTTTGATCCAGAAGAGAAAACTTGTTTGAAGAGAAATATTTATTTTTGCACTAATTACTATAAATATTAAAATCCAGTGGAACAGAAGATAGATAGCTCTCTAACAGTGGCACGAAGATAACAGGACATGTAGAGAGAGAATATACTTATACTCCAAGTTATAATATAACAGTTATGAGTGGTTTACAGTTCATTGCAGGGCATTTCTGGTGTTCAGGAATGGAAGCAATTTTCAGAGTAAGCAATTTTCAGAGTATCTCCCCAGCAGCTGGTGATGGCCCAGCCCTTCATAGCTGGGCTGCTCAGTGCTGATGAAGTCAGTGAGGAATCTCAGGTCACAGCTGTGGGTGCACAGAGGGCTCTCCTTGCACACTGGAGTGCCCTGCACTGGCTAAAGCAGCTCCTCCTGCCCTGGCTGCTGTGACTGTGTGTGCAGGAGGTCACTGAGCACTCCTGAGGCAGGGCAGAAGGGCAGCAGTGCTGTCCTTGCAGCAGGACGAGCACACAAGCAGGAGATGGAACAGCTCCCAGCAGATGTTGGTGGCACCACAGTCCAGGGAGGGGCTGGAGCAGTCACTGGAGAGGTCACAGTACCTGTGACAGTACAGGGGTCACAGCACCCCTGGCTTGACTGAGGAGGGGGAAGCTGAGCACAGGTAGGCTCCAGGCTCTCTTCCCATTGCATTTCTCAGCCCCAGAGCAGCCAGGCACTTGCAGATGTACCTGCTTTTACTGCTGCCCAGTGAGGCCAAGTGGTATTGCCCTGTGGCCAGATTTGTCTACCACACATGGAGCACACCAACCTGAGGCTTCTTTTAAGAGAGTGGCATTTTTATTTCATATCTAGTATCCTTAAGATACTATATTGATTCTTTCCTACAGAAATGTACAGAGAGGCTGCAAATCCAGATTTTTTCCCATTTGGGGCCTAAATCAAGGCTTACAGAGAGTCCAGTGTAGCCAGTTTGCAAATTATTCTGGTTCATGTTTCATTAGTTTAGGTTTTTTGTTTGTTTTTATTTACTGATATTTCTGTTTTCTATCAAATAATATCTCGAGGCAGCTCAAGGTTACTGCTATGACTTGTATCTTTCTCAAGTACGTGCTAAAGATGAAGAATTTTAGAAACAGCACAGGAAGACTGAAATCAGTGATCTCCAGTGTGTAGAACCCAGTCCTCATCTTGTCAGGGAAGGACTGACTGTGTTAATTAAGCACTTGAGCTGCAGTAGCCCAGGCTCCAGAGGGAAGGCAGGTGATAGATGAGCACTCTCATGACAAAGCATTTCTCATGTGTAGCCTGTTCTGCATTAGCCTTATTGAAGAAATGGCAGAAAATGGAATTGTTGTATTTTTTCTTGAATCCTGCTATTACAATTTTAGATCTAAATCTGCAAAGATGAGGAAGAAAAACAAATAAAGTGGCAGGTGAATTCACCACCATATGGGATTTTTCAGATTCAGCAATACATGATTTGAACTATTCCATTTGATTTTCAGGGATTCCATTGCCTGAAATGTATTTTTCCAGTGCCATTAAATGTGGGTTTCTAAAACAGCACAGGACTGAGGTGCATTTCACTGGTGTTGGATGATTTTCATCTTAACCACTAAAAGAAGGAGAAATGATTGAAGAGAGTAGTTAAAGAAAACAGATTGATCTGCATGAATGAAATGAAGGGGTTGTTTTTTTGCTTATTTTGGGGAGTTTCACTGGTGTAAAATGAGCAAGAAGGTATAAAAGCATCTGGGATAATGGTGAAAGCTGCAGGAGCCAGTGGCAGGTCAGGAGACAGGAGAAAGTCAGATGGGAATGGTGCATTGAGTTATTAGGGGGGTTGGGAGTTACTGAGCTTTGCCTAAGGGGAGGATCACACAGCTCTGTAATTAGAACTATCTCAAGGCAAAAATAGCTGCTGAGTTATTATCCATGGCCTCCTTCCCAAAATAAAAAAACTATTTGGTACCTTTTCTTCCTATGAGGTCCAGAACTGCTTCATTATAAAACAGTTTTGTTAATTTAAAAAAGAAATCAGAATGCTTATTATTTTCCTTGAGAATATGGCTTCTAGTGGGAACACCTTGTGTTCTGCTGGGAACTGCTGTGGTAGGATTTCACCACCTGAGCATTGTATTACTGTGACTAAATTACTGGTTGATTTCCTCTCCTGTAATTTATTTCTCCTGTTTATTATTTCCTATTGCCTTTTACTCAAAGGCTGATCTTTCAAGTACTGCCAGCTGAAGCTGTAGTTTGCTTCATGTGCATCTACTATTATTTGAGTCACTCCTGAAAATATTCTTTCAAGCCCCTGGTTTTGAAGTGACTTTGTGCAGGTGCTGATGGGCAGTGGTGTTCAGGACTAACTTGTTATGTTGCTGATTGCAGCCTCGTAGTTCCTGCCACACTTCAGGCCTCAGGTGAGGGGATGTGAACCCTGTAAATGCAGATTTACAGGCTGCAGAACAAGCAAGTCTTGCTGGCAGTTGTTTCAAGCTACATACATTGTGTATGTAATGGCATGTATATAAAACATATCAGGTGTGCTTATGGGTCTGCATTTTATTGCATTAGAGATAATCCCTGGCACTCCTCTGTGGGCTCTGGTAGGATGTGGCCAAGTCTAAAGCAGAGGACAAGGGCAAAGTCATGTACAACTCAGCCATGTAAAAGTGGCTACAAGCAGGTAGTGTAAAGTCATTTGAATGTCATAGTCTTGCTTCCTTAATCTGTTTAGTTTAAAATTGTATCAAGACAATTCACTATCTAACAGTAAGGTAATATTTCAGGGTTAAGGAACATTTCCCCCCATAAAGTTGTCTTTATATGGATGTTAACTCAGAGCTGAAAATCCTGAAACAGCTGAAGCTATTTATGAAGCTGTAATTTATGTGCATTGATATAAAAGGTAAATTTGACTATGTTTATGTTTTAAGGTAAATTCTGATTAAGTAGTTGCACAGCTTTTGGGAAAAGCCAATGGAGAAAACTATGTTAACAATGTAGTCTCTTATTATTTCAGAAATCATTCACATAGAGAAAGAAAACCTGTCACTGCTTAGTGAATTTAATAGAGACACTGTCTAGTCTAACAGCAGAAGCTGATATTTTATATTATTTTCCTTACTTTGTATTACAAAAATTCTTGCAAGGTAATTAGTCTCCAGTGCTTTTCTTTTTAGTCAAGCACTAAGTTGACTTTTTTTTTCCCTTTGCCACAGTGGTGTCTAAATTGTCATGACAAGAATAAGTCAGTGTGTCATTGTGAATGCACTTGTATTCCTAATCAGTTTTGTATTGCAAGACAAGGACTTTGTACAATCTTTCTGGTCATTTTTATAATAGAGTGGAGTGATCAAATTCTTACAATGATGTTCTGGATTGGTCCTGTTCTGGTGAAGTGTAAGTGATTTTTGCAATGTTTGAGACTGACTTGCACATTTTCCCTGAATAGCTGTGTTAAAAACCACCAATGGCATATTTATGTCAACTGATTGTTGTGTCTTAATCTTGGAAACATGGACAGTAACCCTATTGTGCCAGGGCTCCAGTCAGCATTTTGTAGATTAAATAAAAGCTTAACTCTTGTAACTTTCTGGGTGGGACTTGTACTGATGCAAAAGCCTCCTGCATTTTTCATAGCACTGACCTTCAGGAAGTACCATTGTTGGTGACAGGACGTGTTCCCTTCCATTAACCAAAGCTCTGACATGCAGTTATCTCCCTCTGTCATCAAGTGTAGCTCAGTTCTCTTCATTTCCATACCTGTTGCCAGACAACCTCCGAGGAAGTCGTTATTACTCGGGAATGCTGGGAACTTATTTTTGCAACACTCCCAGACTGAAGCTGAGGAGGAGCCGTGGCAGGGGCTGTGCAGTGCCCGTGGGGGGGCTGTGGCAGGGGCTGTCACACAGGACTGTCCCACAGTGCCCGTGGGGGGCTGTCACACAGGCCATGACAGGCCCTGCAGAGCTGCTGTTATGGGAACACTGAGTTCCCCTGGATGGAGGCTCTGCCAGCACAGCACTAACCTGGGCACTGGACACACCTTGACAGGCTTCAGTAGGTTACTATATGATAAAGACCATGTAAAAAGCCATGGGTCATAACTACATTATGGTAAAATTTGTATTTTATAAGGTTTGTAGATTTTTCTGGGGAAAAGCAGACTTTTGAATTCTGTAACTTCCGTGATAAAGATGCATGTATAACTACAAAAAAAATAAATCTATGCTTACTTGATAATGAAGGAATAAATACTACTAATGCCAAATGTGTTGATGAACTTCTTTTTTTCTAAAATATAGACTGACGTTTGCAGTACTTTTAGAAAGAACAGGTGTGCTATAGATATTCCTAATACTTCTGTAAGACTTCCTAAAATGAAAGTGCTCCAAAAGCTTAAGCTGCAACTCTATGGAGAGAAACTCCCAAAATTGCATGCATGGCTTTGGCCAGCACTGTAAAAGGAAAGCCTTGTTCTGAGAGAGAGAATAATCAAAGTCCAGCGTGGGTGAGACAGTGCTGCCCTCTTGAAACACTGCTATGTCACAGGAGCTGCTGGGATAAGCAGAGGTTGCTGTAGCTTAATCCCATTGCATTGCCTGGAATGTGGGACTGCTTGATAGGGTGACAAAAAGAAAAGATCTACTCGAGCTGCTCTTCATTCAGAACATCACTGTAGAACCTCACAAACAAATACTACTACTTGTCAAAAGAAGAGGAAGTACAAGAGAAAAAAGAACTCTGTCCCTTCCTGGTTTTAGTTAAATCCCTGACCTTTTACTAAACCCTGGGTTTAACCTGCAGTGGGGGCAGTGTTATCTGATACAACAGGGTTTAGCTGAGCAATAACACAAGGATTGCAGCCCTGCATTTTACATTTCCTCAACATGTCACAGTAGGCATTTAAAATACCGTTGCCACAACTTTCAGGTAGTTCATATTCCAGGAGATGCGTAGAATGGGATCACCAATACTTAATTTTGGGGTTCTCCCCAGTTTCTTCACGGGGCGGGGGGGGATGCTGGCATTCCTTAATACACAGAGGAGAAAAAATCCCCAAAGAAAAAAGCAGCAGCACAACAGTCTTACCCATGTTAACATTCCCTTCAAAATATAGGGCTAATACTTATGTACAGTTGAGGTTGTAGATTCCTGTGAAGTTTTCCTGTCCATAAAGGTCATATTCCTTGTACAGTATGTAGTCTTTCAGGCACTTTGGCAGTGGAAGGAAGGTCATGAAGACAGGACAGCGGAGACGCAGCCGGCCCATGCACTCCCGGATCTTCAGGCGACAGAGATGCTTCAGAGAGCGAGGGTTTGCTAGAAAGGAGAATGCAAATTAAAATCCTGTCAGCAAAAAAGGCCCCAATCCCAAAGCAGCTTGTTTTCAATTCAAATGTAAACAGATACTTACTTAAAATGAAATTGATGTCTGGCCAGAGTTTCTGTTCTTTGAGAACTGCTTCGAGCTTCCAGCAGATCTTGACGTGATCGACGTAGTCTAACATCACTCGCACTACTTTCCCAGACACGTGCTTCAGCCACGACAAGGTTATCACTTCACAGAACTGAGAGAAACAAAATGTTTAATGGCATAATATTCAAAACTGAAGTATTACTGCTGAGTAACTTCAGCAGAATCCAAGGCAGAATGAGTGTTCTGTCACTCAGCTTGCATTAAGCCTCACCAGTAGAATCTGAAAATCTCAGAGATGGTTATTTTGTACTAAATCCAAAAATAAACTTCAGCAGCTGTATGTTTGGTAACTAAGTGCTTAGAAAGACGTGCCACGAATCCCTAAGTGGAATTTAGACTTCTGTCCTAGCATGCTGAACAGGGGTGTGCACCCCTCAGCCCCTTATCTTTAGGTTAAAGAAGGGTTTATTACTTTCAAATGGACTTTACAAACTGCTGCACAATGACACTGATGGGTGTCTCCAGGACCCTCTTTAGGTAGGTCCAAGCTTGTTAACTGCTGCTCAGTGCTTATCCTGCCAGCTCCAGGGTCCTTAGAGCAGCCTTCCAGTGTTGGTGTCACTGTTCAGGACAAGGCAGGGAACCAGCCTGAAAGTCCCTGCTCTCACAGCATGGACGAGACTGCTCTGGAAAAGCAATGCCATACTGATCATTAGATATCATAAGCAATTTTTTCTCAATTCAGAAATACAGTTGGCAATCATTTGCTACCACGAACCAGGCCTCATGGCAACATCTATTCAATTTTAAAGCCTTGTCTATTCCTATCTTTAGGTATAAACTCAAACCTTCCTTTTCTGACGCTGCCTTAAGTCCCTTTCCATTGAGTTGTAGGCAGGATGCTGGTGGCAGCCCAGCTCCCGGAGCCGGTGCTGCACTCACCATCGTGTCTTTGATGACAGTGGAGGTCCAGCCGTCAGTGACGTACTGCGAGTGGCAGTGGTCCCCGCCGGGGCAGTCGAAGCAGCGCTGCACGTTGTACCCGTAGTTGAGCAGCATCCTCAGCATGACCTCGTCCTTCAGGGCGTACTGCAGCGCCGAGGGGAAGTGCGTGGTGTTCACTCTGCAGAAGTAATTCACGTTGGCCCCGTGGCGGAGCAGCAGGTTCATTAGCTCGTAATTGCCCATTCTCAGGGCGATTTGCAGGCAGTTGATGGGATCCTGGTTGGTCAGGGCTCCGGCGTTCAGCAGCAGCCGCGTGGAGCAGAGATCCCCGTTGGACACAGCAAAATACAGCGCTGATTTGCGGTGGTCATCGTAGCCTTTGCGAACCCGCTGATCCAGCATAAAATTGGCATCAAACCCAGAGTTGAGGAGAAACTCGAGGCACTGTGGATGTGCTCCTGCTGCTGCTGAGTGAACTGGACTTATCCCGCTTTCTTTAATGGCAGCAAAATCAGTAACTGGAACTAAATATTTTAGGGCTCTGAAAAATAATAATAATTAAAAAGAATCTCAGAATCTTAAACATATTGCTTCCTTCACTCAACTCATCTTGGAATTTCTCTGTGTTGCTGGACTTCAGAATTCATCGTGACTGTAAAAATCATTTTAATCTACCTAATCAGTACGTTGGCAAGTATTGACTTGAATCGGTAACAATTAAATTTCAATGGATACTGACTTGGCACCTGCATAAAATATTACGCATAAAATATTATTATATTATACTGTAATGGAATAAAAATATGATTCTATATTCTATTTTTATATATATGTAAATATATATTCATTTTATTAACAACCCCATTCCTTGCTAGAGGATTACTCCTCAATAGAAGCTTTTCCTAAATGTCAAGAGCACGATGTTTTTAGTTAACCTGTAGGAATTAAAGAATTAATAAAATATACTATATTTTAACATGAATACATATAATCTAAAATGTAATATATACATTAAAGTTTAAATGTAACTTAATATAACTAATAAAATATTACCATAGGAATTAAGAATCCTCAGATTCTTGTTTCTCTCTTACTAATTGTGATTTTAGCGAAAATATCTTCCAGTAACCTTATTGTCTTCAACATAAGGGTAACCCTTCTTCCCTATTTGCCTATTTGATTTATTCACCTTGCTGTGATGGGGTGGAAATGAGACATAGACCCAAAGAGAGTGAGGATGTCCCAAGAACCTCAACATCAGCCTGGACAATGTTATTATTTGTGGCAAATAGGGAAATACTACAGGGATTAAAATATATATGCTAAAGTGATGAAGATTTTATCCTGACTGGTCTCTTACATTCAGACACAGAACAGTCATATGTACACAGTCAAAAACAATTCCTTGTACAAAACTACAGATTTGCTGCCTTCTTTGAATGAGATAGAATTAGCAAAATTAATATTTCTCATGTCACTGTTACTTGATTTTTAAGTATATTAACTCACAGAAAGTGTCCTCTATATGCAGCTCTGTGGATTGGCAAATGACCCGAGTGCTTTGGTACATTGGCATCAGCCCCATATTCTAGTAAAAGACTCACAGAATCTGGATTTCCTCCTCCTGCTGCTTCAAATAATACAGAAGCACAATCCATTGCCTGTGAAAGAACATCTGCACCTGGAAAGAAGCAGAGGGGATTTTCAGAGGATCACTGCACACACCCAGCCAGGATTAATGTCTCCAACCCTCCAGTGAGAGGGTATTGGGAATTCTATTCTTCACCAAATAATACCAATGTGGGCAGAAACCTTCATGTGGATCCTGGATTTTAGATGTGTTTATGGAATCCTGGGAACAAGAAGGTCCAAATTGCTTTGAATACAATTACGTGGTAAGAGTTGCTGCTAGAGCTGGACAAGCAAAGGGCCAGCTCATCCAAACAGTTGCTTTTTGGCTTACATTGAATGCTCTTCAACTCTTTTACTTTACAAAGACCAGACAGATATAACTGTAAATACGAGAGAACCCAATATCCAAAAAGTTCATGCAATCCAGTTCCAGGGCTGCTGAACCATCATGTAAAATTCCCCACAATAAATGTCTTGTCAGGCCTTTTCTAAGGTGACCTCTACACATGAGAAAACGATAGAGCATTGAAAATCAATTACAAATACAAAATATTTGTCAAATAAAATATGAATATATTATTTTAACCTTATAAAATGTGATTTTTATCAGGCCTTTACTTAACTACATCACAACAACCCTCTTGGTGCCGGTAGCATTTAATACTCTTTAGTAAGGTGAGTTACTTCTCAGTAGAGTGAGAAGCTGGCTCTGCATTCTGTACCCCATCCCATCATTTATAACCCTGATGACAGACCCCCACCCTGAGCCTGCTCTTCCTGGAAGATCCTATATAAAAAAGTCTTACCTTTTTGCAATAAGAGCTCCATAATCTCTGTGTGTCCCATCTGTGCAGCCAGTGCTAGAGGTGTGAGCCCATATCCACTGCGAGGGTCAGGATCTGCTCCGGAATGAAGGAGGAGCTCTACCAGATCCTTCCTGCCCAGCCTGGCTGCCTCATGTAGAGCAGTTCTCTTGTGGACACACTGCAAATCCACTTTGGCTCCAGATCTTATCAACAAGGAGGCAATCTCGTAGGAATTCTGTTTAATTGCTGTAGCACAACAAGCAAAAAGCATCAGACAGATGTTATTCAATGCTTTTCCATGCATTGTGGCTTCTGCAATGTGGCAGCCCAGGAAAGCTGTTCCTGCAGTGCTCTTTATCCTCTGAGAGATGTCACCCTACACTGACAGGTTTGTTATCAACAAGTCTGTTCTTTGCTTCCAAATGAACCATCTCATGATAATCTCTCTCTGTAATCCTCTATTGTGTCTGGTGATGGACCAGAACACAGCTTCCCTCACCACTAGATGGAGGCCACATCCAGGGCCTTGGTGGACTCAGGAGCTGCCAGCAGAGCTCCATTTCAGCTTCATAAGCAGTTACCACAATATGAAACAAAGTTTAAAATTATTGTGTCATATACCTTCTTAGCTTAATAAGCCTGAACTGTTAAATCTGTAAGGATCTTAAAAGAGAAATTTGCATTGGCTCCAGGGAATGGAATGAAGAGGCAACACCTTTCCCTCCTTCTCTCTTTGATCTCCCAGGCTGTGCAGGGTAGCAAGTGTCCTTCATCAGGACAGATTAGGCTGAGAAGCTTCATATGCCACAGCTGCTTGAAGTACCCCTGACAGCATCCTGTGATCTGAGCTGTGATGTGCCATTATCTGGAACCTACATGGCTGCTTTAGATAAATCCCATACATTCCCATCTTGTGGGATGATGCAGTTTAATACTGTGCACTTCAAAAGTATCTAGGAATTCTCTACATCCTTTGCAAGCAGGTGGCCCTGACCAGAAGCTTCAGCTGTTTCACAGGGATGGAGTGGGGGTCCTACAAATGGTTGGTAGGCTCTGCTCCTTTAACAACAGTTTTGAAAAAAATACCCTTGCAATACTGAAAAATGTACAGGTTAATCCAAGAAATTTATAGTGGTCCTTTAGAACTGAGATAATGACAACACACTTTCCTTTTTTTGGCTAGGATTCAGTAAGAATTATGGCATCATAGCCCAAACTGAGGGAAGCAAATGAAATGAACACAGAACATTTGAAAAACATTTTGGTAAAATATGGTTCTTTGCAAATCAGGAATTGCAGTTCTCGTGCATGATCCAGTTAAAGTGGCATCCACACAGAGCGGTCCTGGGTATGGGAGTGCCGTGGGATTTGGAGAAAGAGAGGCTGATGCAATGGAAGAGATACCATGTTAGGCAGAGATTAGGAATGTTTTATGCCTGCAGACATGCAGGGCAGTAACAGCATGAAGGAGGACCTGGTTGCCTGGCACCACTGCATAAATGATGCCAAGGGAAGCAGAGGATGACCCTCTGCCCTTCATGGAGAAAGTTAATTGATTCTCTGGGGGGAAAAATGTATGTTCAACCTGAAATTCAAACTCTTTGCAACTGAGGAATGAAAGGCAGTAGGCATCTGGAACTCCCTACATTGGATCAGATTTTGTGGAAAGATATTTTACTTCTCCTAGGTCTACGTTTATGGGAAAATGTTAATTAATAAATAATGCTAAGAACTTAGTGGTGACAGACTCTAACTTGGAACTGACAACTTATTTGAAGACTTGATATCATCTAAGAAAAACAGACAAGGACAGACAACATTCAGTGCTGAGATTAAAATTTTTTCCCCCTTAGAGCAAAAAACTTAATAATAAGTCAAATTGAAACCTGAAATGTGTAAGTATGATCTCCCCTAATTCCCTCAGCTCTCCACCCCTAAATAAGGTATTCACCTATAACTAAAGGAGAATCTCCCTCTTCATTCTTGACGTTGGGATTGCAGCCATTGATGAGGAGCAAGCAGACATTGCCCACAAAGCACTTCCTCACTGCCACCAGCAGAGGTGTTTCCCCTTTCAGGGTGCTCTGTTCCCACGTGTGGGCCCGGGAGGCTGAAATGCAGAACAGCAGAACACGTTTGAAGCTGGGTGACTGATTCAACTCGACTCTGTAAAAACTTCTTGGTGGCAAACCAGGAGGACTCTGTACCTTTCATGGTTATTTCAAGGATGTTCTTATTTGGCTGTGCTGCAGCTTCATGCACAGGAAGCCAGCCCTGCTGATCTGCTTCTTCAAAGGCACAGCTGTGCTTCACCAGCTTCTTCAAGGCCTCTTCTTGGCCTGTGGGGTTTTAAGACAGACACGTATCCCATTACTAACCATAAGACAAAATTCAGACAACCAATATATTGAGTGTCACTTATCCCATCAGTGTATCTAGAATAAACAACTGGCTTTGTCAGAGCAATTTTTTCTCAGAGGGAAGTTTACATGAATGGAACAATCAATGATCAGCATTGATTCACAAAGCATTTTGAATTATAGATGGAAAACCACTTCCTTACAATAACGTGACTAAAATATTTCAAGTACAGTCTTCTCATGAGCAATATTGCATCTCATATTGGAATACACTTAAGTTTTGCAATTAAGGAACAGTATTGGAACCCTCTAGAGAAAGCTTTTTAATCTGGGTATCTTGCAAAATGGAAAATGCTACAGTAAAGTATCACTTGACTAATCAATTAATACTTCAAAACTGCTTATTTTAAAAGAAAGGCCTGGAATTTTCCCCTAATTTCAGGAGATGAAGCACTGTAATTTCTGAAAAGGGTGACACTTGAACCTATCTTATTACCATGATCCTATCTAATAAGTTAGTTTGGATGTCCTGTTTTCAGTTGCCTTACTCTTCCCAAGACTACAGAAAGAAAAACTGCACTTAAATCAGGTGATCAAACAGCTCAAATGTAGGCATTGCTCAGCAATTCCCAGGGGAACAGGCTTAGTGGGGGGGATTTGTACTTAACTGTCTGAATTGCTGCAATTATCTCTCCACGTTCTTTACTTGCAGTAGACTGGAAACTGCACAAACAGAACAAGAATGGAGTGAGAAGTAAAAATGAATGTGAGACACCATAAGTGTTGAATTTTTTACATTAAAAAAGTAAATACTAAGATGAGGGGAAGCTACCATACCAATCTGATTTTACATCACCTACTTATCTTCTTCATAAAGCCTTGCCCTCATTTAGGTATTGATGTAACACATCATCTGAAATGTTCATACATTCCCATATTTTCAAGGAAACAGGTACACTTTTTCAGGGAGAACTCAGGCCAAGTGAGCTACCAGTGGTTTCCAGTACCCATGAGAAAAGGTCAGAGCAATCCAGCCCAGGGAGTCACAAAGGAAAGAAAGGTTACCACATGCTTACAATAATGCCAAAACTCAAAATAGAAGTAGTAAGTTATTACCTTTCAGCCTCTGTTGCACAGCCACTTGTTTCAGTTTTGTGCCTCTCTTGTAGGCTTTCCTGAATAGCTCGTTGGGTAGGGATTTCTTCATCAGAATTGTCATCAAACAAATACACAGAATTGTACATGGCAAATCAGCACAGCCTGGATCACCTCGTGCAGGGAAACTGCTTTTTAATTGGAAGCAGATGTTAAATCTTCAGGTTAAATCTGAAGTCAAGAAACAGCAGTCACTGTTACAGTATCAAGAGAAATGAAACATGGTTTAAAATAAATGAATTGGAACTTTTCCATCTCAAGCTTCAGCCTTCTCCCAAGGGTTTAGGTTTGCACTGCAGGATTATTCTATTTAGAACAGAGTAAAGGTTTTCTACTCCTGTAGCACATCCCAGCTTTTTTCTCTGTTCCACAGACTGAACATACAGAATAGCTACTTGTTCTGGCATTGCTTCCTAGAAGGCAACAAAAATAGGCAAAACTTTGCTCTTAGATAAACAGTCATTCCCTCTTAAGCCATTTAGACACTCAAATATCATCACAACTGAGTTCTGATGTTTCCTTAGTGGGAAAACAGATGTACAATAAAACACAGGATGTTTTCCCTGTTTGTTCACAGCAGGCCTGGAAGGGAAGGGCAAGTGAAGGACATGAAATTTTTTAATAAGAGCTCTTGTTCAAACTGTTTCAACAAAGACATTGTTGGGGCAGTATCTGGTAGTCAGGAAAGTGTTGCAGATCCGTGGTGTTTTGTGCACATGCTTAGAAAAACACCAGCTTCACCACCTTATGTACCCAGTGCACTGCCTTTTATAACTGATAAACTTACAGTTCTGTCTCCATCCCTGCAGCCCGTTTGCTTCTGATACTTTTAAGGGATATATCCAAAATACTGCAACAGTATATATCCAAATACAGGCAGAAAGAAAGCACACTGGTGTAACCACAATTAAGTTAATAACACAAAAAAAGCTTAAGAATAGCATTAATTAAACAAAAAAATACAAAAAAAAATCAATCAAACAAACAAACAAAAAACCACACCAAACCCAAAAACCAAGCACATAAAACTTCTCTATATTGAAAGGGTTCAATTAAAGATTGCAAGACAAACCACGGAGCATAGAACTAAATCTAACTGCTACTATGTTAAGTCTAAATGTTAAAATTTAGGAAGAAATAATAAAAAATGATTCATGATCAAACTGATCACTAAATGGCATAATGGATGTAGATGTGCACTGTTAAGCAGTCCCACTGTCCTTCTGTATATTCAGCTACGTGCTACTATAGGTTAAAATCACAGATGTTCTGTTAGGCTCAAACCTCTCATCTGATTTACCTTTTCAAAACATCCACTTCAGTCTTGCAAGACAGTTGGCCTGAAAGAAATCCTCAAAACTACAGGGAAAAATAACATAAAATAAATAAGTAAAAAACAGAAAGCAAATAAATAAACTGGCAAAATGAATGAGCACAGTAAAGTTAAGGAAGTTGTCAACATGCCACTTACAAAGTTTGGAGTAATTCTAGAAACATCTTAAAGTTGGACAGCAGGAATTCATTGCAAACCTGCAGCATTTAATTTGTTACCTGATCCACCTAATGTATGATTGCAAGGCCTTGCTCTGTAATAGCACATGTAGCAAAGAAGAGAAATATTATTAGCAACATATACAGACTGTTAGTAATGGATTATACTATGGCACAGTGAAACATTTTAAATCTAGACTATGCTTTTTTGTAAAAAGACTACTAAGTTTCCTATGAGTTGAGAAAATATACTGGTTTTCCTCACCTTCTGAAAGAGGGAAGACCTCACACTTTGAAGAAGTAATTATTAAGCTGAAAGTGATATTTTCAGGATGGCAAATGATCTCTGCAGAGCCCATGTCCATTAATAGCTCCCTATAAATACCCGATCATGAGACAGGCTGGGACTTTGTCCATGTTTCTCTCACACAGGCCAGTCATGTTTAATAATCTGACCTGACAAGTGGTGTCAACAAAAGAAGGAATTAAAAGTTCAGTTTCCTTGTAAAAATTCTCATGCTTTTGGAATGAGAATTTCAGAACTTTAGTGGTAACTATTACATTATGAAAAGTCTTCAGTGCTGTCCTAAGAGAGAAAACTGGAGAGCTTACTTAGAAGGGTAAGAAAGCACCAAAACTAAAACCAATAAAATAAACACAAACAAGTAAATAAAATCAAGCAAAAATGCTATTAAAATTATTATGTTTCTGATTGCTTAGTCACAATTCACAGTGATATAAATAGAAAAGCAAATGAGAAATAAACAGAGTTTTTAAAAGAAATAGAAGTTTCAGTAAGACAGACTTACACTGGTGTAACACCCAGCAAAGGGAAGTGAGGGACTCAGATGCCCAGTTGTAACAGTGATGGCAGGATGGAATTATTCCCACTGTATTTTACAGAGGGATCCATATAAAGAAATGATGATATATCTGAATACAAGGTAGAAAGAGTTCTTTGCTAGAGGAGATCTAGAAAGAATGCTTGAGTAATTTTATTTCTTTTTATTTTTAAAGGAAAGAAATGTGCAGCATCAAGTTTATTGCCTGTAATGTTTCTCTCAGAAAGTGCAGACTACTTTCATTAACATACATTTTGTGATATTTAACTAAGGCATAAAACTGATGTTCACACAACAATAACATTACCGAGGGCTAAAATCCTAGTTGTTTGTTTACAGACTGTAAAGACACTAATAATAACAACACATACTTAATTAAGACAAAATACCGAGGATCAGAAAGTATTTGTAGCCCTCTTAATATAAAAACTCCAGATGTTTCTTTTCCACGCTGTGTTCCCTTTGCTGTGTAAGCCAACAAAAAGAACAGGATCTCGTGGAGCCTGGCCTGAAGTGCCCAGGGTCAGTCATCCAGCTGGCAGAGCAGTGCAACCCCCCTCTTGATCCAGTGCTGGACGGGTTTGTCCGTGTCCAGCCTCAGGGCGATGACGAAGTTGGTGGAATGGCCGGTGGTCGAAAGGACTCCTTTGCGCTCACTTGTCTTGTAGAGTGGGCAAACGTAGGCATTGGATTCCTTTATGTCTGATTTTGGAGCTTCAAAAGAACCCCAAAATAAGCCATTACATTGAGCAGATCTATTGATACAATAATCTGCATGCAAATATCAAGTATTTTCAGTAACATCTTTAAAGCTAAATAAAAATGCAACATTGTTTTGTGAGCAGCAGAATAAAATTATCCAGCTTCTCTTTTTGGTGTTCTCTTGTGTGGTTTCTTTTGTTTTTAAACCCAACTAATTTATCCACAATTTGTTTTCAGGATTCAGTGCCTTCCTGTGATTCTACTAGCTTTGTACTACTCAAAGAAACATTAAAATCTGCACAGTTACCTACTTAAACCATAGTTTATACATGAGCATTTGAGCTCTACAAGAATTCTGGTCCAGCTGCCACAGAACTAACTGCAATTCAAGTCACCTGAGATCCAAGAACTCTGCAGGAACTCTTTGTATGCCCAGGCTGCTTACATGGAACTTGTGCAAAGCCTAAAATCATTCAGGTCTGAACAGATTCATCCAACCTCAAGAGAAAGCACAGGCAGGCAAAGTAGGAATTTTTTAGACTACCTATTCACTGATGACATCTAAGCTGTAACAGTTGCAGTAGAAAGTTGTGATTATGTGAGTAAAACAGGGATTTACTCCTCCTGATCAAAGAAATTAAAAGTTGTGAAAAACTACTTACTAATATGTCAGACGGCTGGCACAGGAGCTAAAAATAACCTGAGCAAAGCTTGCTAAATCACATTAGGTAAAATATTGAGTCTCTGTAAGTCAGTTAAAAGTTCCCCTCGACTTGAATAGAGTAAGGAATTCAAGTACCATGTGCTTTCCTACCCAAATTAACTTTTGGTTGAAAAATATGTTGGGAGCAACTGAACATATTCACAAAAACTTCATTTAACTAGTCTTTTCATCTGAAAGTAAAAAAGGAAACCACTGTTGTGATTTCTTGTTGAATAGCTCATACCAGAGAAATTGTACTCACTTGGCTTTATCCAGATGATTGGCATGGCATCAAAGAGCACTTTGGGATACTGCTCAGTCAACATTCCCCTGGTAACAGAAAGCAACAAAATAATTATTTGTGGCTTGAGGGATTCGGTGGGGGTTTTTGGTTGTTGCTGTTCATTTGTTGGCTTTTTCTTCCATGTATGAGAGAGTACTTAATTTGGGGTGTTACTTCAATAACGTGAAAAGTATCACTCAAAATATTTCAGCCAATCTTGTTTGGGTATCTAAGAAAGCTTTCCAGAACCACAGTGAAAAACTTGGCTACTGACTTTGTCCTGTCCCAGCGAGCTCCATCTAAAAATAATCCGTGGATATAAACACCATCTTCTGGTGCAGTATCAGCAGTATCCTGAGGAATAACCTGCAAGAAATAAGTTTTCCATGTTATTAAACTTCCACTGCTCTTTGCAGTAACACCTTCCTTTCAGTGCTGCTTTTATTCAAAACCATAGAGAGCAGATTTCTGTGGGTTTCTTAATTACCTTTATAGAGGTTATAAAATGAGGCTTGAATCCCACAAATGAATATGAACCATATAGGCTGTTTTTTGAGTGGAGGTCCAGGTCCAATGCCAGAATTACTTTTCATTACTTTGAATATATCTCTTCTATAGATGTTATATATTATCTTATTAATATACATTTAAGGTATATTTAATATATTTAATATATATATAAGGTATGACAATGTTACTAAAGAAATACATGTATGTCTTCAGACTAGAGTGAGTTAGTTGCAAAATGAACCTTCCAGTCAGGGTTTCTGTACTACATCTCACCACAACATCAGGACTCAGATAAATAAAATATTAATTTAAAACTTATCCATACCTGAAATTCATATCCCAGAAGGTCAATAGGGATTCTGTGTTTCCTAGCATAGTTTTGCATTGCTCCAGTTAGGAAAGCTTGAGTAAAATAGAATCCTGACAGCCAAAAAACAGGGGGCTTTCCTAACTCATACCAATCCTGGAAGGAGAAAAGTGACACATTCAATAATCAGAAAGAGAAATCCCACACTCTTTGACAATTTTCTGCTTAACTATAGTCAGAAAATCTAAACAAAGCCTATCCTTCCTTTCCCAATAATCCTTTAACTTAAAGGACAAATGATATGAAAAAGGAGATATAACTAACTGGCAGCCCTGCCTCTTGTACATACCTGTAAAAACTTGAGCCTTGCTAGCAAATCTACAATGTAGCTCCCTAATGGCTTTAGGCTTGGGTAGGAATGTTGTGCCCACTTCTCAGGAACTTTTCCAATAAGGAGACTGCCAGACAGAGCCTCCAGCTCAGCATCCATAACAACCAGTCCCTTAATGGCTTTCTTCAGGTTAATGAGTGTAATACGAATAGTTCGGATTAAACTGGAATCAGAAAATAAAACATTTTCCACGCATTTTGCGTGGTTTGTAAAACATGACAATGGCACTGGAAAGAAATTTTAAAAAGTGACTATGGAATCATCTATGGAACTTGTATACCTAATACATACATACACATACATATATATATACACATATACACAATTAGCCACATCTGTCAAGTCATGGCTTTGTGCAGGTTTATTTAAGACTAGGAACAGTAATAATTATCTCTGATATACTCTGTATTGTTAGGAAAGAGGATAAATTTGAAGGCCAGAGGGAATTAGGGAGAAAATGGAGCAGGAAATGTGAAGAGACAAACAGAAAAGGAGGAGGGCAAAGGAAAAACAGAAAGAAGGAATGGAGAGGCAGGCAGAGAAAGAAAATTAGGAAACAAAGTCAAAAAAGAGACTAGAGAACCAAAGAGAAAAATGAAAGTGAATCTAGGTTTGTAATCCTAGGAGAGTACTTGTGGAAATACAGTCTAAGGGAAAAAAGCATGGGAAAAAGGGGAGGGGGGAAACGGAAATTTTTCAGACAGAAGTATATGAGACAATAAAGAAAGATACAGAAATATTTCCATCTATCAAGGAAAAGGTTTCATAAACTACAACTGTGAATGTATTACAGTTTCTAAACCCTTTACCCTACAGGTCAGAAATACGAGGAAAATAAAATATAATTGACGATAAAGATGGTGAAAGGGAAAGGGAAGTTAAAAAAAAAAAAAAAGGAACATAAAAATACTGTTTGCATTCTCTCTTCCCAGAGCTTCCTCACACTCCCTTCTTCTATCCTGTATTTCTCTTTCAGTTCATTTTGCCCCTAGACCATTTCTCCTGACAGCCATCCTACACTCTGACTTTCCACAAGGAGCAATGGTGCTTGGACTGCAGATACCACTGCAGACAATTAGAAGGGAACAAAATAAATGGAATATTTCACACAACAGAGCTTACAGTGTATGAATCACAGGAAGTTTTTCCTGCAAAAAGAATTATAATAAAATAGAACATTCTTACTTGTTAAATCTTTCCATTTCTTGCACCAGCACAGTGTTCATACTTTCTTCATATCTCACAGGATATTTAAGTAGGCAACTTTCAATGTCAAAATCATTTGGAAGCTGTAAATGACAACATTTTTGAAAATCATTCCATATATCATTATGCAATGGTTTTACATTCAAGGTATGCCAATGTGAATCTTTGCAGAGCAATAATACCACTAAACGTTCTGGTTAGTATCCTGTATTGTACCTATTTAATAAAGCTCCTTCCAACTGAAATATGGCTGTGGTGTTACAGCCACACCAGTTCTTACTTGCACAACTCACTAAATTCTTCCCAGAAGCTTTTTCATCCAACAGGAAATCTATTTGACACTTCAGATTGTAATTAGGGAATTTCTGCCTTGTAAAAAGATAAATGGAAGTCGTTTGTATAATACAATACCTTGCTGAGAATATCATCTGCAATTGCATAAAGGGTGCTGTCGCCTCCCCCAGAAGTTCCCTGAGTGCCTCCTCCTTGTGTTAAAAGCAGAGATTCAAAGAGGGTCTTGGTTTCCTGAAGATCTTTCGCAATATCCACATTGTCATGCAAGCCAAATATCTCTGGTTGCTGACTAAAGGGAAGACTCTAGGACAAAATCATAAACATCTGCATGAGATAAAGCAGCACACTAGGAATCAGATCCAAGGCTTTTCTTAGAAGTTGAGTGAAAAACTACCACTTACTTAACTGCAGATGAATAAGGACCTTAGGGGCAGGTATTTGCAGACAGTTGCTGGTGATAGAGCCATCACCTCTCATATAGAGAGACATTTCCAAGGAATTCTCGATTATCTATGCTATAGATCTTCCTACCTACTTACTGATTCCCTCTCAGAAACATTCCAGATCATGGCAAGGATCATACTGGGGTGTTAGGCACGAGGTCGAGCACACAATTTAATGTTCTGCAAAACCACCTTTCTAAGGCAGAGAAGCCTTTCAGTGTTTCTTTGTTTGTGCTTCATCACTGTAACACTTCAAAAGCTTGTTGCTCCTTTTTACCTTAATAAACTCGATGTATTCCTCATAGGTGCCTTTTGGTGGAGCATAATAGTTGCCACTGGGAGAAAAAGTGTACCGGGGGTTTTCAATGATGTCTGGATTGTAGAAGTCATCCAGCATCGTCAGCAGCAAACGCCGGTCCCAGTCATCTGTCACTCGGCCTCCATAGTTACACTCCCCAGTCAGGTAGGACACAGCCTCAAAGGGAACATGGCTGTATTCATTGATGAACAGCTGAAACACAGCACAGGGATTCTAGACACTTGTAAGATCTGCAGAACAACAGTTTGACCTAACAGGCTGGCAGCTACAGCACGTGCAGAGCTGCAGTTTGTGGAGTTTTCTCTGTAAGCATTGGAAATTCAAACTGTGAAATCTTTTTTTTTTTTTTTCAGGTAAAAATTACTATTTCAAAATACAGTAAAAGCCTCTTATGAATATCAGAATTACTCAGCCATCCAAGTCATTCTTGAATTATTTACAAGGGGATGGTTTTGCCAGTCTAAACTTTCCAGATGGACACTTTTCTGTGTCATAAACACAGATCCCTTTCATTAACTTCTTGGTAGCTTTTCTAGCTGTTCAGCCTTAACTTCTGTAACTTGGTTTTAACTCTCCTGACTTTTCTACACAGTGCCTACAGAAGATTCAAGGTCAAGTAGTGTTCACCATTTCATCTGGGGGCAGGACAATAGCCTGAGGTTCTGTTAACTGGCAAAAAAAAAATATTTCCTCCTACAAAGCACCAAAATAGGTTACATGGTACTACTTAAAGCACAGTGAGCTCTTATGTATGACAGTTTAACTTTGATAATATCCATATACACTCATTCCATGGGTCTATAGGAATCTAAAACTCATGAAGAACAAATCCCTTATTTCATTTGTAATTTTGAATATATTTATAACATGATTGACATTCCTTGCCTTTACAGCTGAAGTCATTAATATCTATGAACATTTGATGTAACTTCTGTCATATTTGCTCCTTTTGACTACCAGCAGGGCTTCCCAAAGCCAGAGTTACAGGGAGCAATCCCTGATTTTACCTGGAGCTGTCTGATACTGATCCTCAGATCTGATTCGTTAAATCCATAGGGTATATTCCAACCCAGAGGGCCAAACTTTCTCCTCTCCTGAACAAGAGCGTGGAAAAAACAAACTCCAAAGAGCAGTTTCTCCCATACCTTTGAGAAAAGCAAAACAAAGCATTATTGACCAGTGATTCTTAACTAGTCTGTAGCTCGTGCTGGTGTGTAACCTGCACAGAGAACACCACGTGAGATCCACTCTCTGTCTCGGTACCAGCACAGGGCACCACGGAGTGCTCTGTGGTTCTGTGCCCTGGGAACCTGAGCACGCACAGCTGCCACACAGGCAAGCACACTCAGCCACTTCCTCAAGTGCTATTAACATTCTTCCATGAAAAGGGCAACAAACAGCACCAGATATTTATTTTTAAGGTTCATTAGACAAAGGTAAAATAGAGATGTATTTTTAATGCAAATCCTTAGGTGCAGTCACACCCATGCACACAGATAACCCACATCCCTGACTGTTTTTCACTTCCTTCAAGGTCATGATTAGCTCAGAGGTTCCTCATAAGACATATGGGCAGTGTAGAACTTGCTCCCTGGGAGCAAGAAAAGATGTCCTGAGTGCTTCCCATCTCAGTAAATGACAGAAACATCACCCTACAGAGCTCATGTCCATTGTGCACTACGTGTGTGTGACATGGAAGTGATTTAATAAAGTCTAAGAAATCATTTGAAATATTGCCACGTGAAATTACCTGGCAGAAGGAATTCTCAACTAGTCATCTTTATAATTGCAAAACCTAAACCCACAACCACAGTAAAAAATTTAGGTTATGATATACACTGGACAGAAATCAATTTATCTGGGGATAAAAAACCCCACCAAAACAACAAACAAACCCAAATCCAAAAACTTCTCAAGAGATGGGCACATTACCAGCTCCTTTCCAGGGCATCCAGAGAAGAACACGGGATCAGAAATAGGATCAGAGAGAAATGACTGAAGTAGGTTTAACCGGAGACCAGTAGGAGGTTCATTTGTCATCTTCACTCCATTCTGCAGAATGGTTACTGGGAACTAGAGGTAAAACCCAGCAAAACTGCACTCAGAAAGTGTGGAAGGGATGCTAAATTAACAATATATTATTAGTCTGTGTTTGTTGCATAAGCAATTATCTGCAAGAAATTACATATTAAAGAACAATAGCTTACAAAATAGTCTCCAATGCATCAAGAAAGACCTATAGTTTAAACCTATAGTTTAAAATGTTTTTGAGGTATTCATTACATCACAAATAAAATGCAAGATTAAATTTTTGAATTTATGTGAAACAAAAATTTGGTGACAGCAAAAATACACAAAATATCACACAGTACAGTATCAAAATATTTTAAAGGAAATTTGAGATTATTATGTTTAAAATTCTTTTTAAAGTGTTCTTTATTGAATAAGTTATTTCTTCAAAGCTTCATTCTGTTTCAGAGAAGTTCTGCATTATCAACTCATTCAGGTATATAAATATTCCCTGAAAATGCCATCAGTTTTTCCTTTCCCAAGTACAGAATCTGGGCAATGCACACACCTTTGGTGAAGGGTAACTTGTAAGCCAAAGTCTGAAGTCTGGGTGACATTTTTCACTGTTAAGCTCCTCACATATTTTCTCCAGCGTTGGCATCCAGGAGACAGCCAAATGACAATTCTGTAAACAGACCCATGTTCCTTCTTCCATTGCTGTTTCAATCATTCTTGTAGCTATAGGTCCTTGTCCTTGTCCTAAGGAGATGGACTGGAACTTGTCCCCCACCATCTCTCTGTCAGTTGCCAATTTCAGGAGGCCTTGAACGAGAAGCACAAAATTTAAGTATTTCTTCATGAAAAAGAAGTAATGGCAGAAAATAATATATTTGAAAACCTTATATTACTATTTTGTTTACACATACATAAAAAATTCTCATGTTTATGGAGAACAGAATGTTACCAGTGTGAAATGATGCATTCAAATCTACTTGCAGAAAGTGCAAAATAATCTTCCTGGTGTATGGAAGGGGAATTTCAGGTCCCTAACCTGAAAAGCTGTTCTACACTACTGTTTTCCCTTTCTGTGTATACTTACTAGACATGGGATCTGCTCCTGGAGACAGCACAAATATTAAGGGGATTGTAGAATTTGAATCCAAGTAACTTTTTGATAGATCAAAAGGTGGTGGCTCAACAAATTTCTTCCCCAGTTTATCTGTAACAAACGTTGTTATAGCTGGACTAATCTATTAAAAAAAACAAACAAATGCAAACCATTAACACAAACATAGACTAAATAACGTCAGACAAAAGTTCTCTGGTGATATTAGTGGTGTTTGTATTGCTCACTTGAAAAATGAAAACAGCATTGATTTTCTTAGTAAAATACGATGAAAATCAGATTCATTATTGCAACAGCCACTGTAAACTCTGCTACAAAGCATGGAACAGTCTGCAAACACTCCAAAACAGATCATTTTACCTTGTCTGGTCTTAAGCACCGAAGAACTATAATCTTTTGTAATTCAGTTAATGTATTATCCAATTCTTCTGGTAATGGACAATTTTGAGGCTCTTTGCTGTCATAAATTTTTTGCCATTCACCAATATTTTCAGAGACGTGACTCCTGGAGAGAAAACCCCCCACAGTTACTGTAAATACCTGGATTCTTTTTTTTTTTTAATGTTTATCAAAGGCCAATCACATTGTATTGTCATCTAAGCCACTTCACATCTACATAAAAAAACAATCCCACAGTTCAGCTGCTCCATGGTGAATGGAGAAAAAGCTCTTCCCACCAATCCCCCCGTGCTGCTGCCAACAGACTCCACCTGAGAGATTCCAAGCTGACAATAAGTTCTGCTCCTTCCTCTGGCCACGACTGCTTGGACCTTCATAGGTCTGGGTGAATTATCTGCCTCCAGTATTTCAGGAGAACACCACACTTTAATGGAGAAAATTCCCAGGAAATTGAACTAGGGAAACGCCTGTATTTTCCTTCCCACAACATGCAGAGTACTCCTCTGCAGTGGATAACTCTCAGACTATTTAAAGGCTGGATCACCGTACACATTGTTACAAAAACTCCAAAGGGGCTAAAACACCAAACACCTCAAACAATTTCTTCTATCAGAGCAGTTTTCTGCACTCAGATCCAAATGTGCCAAATATTTGCACTCAGCTATTTATATGCAAGACTTGTGCAACCATGCTGGCTCCAGAATGTAGTGTTCAATTCTATTTAAACCCAGGGTGAAGTTCTACTTATTCCAGGAGATCAGATTTTACCAGAGAAACTCCTTCCCCAGAACTGCACTGGAATTCTGCTCTGGCATTCACTGATCCCTTAAAACAGTTTCTCTACCACAGAGAAATTCTAAAAGAAAAGTTTCTTTAGGCAATGCCTCAAACAGTTTAGAAAAATAATTTAATGAAATAATATTATAAATAATGTTCTGACTGACTGAAATAAGTGAAGAAAACATAATGGTGAAAAAAGGGGCTGGTTTTGCCCTGTTGGCAGTCTGGCACTGATTTGGAAAATGTATAGCAAACCTTTCTCTCAGCATGTTACACGTGTTGGTCAAAACCAATTAAGGTCAATTCACATCAATATTTTGCTATACCTCAGTCTTTCCATAGCTGGCATTTCACTTGCACGACATAATTCATCCCAGCTCTTGTCTGACAGCCAAGATGGAGCTGGATTCTGATACTCATTCTTGAGACCCACACCCCCAGTTAGTAAGAACATAAACTCTTGACGTTCTATTTCATTACTAGCCCTATGTTAAAAAAACAAACAAAAAAACCCAAAAAAAAAAAAAGAGAGAAAGAGAGAAAGATATTCAGCAATAGAGGTACAATTTAACATAATATAAACAGTTGTTTAAAATAAATAAATTGCACTTCACTGCTACTTAGTAATGCTTCTACTGAGGTAGCAGCTGAGATCAGATCTCAGTATTCTATCTAGTTACAAAACTATGGCAGAAATGTCTGCTTAAGACTATGGTAAGAGTTTCAAGAGGTAAATCTTAGAATCAAAGAATTGTTTAGGTTGGAAAAGACCTTTAAGATCATCAAGTCCAATTGTTCCTCCCATCACTGCCAGGCCAGCACTAACCTACATCCCCAGGTACCACATTTATAGGGCTTTAAATCCCTCCAGGGATGGTGATTCCACCACTGCCCTGGGCAGCCCGTTCTAGTGTTTGACAACCCTTCCAGTGAAGCATTTTTCCAAATATCTGCTTATTTGTTTTTTAGAAGTGCAATTACACCTGAATTTTAAAGGCTCTATAGAAAATACTGGGTTCTGGGAATAGAGTAGCTGTACAAATTGGCCCAGGAAGAATGGTCCATGAACAGACAATATACATTGTAATGAAATAAGTATGCATATTACAGTTGTGCAATTTTGAACTTATCATTCCTTTCATGGTGTGTTCAATAAAATTACAAAACTTCAGGAAGACAAAACTAAAAAGCTTGTGAAAAGAAGTCTACATCTGAGATCTTATGATGTGTGACAGAATAAGAGAGAGAAGAGAGAAAATGACAAAGACAAAAGCCTAGAAATTGTCAGCATTGCATTTTACTGCTTAAAATTGCTTTCTAAAATGTGTTCTCAAAAACCAGCAAATGTTTTTGACATGAGGATGCTATGAAACACTACCCAGGGTCCTTTAAAGACAGTCAAAGATGTAACATTGACAAAACTACTGATTTAAATGAGCACAGGAACATTCTTTTCATAATGTGTCCTGCAGTAGTGATAAATGCACTCACATTCTCTTTCATTGACAAATACCATATGTATTAGAAACCCCAAAATATTCATGACCTCACTCCAAAGGCATTATTATCAATGTGCACGAGAACATGCCACCTCATCAGTCCCATTTCCATGATAAGAAAACCATTAGTTTCTAGTACTAAGAGACTTCTCCCAACTGATCTCACATGAGCAGGTTGCAGCAGAGCAGAAACGAGAAGAGCAGCTTGTCGGTCTCGAACAGGGAGCGGCACACTTGGCAGTACAGATTGTATGTGAAGTGGTCATTCAGGTACTGAAGTCGCTTCTTCAATATTTTGGATTTATTGCTAAAAAGGAAAGAAGGGAGAAACCGAGACTTCAAATTGAAAAAGAGGCAATGAGTTAAGAAATTTCAGTCTATTTAGGGCTGTGCAGGATATTTGTAGATCCACGTGCTCCACAAGGGACTTAGATGCCAATTTCCCCAAAATTTCAATTACAGTTCGTGTCTCACAGCACTTTTAAAAGTCCCAAGCAAAATAATGAGCTGAAATCAATTTGCCACAGTTAAGTGGTAGCACTCATTGTTCATAATGGAGCCCAGTTCAGAGCCAGAGGACATCCTGTCTGTAAGTCTATTCTTTAAAATAGTTAAATACAGCACATGCTTACAGTCCATGATTCACTTAAACAGTAACAAAAAGAGCAATTACTTCATTAACCAATCATATTCTGCCTCAACAGCCTGCATTTAAGGAGGGAAATAATTTCCAAATGGAGAGATGAGAAGAGAATGAAAACACCTCATTGTCCACCAGGAAGGCTCCCTTTACCTGTCGTGAATGGAGTGGATGAAGAGGTTGACAAACCAGCTGAGGGAGTACTGGTACATGGGGTCGATGTTGGCCAGGTCAGCGATGCTGAAGAACAGCACAGCCGAGTGCTGTGCCACGGGCCGATAGGCCTCGCGCGACTCCGCGATCTTCTGCTCCGTTTTCTCTGCAACCTGAACGTCGACAGCAGGGGACACACAACAGCTTTGATACTGTTTGTGCAAAGATATTACTACCTAGCAACATTACTAAAATAGTTCTGTGCAGCACTTCATAACACCAGAGCAAGGCAACTTTCTTGTCGCAGAAGGTGCCATCGAGGAGGTGATGCCCGTGATGGGTTGGCCCTACCACTGCCTGATCAATTTACCTGTCCTACAGGGGGCAATAATGGAAACAAAGGAGGTATAACAGTATCCATGCATCAAAAGTATCAGTCTATCTGAAATATTAAAAAACATGACCAATTGCATTTGACTATCAGACAAATTCTGAGATTACATTTGATAGTCACTAACAAATATCAGTAAAACAAACATCAGCCTAAAGAAAGCACCAATATTTGATTTGTGTTAAATCTATAGTAATTAAAAAATGTAAAGAAAAAACCCTTTTTTCTCTCACTGATATTATTTAGCTCTCGCTGACTTCAGCTGGTATTTTTTGTATTAAGAATAATGAAAGAATCTTGCATATCTATATTAACCTAATTACTGATTACTAATGTCTTCTTGAATAATTTTTTCTTTTAAAAAGTAGTTCCTTTCTTTATCTTAACATGTTACCTTAACTTCAGAATTTAATATTTTCACTCAGTCTTACAGACAGATACAGTTGCTTTAAAACCTTTTAAATTAACGACTGAATAAACTACCAGTGAAGGTTCTAGAATGGGTCCAATTTTATTTCTCTTCCCATTTCATAAGTACAGAACTGCTCCTTGTGCCGTGCAACTAACTCAGAGTCCTTCTGCCAGCTCCAAATTTACCATTTAATTTCTGAGTATTGTTAAGGGAAGCACTCATACTCTCTCCTTACCTGCTGTTTTTTTGTGATCTCATTAGACATTACTTTAGCAGAATCCAAGACCTGGATGGCAGTTTCATCTTCCAGAATGTCCCCTTCAGATGAATGTAGAGTTTCTAAAATTTTCTTCTCAATTTCTTTTAGGCTCTTTTTATTGGCTGCAGACTGAACGATGAGAGCATTTCTTTCCTCTTCTAAATCTGGCCTAATGAAGGAAAACACAAACAACACAATCCGTCAATGCTCATCTTACACTGCCTGCAAAAGAAGCCCACCCATGAAAAGCACTCTGTTCCTACAATAAGTATTTTGAATACTCTCTTCAGTTTAAATAAGACTTTGCTGTTCAACATCTGTTCATGATTGTGAGTAAAGATTGACTTCCATTCAGTCTTTGGAAACAATGGTCTAATCTGTAATGTCTCAGCATTCTGCAAATGACAATCCATCCTGCTTTTCCTCTATCGTGGATCACATCCTGAACCAGTTTACTGCTGGAAACACATTTTTTAGCAAACAGAGTTTAGCCCAATTGCACAGACATGTCTGTACAACACCATACTACTACTCTGGATCTCTGGGAGGGCTCCAGTATGACCCATAATCACTTCCAGAGATATTTTCCATTTATTTCATACAAAATTAAAATATTCATAATTCTGCATCCTTGTCTGGCAGCTTTGGCACATTGTAAAAACAACAATAATGATTTTAACTCCAAATAATGTTTGCACAGTTTTCTAATATTCAAGGAATATTTCAGGAGAAAATTGCCATGAAACACCAATGATTTCATATCTGCTCTTTACCTACCCCAAACGTGACAATCTGTTTCCCTAACAAACTTTTAATTGTTTTTTTAAAAGCTGTTACTGAGCAACATTTACATCATGTAACATTCATTTTTCTATGCCATAAATTAATCTCTCATACTCTTGGAATTATGACATAAAAAAGTTTAATGGCTGTTTGCCCTAAAGAGAGACTTACCTCTCCTCTGCTACGACAATACCCAGCAACTGGTCTTCAAGTCCCTCTGGTGTTATCATAAAATTCAGTAATAAAACTTTTGTAGCAAGTTCAGGCATATAATGTGGATTTCTTAGTTTTGTGGTAATAAAAAACTTGAAATCACTGGAATATTCAATAACAGACTCACCAAGCCTGATACACTCCATGCCTCCTAAAATTAACAGGAGAAATGTTAAAAGAACTTTACTACTCCAATTATTTACAGGAATAAACCCCAACTTTTTTTTATTAAGTAAAAGTAAACTTCTTGTCAGTGACAAATTTCCTGAAAAATAAAAATAAATAAATAAATCTGATAATCTGAAACATTCTTAGCAAATTCAGTGGGGTCACATTTTACTCCTAGCAGGTGAAATCAAGTCAATCCAATGTCTACTGTACTTTCAATTTGTATATACAAAATAAAACTAGAGATGGTAACAGAGAATTGTGTAATTATTCTCATATATTATATTCTTACAGACTATTCTTTCCTTGAGTTACCTGCCTGAAAGAGAAAGCTACAAAAAAAAAAAAAAAAAAATAAAGGCAGAAAAAAAAAAAGTGTTTGAGCTTTGCTTTCCTTTATTTTTGAGTTATGAACATGAAAACCAGTAAAGATAAATCATGTAAGAAAGAAGGAAAACATATTTGTCTTTATCTGCATTTTTCTGTCACCTTACAGGAGGAAAATAAAAGTTGAAAACCAAATTCTCAGTTACTTAGCAAGAGTCAGAGAAAGGCAAATTGTGCCTCAGGCAGAAGGCCTTGACAGCTTTTCTTGATTTGTGCAGCATTTGGCAAATATTGGTATAAGCCTAAAACACATGAAAATGAACAAGAAAACAATTTCACTGACAATATTCCATTTGCAGAATTTCCTTAGTCTCCTGTAGTGATGAGGTGCAGGTGTTCACATAAAACCACTGTTGTAAAAATTAATAGACACGGGAATGACAATTATTAAAAAATCAGACTTGAGGCTGCTGTGAAATTCCCCTGAATTGTGAGAGGGCAGTGTGGGAACATCAGAGCCTGTGAGCTGCACAGGAATGAAATCTGCTCAGGGTTCCCAGCTGATGTTGCTGTACCTTGTTTAAAGGTCTGTTTAAGCAGCAGAGGCTCAAGGGATGGGTCCAGTTCCTCCCCAACATTTTCCAGCAGCAGTGGAGTCCCAAACTGGATGCAGTTCTCCACGGTTCTCATGTAATCCGTGTCACTGATCTTGATAACGTTCAGACGGTTTTCCTTCTCAAAATTCTTGACCCATTTATTTGCTTGTCCTTGAGGATCAATCATTAGTGGCCTAGAGCACAGGGGAAAGTTTGTCAGTGCTTGCAGGAGTCTTTCCAAATTTTAGACTGTTTCCCGTGTTTGCGTGTCAGGCTGTCGAGGAAGAGGTGATACAATTTGGATTATGTTGTTTTAAGAGATCAGTGTAAAATGGATGTGCTGGTGTCTTATCATCATTTGAAAAGTAATAGCAAAAATAGTTTCAGAAGTTGTAAAAATATTTGATAACATTTTTCATAAAATACACCATAATATAGAATTCTTGTTCCTCTGGAATTCTCAATATTTAGAATCTACTAATTTCTATAAATTTTGAGTTTCTTCCCATGTGTTTTTTCACTTTAAAAAACCAAAAATGAATTTAATCTTATTTCCTGTCTAATTACCAATAAATATGTTAGTATTTCAACCAGTATAAGACTGGAAGAGTAAGCGGGGTGGGGAAAGGTGACAATATTTTAATTTTGTTCAATAGATTTGTCCCCCTTTGCATGTGCTGCTTTCATCTGTATGTCTGCATTTTAATTAGTCAGGCATAACAGATATCAAACACTTCCTCTAACTGCACCTTCAGAGAACTAAGCAATATTCTAAAAATGGAATTACACATTGTCAATCTAAAAGTTATCCAATCTGTCACAAAGACTAATTCTTAAGTGAACAAAGATCACAAGAACATTACTAGAAAGTTCTATATTTTCATATTTTCATTGATTGCAGATTATTTGCAGACAGATAACACAAGTGTTCATATAATGCAATACATATCATCTTTGAAATAGTATTCCAATTGGAATTAAAAAAAAAATTCTTAAAGGTCCTAAAAGAATCCTTTCAATATAGATGTGAGTTTCCCACAAAAAAAAAAAAAGCCTATAAAAGATAAAATTCTTATCTGATAACCTTGTAACTGTAAGAACCTGACATGACTGTGGGATTTGGACCCTTCAATACAAATAAACTGAATCCTATCAATGAACATGTAAAGAATGAGAATTTCAGTGCAGTTTTAAACCAGATTATTCTGGTAACAAAGTAAAATGTTAAAAAAAATTAAAAAGGGAAAAAACCCCAACAACTGTACCCAAGAGCACTGCTTCTCCTGAGAGGAAAGCTTTCAACTACATACCCAAATCTCTAATGTGTTCTCCCTCTTACATTTCACAGGAGAGGGATATAAAGACTTCACTCCTGTTTTCAGTTGCATTGCTCTATGGAAGCTGGATTGTCTCCAGATATTTCATTTGCTTTCTCTAAAGAAGGGGAAACTTGTTTGGATTTGAAAATTAAACATTTTTGTCACCTACCAACGTCTTGAGTTGTCAACAATGACCCCATTGTCTACAGAAAATGCATCAGTTGGCAAACCAGCAATATTCCAGGCTCTGATTTTTATTGGGTCACCAAGATTCTGACTCAAAGAGAAATCCTCAGAACAAGGGATATTTTTCTCCTGTAAGAGAGAAAAAAAAAAAAAAAAAAAAAAGAGAAAACCCCATTTCTCTTTATTCTGTGTTTCTTTACATCTTTTATTACACACCATTTAGACCCAAACTGACGATGTGCATTTCTTTTATGAGTCTGAAGTAGGTCATGTCTGAGCAAAAATCCTGGGAGGAATAAAACCATGGTTTCAATAACTAACTGCATTTCCCCACTGAATATTTACTCTCTTGATTTGTCCAGTTTTTGGTACATTCTAAATGTGGGGGTTTCATTACATAAAGTTTTGACAATGGATTACCTTAAGAAACTCACACAGAGCTGCAAATCATCTAATTAATGTATCTTCCATTAACTCACTACAGCAATCCAGTGCTGATTTGTTACTGTTTAAAGTCACAATAAGTGACTCCAAATCACTTGATTTATAAATTATGGCATTTGTATAACTATGTTGGAACTGTCCCTCAGTAAACAGAATAAATTTAATTGACACACAAGTAGGTGATGGTGGAAGTTACAGAAATTCTTTTACATTACACATAACTACATTTTAAATGCAAATCTTTAATTTAAAAGCAAAATACAGAAAATGCTGAGACTTTACTTAAGCAATAATCAAGCCTTACAAAGTCCATGATGTGCTCTCACTTCTGACATGCTACTGTAAGTGTAAATGCACTGGTTTAATTAAATTCAAATCCAAAGAATATTGGATCAGCAGAATTGATCCCATTAGTCTTAATGAGGTTTACTAGGTTAACATTAAATAAATGGCAAGGTATTTTTGGAGCCTTTTGCAGCAGTCTGGAAAAAAGCAAACACTTGTTTAAATCTAAGATAACCTTCTAACCTGGCATAGTTTGCTCCAATCTTTGGTACACTCTTGTCGAAATGCAGCAGTAAAAGCTCCCAGATATGCTATTACACCAGCTGATACCAGAACATCACCTGTCAGATTATCATATTCCTCTTGAAGATCTTTTGCAGCTTTATCCCATCTATGACAAGCAGAATATACAGAAAAAATTGGTGCTGAAACCTCCACATCAATGACACTGATGTTAAAACAACTCTCAGTTGTTATTGTTCAGCTTCAAGTAGAGAATATAAAAACCTCATTTAAGTATTTTATTCTCATGTTGAGGAATTTCTCTACAATTCTCCCAGTGTTGCTGCCCATAATTTTACATTACAAACAATTAGGAATATTTCAAGGTCCCAGACATTCTTAAGCAGTACAGTCCTCAGACAGATATACAGCATTAAAGGCTCAGAGAATGGAAATTCAAATTCTATTCCTACAGTGGTTGTTAAATCTGATATTTGAACTTTAACCTGACCTTGTTTTCTCTCCACCAAGGCCTCCAATCAACTTCTCTGCTCGTTCCAGTTTTTTGGCACACAGCTCGACCTGGAATTCTAAACGAGCCTTCTCTTCAGTCTTCTCAGTGAAGGTTTGCTCCAAAGCAGCCAAACGACCTTCGACTGCTGCAAGTTCTTCCCTCTTCTGGTTCAGGAGCGTCATTGTCTCTGCCAGGGACTCCTCAGCCACTCTCAAACGTTCCTTCTTGGGTTCAATCTCCTACTCAATCACAACAAAGACACAGTGCTTGGAGTATGGTTTTGTAATTTAATATCAAATCCAGTGCTTAGGGTGAACATAACAAGCTAAGGGAGGATTCACAGCACTGAGGGGCTGGGATCTAAAACACACCTTTGACACCCTGTGATACACTTCCATTCCCTTAATCCACTTGCATAAACCCTCTGCTGCCGAGGAAGCTTTAGCCACCACTTGTGGATCAAACTCTGGGTTGGTCAAGTATTCAGTCCGAATTTTTTGCATGACGGCTTCCTGGGTAAGGAAAGCATTAGAGCTCAGCACAGTCTGGGGACTGACACTTGGAAATCAAACCGGAACAGAAATTACACAGGAGAGACCCACTGAAAGCTACTAAACACCCAGGAACTACAGCTAGCTTTGGAAGCCCTTCATTTAAAGTGCCTGAGGCTGGAAGAATATTTTGAGACATTATCACATATACTGTTCCCACTCACAGAATCATAAAATACAGGAAGGGACCCACAAGGATCACTGATTCCAGCTCTTGGCTCTGCACAGGACAACACCAAAAATCCCACCATGTGCCTGAGAACGTTGTCCCAGTGTCTGATGAACTCTGGCAGCCTTGGTGCTATGCCCACTACCCTGGGGAACCTTCTGAGATGTCACATGCAAGGCTCACCCTGAGGAACGTTGGCTCACTTGCCGTGACCACACCCATTCTACAGAGATACCCCATCATGCTGTATCGATCCCCGGTGGTAACAGAGGTGACTGGATTGGACAAATGAGGTCTCTAATACAGTATTTCCTAATTAATTTTTTTCCCTGCAAGAAGGTGTTTCCATGGTAAAAATCACTGAAAAAGCCTTACTGGAAGAGGGCTCTCAGAACAGCTTTTCAACTCCCTTAAGAAATTGATGTTGCCAAGCATTTTCTGGCTTGTAGTCCAGTAATCCAAAATCTACAGAACACAGTAGGAAATACCTTTTCAGGCTTTAAAACACACACACAAACAAAAAATTGCAAACCTCTTTTAATTCAAACTCATGCATATCTAATACTGATGACCTTGTATCTCCTTGAGATAAATAATAAAGCCAAATAGTCCACCAGATCAAACATTTCCTTCAAATCATACTTAAAGCCAAAAAGTAAACAGGGTCTCTGGGAAGTGATGTATTATCTATTATCAATATATGAGTCAAGCAAATTAAATGTGTTCTCTTGGCACATTACAAAATTTGGCAAACAGGGAATTCTGAAAGCTTTCAGTAGAATGATGGACAGAGGCCATAAGTAGTTGCCTACTTTAATTGACCTTGGGGGATCTTGTTTATTGGACAAGTGTTGAGAAGAACATGAATTACATTTTTATTTTCAGCTGCCATTTTACCTTGCCTCCAGACCCTGAAGGGTTTGCAATTTTCTCAGGTTTCTTTCCCATGATGACACAGACAGCAGCCATGACAAGTTTGACACCGGCTGGAGGATTTTTCATTGTTTTGACAACTGCTATGTCAGAGGGCTAAAATAAAAAAATACATGTAGAAAATTATAACAAGTATTATGTCTTTCTCACCACTCCATAAATGAACTGAGAGAAACAAAAAGGAATTATAACCCCATTACCAATGAATGTAACTGGTAATAGAGGAAAGGATGAGACAGTGTTAGCATAACAATTAACAGTATCCATCAATGTATCTCTTGCATCAATGCATCCTATCCTGTGTTTAAATAAAGTTATGTTTTAAAAAGTCCATGTCAGAATATTTTTGATACACTTCTGTGCCATCTAAGACACCTTGTATTCTTCTAAACTATTACTAAAATATCTCTTAGTATACTAAATTCCTGCAAGACTTTCTCAACAATACAGCTTTCTGATCCTGTGTAAGTCTTGACAAGGAGAAAACCTTTAATCCAAAGATTAGAGAATTCTTAGTCACAAACAAATGCTGTGTTACAGGTGGTGGTCAACACTAACTCAGCTGAAAGAGGAAATTCAGCTGATACCACTCTTGGTATCTCAGGTTTTGGTTACTTTTCCCACGAGTGGGCTTTTCTGCAAAAACCAGGTTTTTAATGCTCAATATTCTGAGTACATAAGAGGAAATGGGCTGAACAACAACTGTACAAGGTCTCTCCTTTGCCAAAATTGAGGAAATGTAACACTTAAACTATTTTAATTTTAGTGCAATCATTCTTAAATAAATGGAAGAGTTAAATAACACTTTCAAATGCTGAAGTTCAGATCAGCTTGCCTTTAAAGTATCAAGAGCACCAATTGCAGCCTCCAGGACAGGTATTGCCTGTGCCAGGTCACTCTCACATTCATTTTTCAATGCCTGAGCTTCTTCAGCTTTTTCTGTAGCAATTTCTTCATCTACTTTTACAACTTTTCTTTTTTCTTCTACTTCTGCAGATTCTATTTCTATTATCTAAGGAAAAAAAACACTTGAGGAGGATTTATGTTGTATCTTGGAGTAAGAATGTAATTTTCTTTTGGTTCTAAGGATATAAGCATAAATAATGGCAACTTTCACAATACTGCAAACTCTTGTAAATAAGAACTGAGCTTAAAAGCCTCAGCTCTCATTTTCTGAAAGTCACACATCAGTGACGTCAGTGCACACATACTTACATTACAAGCCACAAAGTTCTATCTGTATAACTCTACCTTCATCATGTTTGCATTTTCCACTTTAGCCTCTTCCAGTTTGGGCTGCAGCTGAACCAGTTCTTGTCTCATCTCAGCAACCTATGCATATGCAAAAGAAGCAGGGAGGATTCAGAAGGGTCAAGTACAATTTCCAGGAGTTTCTGTAAGACCTAGATCTTACCTAATGATTAATTTATTGATAGAAGGATGTAACAGCTTCAAATTAAAACATTTCTGAGATTTATTTTTATCTCAGACATACAACATCTGATTTTAAGAACTGTGTTCACTAACAGTCACCTGTTAACCATCTAGGAAAGGGAAGCTCTGTTCATCCACTGCTTGGCAATACATGCTTAGAGATTTATGGCTTCTAGCACAAGGAAAGAAAAGGTAAAATACATTTCTTACAGTTTTACTGTTAAAGATTGAGTTAAACAAAATCTGCAGTTACATTTTTGACTGACTTCCCCAGGAAAAGACCCGCATTTGCCAAACATTTTCTATTTTCAGTTCCATATTTGTCCTACCTCACCTGTAACTCAGCAAAAGCTAGTTTTTCTAGTCCATTCACATATTTTTTCTTGGCTTTCATTACACTGTCTCGTTTCTCAGTAAGAAGTCTCTGAAATGCAGCAATAAGCTCAAGATATGAAGTAGGAGTAACATAATTGTGGCATCCCAGACTTTGCAAGAATCTATTAAAAAGATAAAAAGCTTTGAGTTTTGATTTATTTTTTTAGTTTATTGTTGGCAAAGTTATGTGACTGCTTGCTGAATAATAGGAGTAAACAATTGTCAACAATTCGATATGATGTTTTTATGCAGGCATATAGTTCTGGTAACTTTTAATACAGAAATGAGTGGTAATTAAACTCAGTCACCCACTATTTTATTGATTAATGGATGTTTTTGAAAGAAATAGACTGACCTTTCAGAGAGTGCCAAAACTGAAGTATGAAAGTATTTACAGATGGGCACAACTCCCTGGCGCTCGGTCTCTGTGAGCTCCAGTGTTTCTAAGAACTTACTGGCCACACGTTCAAGGGCATCTTCAGGCCATGGCTGAGGGAGAAGCAAGGAGAAAAGAATTTTTAAAATCCAACTCTTGGCAGCCTTCATACTTAAACATCAATTTTTACCATTCAGAACACCACAATGAGGCACACTATGAGGCACACCAGCCCCAGCTGTGTCTGAAGAGCAATGAACTGATACAAGGGTAGCTCAGGCAGCAAGGTCACCACCCATGCAGTATCTTCTGGCATCTCCGGCCTGATGTCCTAGGTCAAAGCTTCACAGTGTCATTCTATCCAATCATTTCTGTATCTGTTGTCATCCTTTGGCAGAAAAATTAATTGACATCAGCACTGGGCAGAGCTCTAGAGCTCACTGTGCTTTAGTGAGAGCAATACTGCTCACAGGAAGGGTCATTTACTACAGTAACTCTCCAAGTTTTATTCTGCTATAAAAGATCTAAAGACAAACAGCAGGATTTGTATTTGCTACTCATTCCCGTGATGAATGATCTGCTTAACAGGCAGCAGCAATTACAATCATTTTACAGTCACACTGAAATGGTTTCACTTACCCTTTGAAACATAGCCATTATGTAATAAAATGACAAATTGCCATCATGAAACTAAGATTATTCACTACTTCAGAAATCTGTAGTTGTAAAATCTAAGTTTATTTATTTGCAGAAACATTGAGATCACACAGTAAAGAGCTCCCAAAATATTACAGGAAATGCCTACAATTTTAAAATACTGAAAACCAAGGAGCATTTCTATAAAGAAGACAGAAGAAAATCTAATGGGGCATAAAAATATGGAGTGTTAGAAAAGGGAAGCAGCTCTTTGAGGAAACAATACAAACACTTTCCCATACCTGGAACCAGTCAATGGTACAGCAGTTGATGAGGGACGGGAACTGTCTCAGGCGGTTGCGGAAGGCATCTCCGATGGGGCTGAAGGCCACCACAATGTGGAGATTTTCTTTGCAGAAGTTCACAAAATATGCAAACAAGGCCAAGGGACTGAGTTCTTCACCTTTGCTGTCAGTCTGAACTGCTGCACGAACACCCTTAAGGATAATGCAGAGCATAAAAAACGTTCTATCAGTTCTCATTAAGTCCATCTGAAGTGCTGTAGCAATCCTGTTAGTGACAGCACCACCGTGAAATGAAATCTTTTATTATCAATGAAACAGGCAAAATAAAAGAGAAAACCAGAACAAGCAGTAACTACTCGTTGAGAATACATTGTGTTATTTATCTATGACCCTGACAACTCACTCTAGAAATGATCATTATCTTCTGCCTTTGAGTAGCTGAGAATAGGTCAGAACAAAACCTCAAAATCCATATCAAGATGAGTTTCAGATGGATAAGACAGGCTAAGATGAGACAGAGGTTTAAAACATATTCTGAAAAGTCAAAATGCAGAATTATCTCCCTGAAGAAATGAAAGTCCAAAGCTTTCAATGATAAATAATAACAACTTTTTTTAGCTTTAATATTATATTAAAATATTCTGTAGTTACCTAACTGGAGAGGAAGATTTAAGTTTCAAACATCAAAACATATTCCATTAATTCATTTACCATAAACAGTAATCTCTCAAAACAAGAAGAAATCTGTAAATTGAAATTAAAATCTACTTCATAAAAGTATTATCCTCAATTAATTAACAATCCTTAAAGCACTGACTATAAAGCCCTAAAACTCAAATTACTCTTGCACAGAGGCATGTACACTTTACATAATTCCACAATTAAAATAAATGACAAAAATTAGTTTAATAAGAATAAAGTGGAATTATTTTGATGGAGCAGGTTTAAATGAGTAAAAACCAGCTTTGCTACAGCTGGCATGTTATGGGTAGCTACCAAGTTCTAGGTACACCCATTAAATATGTTAATAAAAACTAATTTTTTAAAAATTTGCCTGAGTACATTGCACCTTTACTTCTGAGCTGAAATTCATGGAGCACCTTTGCCCAACTTCTCTCTGAGAAGAAGTGTCAAGACTATGAAATTCTGTCTGACAGTGCCCTGCTGCCCTAACCAGGGAAGAGTCCATTGGCAAAGGCAGGCCGGGTTTTCTTATAAAAATGTCTTTGCCCTTAACTGTCTAATGGAAACATTGTGATGTACATTCTTCTCCTACCCAAGACACTACAGAAATAACTGTGGCCACAGGGTAATAGTGAACAATCCAAGTTCTCTACATGCACAACTTCATGGGTTTGTGAACAGAATCCCAGGGCACAACTAAAGTTATTAGTTGGCATAAACTACTCCATAAGTTCACTTATGACTGCTTGATTTATCCAAGGTCTCAAAAAGAAGTCAGAATTAAGTGCAAATATCCAAAAGCCACAATTCACACCAAATTTCCAAAACAGCTGAAAAAGGAGGTGAAATAAAGAGTTTCTAAAGATACCTCTGTAATTTCTTGTTTTTCATCTGCTGCAAAAAGATTGGGTACCTCCCCAGTGTTGAGGACACTGTCAACATCTTCTAAAAAGCTTTCTTCTTTAATTTGTGCATCTGTGATTAGAAATACAGTTTTCAAGCCTTTTACACCTGCACTCTTCAGAAGTCTCTGAAAACACACGACAGTCAAGATGTTGCACATTCCAAAACATCCTTCCTCCAAATTGAGGCAAAATGTGGGCAGGTTATCAATACTCACTTTCAGATCTTCTCTCCACTCATTTGTACCATAGGTCTTAGAAATCTCTGGTTGAAAAACCCACATCCTTGCCATGAATGCTGCCAGACGAGTCAAGGACTGCCGGCCACTCCCTCCCATTCCAACCAGCAAGGCATTGCCCCCCGGCTGCTTCAGGACGCGGCTTATCCGAGACAGGTGTTCCAACATGTACCTGCATTTGAAACGTGCTGATCACCAGAATGGCACAGATACACTTACAGTTGTGCACCTATAAAGCTGTGAAACAAATAAAGGAGTAGCATCTCCAAAAGAAATTTCTGAGTGTGAGGTGGGGGAAGTGGAGAGGAAGAAGAAGAGAGAGAGTGGGTGTGCACCACAAAATAAAATAAAATTAAGAATTTTTCTATTATACAAATGTCAGTACTTGGCTAAATTTCTACAAATTACTAAAAGGAATGGGCAATGGTAAGAACAGGAATGCTATAAGGATAAATGCAACAAAGAAAACAAAAATCAGCAATTCTCTACTTCAAAATCACAGCAGTATTACCAGTTTTAACTTTCTTCAACTATAACAGTTTAAAGATCTTTTTAAAGAAACCACTGGGGGAAAGTGAGTTACATCAACAATCATCTCCCTTCCCTCTCCCTCTGACAGTGTTTTATAACTTATATGTGAAATAGACATTGGTACAACACCTTCAGAAAGCAGGACCTGCACATTACTGAGAGTCCTTGTGGAAATAAAGCACAAGTTACCAGGGAATGGGCAGTGAGGTCTACAGGACATCACCTGCTCAGGTACAGGGCATAGGAGCATTCAAGCAAGCTGAGCAGCAGTTAAAAGTAGTTTCCAAAAAACTTGCAAGCATTTCAAGAACGATAAATTCTTGATTATTTTTACTGGTTAGAAAAATAAAGGAATCAAATCCAGATGTTATTCATGAGATTGAACTCTAAGGCTACAGTCAAACATGCTGTCCTGGCTGCTATTCAGTGAGGCCACTGGGCATTGCTTCCACACTCAGGAACTGGCCTCTGATCAGAGGCTGCCAGCTCTTTAAACTCCCAGCCTGGCTGGATATACAGGTACTCACAAATCCAGCTTGACAAAATGACCTAGACTAATATAAGCTGCTATTAGAAGAGTTTAAATTAATCCTAATCACATTCACAAAGTCTCTCTGCGTGTCAAGTCATGCCAGCAAATAGGAAGAGGCAGCAATCTCCAGCAATGGGGAGGGGAAGGATTTGTGACCTCCTGATCTGTCTCAGTTGCAGCTCTGATCACAAGCTCGGGTGACAAGAGGGGCCTGCAGAATCTGGAGTTGCCCAGGATTAGCTGCAGCACCAGCTGGGTACGTGCCAAACGTGGGCAGGGCTGGGCTGTGTAACAACAGAGCAGCCAGCCAGCCATGACTGTGCCACATCCCGCTCCCAGAATCCTTGGGTTTGGGAAATGAAAGGCCAGTGGCTGCAGGCAAAGCTGCTATCTGTCTTCACTAGTAACAAAGGCCTAGCAGAAGTACAGCACCCCCTGTTCAGTGCACAATGCTTGTGTAACAACTAAAGAAAATATTCAAATCCCCACCTTAGGAGAACATTTTCTCATTATTTATTTTCAGGTAGAAAAAACAGAGGCATAAGAGAAAAATCAGTTTATTTCCATCCAAAAAGGTGTAATACCACAAACAGTTTTACGGATGCATTAAGGGGAGGAGACGTGCCAAAACCCAAGTCCCCAAAATTGAATATACTGAATAATCAACTACTGCTCAAAACTCTTAATAATACAGCTCACACACACCTGAAAACAACAAGGTTCATTCTTGTTTTCTGGGTTTGATTATATTCATCCAGACACTGCTCCACAACATCACTGAACTCCTGAATGCTTGGAACTTCAATATAAAGTCTTTCATCTCCCTCAAGTTCTGGAACCATATAGTCACCAAAACACAAACTTCTCATGTTTTCTTCTGTTACCTAAGGTAAATATTCAGCAAATTATGAAGCCAAGTTTAATATTTAATTCCTCATTGGAATTTTAGACAACAAAGGAGAATTTAGGCAAATATCCCAGATATAAGAAAAAACACTTCAAAATATTTTGACTCACAGAAAATACCCACCTCAAAATTCTTAATTTTGTTCTTGGGAAACAATTGGCTCAAATAGCCACTAACAATCTCATAACCACGAGCTTCGGAGTACACCAAACTTATACAGATGTATCTTATGAAATGGACAAAGTAATTTCTCCTATACACCAGTGAAATTACAGGGGAAGAAAAAGAACAACAAACAGAAAAAAGGAAAACAAGGCATAAAACATAACATGATTTTACAACATTTTGAATACTAATCACAGAATGCTGTTTGGTACACGGTAACTCAGTCACAAGGTAAATTTAAGGAGGGAATGTCTCCTTATGCTGTAAATCAGGTCTCTGGAAGTCCATTTAAGAGTATCAAGAGGATCAAACATTCAAGCACATTTGATCCAAAATTTCACCTGTGATTCAGGAACTTTCTAGTCCTAAATTTATAAGAAAAGCACTTATTTTGCCACAGGTTAAATGTGATACTCACAGGAGCCTTTCCTTCCTTCAGGTGTGCAAAAACTGAGTCAAATGTTTCTTTGAAATGTTCTTTCACAATATCTTTCACTAGATTGAACAACCAGGCTCTATCATCATCTTCCACCAGACGGTCATAGAAGACACGAAACACTTCATGGACAAACAGCCGAATCATGACACGTTTGTTTTCCACTGAGTTTTTCTTAATGAGCAAACAGCCGTGGATAACTCGGGAAAAGTCCCGCAGGTTGAATGTATAGTGAGATTTGGCTGGTGTGGGCAAAAGATTCTTGATGGCTTTCTTGTACACCTTCAGATATTAACAACAAACAACAACAAAATCAACAAAAGAATAACAGCAACTATGTTATTGTAATAGTTCTTAAATGTCTTGTAAAATTTTATTTCTCCAAGCAATACATTTGATAGTTAAAACCTAATGATATCTGAAGATCTCCAAGTCTTCTCTGAATATATCAGATGTATCTCGTGCAGTTCTGGAACCTCCCCATACTACCAACCTAAATTTTCAAATGGGAAAACCAATTGTAGCGAGTGCAAAGAAATCAGTCCTAGGACCAGGAATACCACTTGGATTTCTTGACTGTGTGATACCCTCCTTCACGTGAAGTATCAAATGACATGTAATGCGAAACTTCCTAGATTTTCACTTGTTCGAATCTATTGTTTACGTATCTACAAATTACTCAAAGTGAAACAGAGTCAGTAAAAAAGTCAAAGGAATAAGTAGGTGAAGAAAAATGTCCTATGTTTTGCCATAATGTGGAACACGTCAGCTGTTGTTAGCTCATGTTATTATGACAGAAATAGTGTAATTTCTCACTACATTGAACATAACATGCTTCACCAACTAAATTACTATGGAGCCAAAGGAACTGTAATGAACAAACTGAAGGAAATTTCCTTTATGTTATTTGCCTCTTACCTCTAAAGTGGCAGTGACAATTTGGTTCCCAATTGTGGAGAAGTCAGAAGGAAAGTCGTTGGCCCTCAGGTAAAGAGCTATGACGGTGGAGAAGATGCGGATCATCGTCTCGTCACTGAAGGAATTAATGGTGCAGACGTTGAAGTGCCGCAGGAAGCGAGGAGTGATGGGGTTCCTGCCACCCCCTGGAGGGCCCATGGCTGCCAGTAACTGGATGTCCACAAGGGTGATTTTCGAGGTGTCCTTTAAATCATACCTTCAAAATGAAATGCAGTGTGACATTTAGGTACAGATATAACACCTTTGGTACAGCTTAGATGCATCGATGTTACACAGTGCTCTCTGCAGGCGTAACAGAGGAGAGATTATTTGTTTAAACTGGGTTACATAAAACCTGATACCAAATTTTGACATGAATATTAAAACTGTAATGTGGCAAGATAGAATATCTCTATTCAAGATATACCAGATATCTGAGCAGTGCCTGGAATCATAAGAGTAACTGAGAAGTGTCTGGAATGATAGAATAATCCAGACTGGAAGGAACCTCCAATTTTCCAATCTAAGCAAAGCCAAAACCCTCAAGAGAAGGGAAGACCTTATTTTATTTCATGCCTACTAGCAGACTTGACTTCACTGTTACTTTTAAAAAAATATTTTGAGATTTGTGTATATATTTGTATATATATATATATATATGTATAGAAAACTGTCAACTCACTCTAAGGAGCAAGAGAAAGGAAAAGAACAAAAACTGCACTGGAAAAATAAAAACAATGAAAACACAGACATAAAAAATAAAATCAAGGTGTAAATGAAAAATTTATTTAATATATCCTAATGCTGCTGAAGGTCAGTAGCAAAACATTCTAAAAAACTCGAAACAAAATTGATGATTAATTTCCTAAAATGAGAAGTCCTTAGACAGCAATATACAAGTTGCTTCAACTTTAAAGAATGTATTTTTATATAAACTAAATCTATCTTAACATTTACAAACCACTACAGAAAACTTTTGAAAATAAAATTCAAGGGAATAAATAATTATAACAGCAAATGCAGCCAAAAATTTTGATTGTATTTCAAATAATTACCAAAATCCATGGTCAGAGAACTGTCTTAAAAGCTCTATAGGAGGCTGTGCCCCATACTTCTCCAAAGCAGGCATGTTCATGTCATCTACAAAAATAATGCACTTTTTTCCCATGGGAGGGCCAAAGACTCCTTTGCGCCTCTTGTCCAGCCTGGCCATGATAATGTTCTAGAACACAAACAGGAATTCAAAAACAGATTGAATATTCACACACCTAATCTGCTTGAAACTTGACTTATCTGTTCCACAAACCTGGGTCTGGTTGGCACTGGTTCGAGCTGAGAAGTTGATGAAGAAGGGGAAGTAGAGCTCCCTTTCCAAGTTGTTCATTAACTTGTCCTTGACATACACAGACTTGCCAGTACCTGTGGGTCCCACCAGGAGCAGTGGTCTGCACAAAGAGAGAAGGCACAGGAACTGCAGAAACCCAACACTGCAAACCAAATGCAATTCGAAGTCAAAGGCTTTACTAACTTGCCCTTCTTGTTCTAACTTGAAAAGCACTACTGGCCTAAAGGAGAAACTAAAGTGTTTTAACATATCCATTAAACCCTCTCGTAATTTCAGGTTGCTGCCACCATCGAGAAAATGAGAAGAGAAAGAAACATTTCTCGTCTTATTCTACTGGTGGTGGAGTACATGAACATAATATGGGAGTTAAATTTTTCCTGATAGGTCTTGCATTAGTCCAAACTTCATAAAGCTTTCAGCTTTAGAATTTAACCTGAGGTTGTTTTTTATTTCACTCTTTTACATGACCATGGCTAATATGATTGTTTTTTATATTATCAATCAAAGGAAAAAAATTAAAATAGGTATTTATCAAAGAAGAAAGAGGGTACAAACCCTCTCTGGGCTGTCCTAACAGCATCATCGGAATGAGAAGACTAAAATGAAATAATAATAACGTTTCATAAACATACCAAAACCAGATTTGAAGGCGAATTGCATAGTTTGTAGTAAATGTCTATTTTTAAAAGGCCAAATAAACTTTGAGGGTTTGATAAAAACAACAGACTCAAGGGAAAGAATAAGAGATATTTCTACCTATGACCAATACTTCAGAAATTTGTATTGAAGCAACTCACTTTCCATGGGTAATGAAGAGCTCTAACAAATAAGTATATCGAACTGTGTCCATAGTTGGGACTATAATATCTTGAATCTTCACATTTTTATCACTGGAACTAATTTGTTCAATAAATGCATTCCAATGAACCCAACTTCCTTTGCCTTTCAGCTAGGAAGAAACACAGGTGTAAAATAGACTGGTGTTGTACATATGAAAGGTTTTCTCTACCACTTCACTTTTGAAAAACTAAAATAATGATTTTTGTGGAAAACCTAAAATAATTTATTTTAATAAATTAGTGAATGTCCAATGTTTCAGAAGGTCATCTAGTTTGTTTTACCTCGGTAAAAGAATACTTTTGGGTGTTTAAGTATATACCAAGACTTAGGCTCCTTCCTTTTCTTAAAAATTTTGTTCAGCAAAACCAAACAAACAGTCAACCCCACACAGAAAACCCACAACAAAAACCAAGAGAAGAACATATCCATTAGAAATGTCTTTATAAACAAACTTGTGAACATAAGCAAACTGCCCATGGGCTTAATATCCTGCTTTCCTACTGGACAGTCCCCATTATTCCTTCTGTATGAAAGCAGATTTGGGTCTGTCAGCTTTACTTTAGCTACAGAATAACTATAATGTGGTACTTTTACAAATATAACTGAAATGTATATCTTGTTATTTCCTAACAAAATTGGTCAGTAGACTGGTATTTGAAAGAGAAAAAGGAATGAAAAATGCACTGTGGGATTTAATCCAACAGCAACACTCTGAAACACCCAAGAAGCTCTGTAAAGTTAAAATGTGCAGCTAGGTTGTATTTTCCTTCCCTTCCTACTGTAAGGGTCTGTTTAGTGAATGCAGAAGCCACCGGTCCTACCTCAAACACGTAGTCATAGACCAAGCCTTTCTCTTCAAAGGGACACTCCCATTTCCCCACACTCGCTGGTGCAGTATCTGCTGCAGATTTCTCAGACAAAATGTCCCTCAAGAAATTATCAAAAATTATCCTGCTGTCACCATCACAAATCCCACCAATGGACCAGACAGTGGCAAAAGCAAAGCAACCCTGCAAGGGCAAAAAGATTAGCAATTGTCTAAAAAAATGGCATATTGCATGAACCTTGTACAGTCTGATTAACACACCTAATTCTGAAAAATACTGCTAAGCAGAGAGGTGTTACAAATTGCCTTGTGTAGCCTTGGTCTAAAGAGACTTACACATCTGAGTAAAGACAGAGCTCACAAAAGTCTTACTCAAGGATATGTATATGGCAAAAAATAAAGGCCACTGAACTAAAGCATTATGTCTCATTACAAAGCCTGAGAAGAGTTCTAATCACAATCTTGGAATTTTCTAATTCAATTTTAAAGAACTACTTTCACAATCTATTTCAGTTTTTCCTAAGAACAATCCTTTTGGGTCAGACAGAGGATCCAACCATTTTAACAGTCAGAAAACACTCTTCCCAAGGAAATTTTGCACAAACAGCCAAGCCAATAATTGTTACATGAACTTTTATTTAATTTAAGGGAAAGAAAACACTTTGCTTTAGTTAATTCCTTGGTTAGTTAAAAAGCACATTTAACAGAAACACTATGCCAGTTATTTGGAAAAACAGTAAAATTTTGGATCATATTTGTTACTTGTAAGACTTCTGTCTAATCTGGGCACCTCCAGAGTGTGGGGAGAGAAAGCAAGGAAGTAGTGGAATTGTTTCACCTGCTTCTTATTCCCAAATGAAAGTGGGTGTGATTAGTACAATTGCTTTGAAATTCGGCATCTGCAGAAATAAATATACATTTCTCTACAGGTTAAAAAACCAACCATGATCCAGGCACGGATGTTTTTGTTGGTGGGATCCTCTTGCACAGTTGGACAAATCAACATTTCAAAAAGCCGTGTGAGAGCTACTACAACATTGGTGTTGCTTGTAGGTACCAGTTCCTAAGAGATTCAGAGGGCTGGGTGTTAGATTGACGTGCTCAGGTAATTTATCTTTTGGAGTTAAAATACTAAAAGAATTAGATCATTAACTATTTCTGAACAAATATTAGAAGGCAAGGTATATACTGACTTTTACTCAAAAGATCATTTGCCCTCCTCTATTCCTGAGATGTTTCATTTGTTAACCACATCCATGTGACAGCTACAATCACGCATCTTAAAGCAAATCAAACCCCAGATAAGTAACTACAGCAACACATGAGCACTGGCACACCAAGTTCCCAGGGAACTACACATATGTTTCCCCTAACACTTAAAAAAGTACTTCCCTATTGAACACAACATCTTTAAAGAAAAGCAAAAATGTACAAAATTCTCTTAGGAAGACTTTTTATTCAGTGTTTTAATTTCTTACTTTACTTTTGAAATTCCTATCAAGTTTCAAGTCTTAGTCAAAATTTTCATTTTCGCTTTCCAAACTGGTCCCAAGAGCTGCCCATTCATTCTAACTGTGCTTGTCATGAGAGAGCAGTTGCTCCCCACCAAGGGGAACAGACCGGGAATGGTCAGCAGCCACTGCAGGAAAAAATGGCAACAAATACCTTGCACTTTTTCTGACGGACTTTTAATGCTGGTGGAACCAACCACTCAAAAAGCCCCTGCAGAAGATCTTGGTGGTCCTTTGAGTTCAGAGGTTCAGGCAGTTTACTCAGCCAAGAGGTGACAAGCGGCCCCCAACCCAGCTGAGAAGGTTCCAAATAAATCATGCCACAACGACTGACTGTAGCAGGCTAAGGGAAAACAGTAAACTTGTTTTATTGTACGTTGAATATACTGACCTTTGTTTTATAGTTTCATTAAATACAAACTTACTGATGCCTGGGAAAGATCCATCGTTTCAAAAATAAGAGTCATCTGAGGGGACATTTGGATGACTTCCCCACTCATCAAACAAAGCTTGAAGTAAAAAGAAATCACATGCAAGATTAGAAAAAAAATTAGTTGTAGATTACGTTTCCTGTCGCAGGAGAGTTCTATATGAACATCAGAGAAACCAAGTATAACCAAAGGTAAGATCAACCACATAAAATGTTATCTCACTTGTAGCAACAGATTTGAATCAAGTTTCAGCTAAATTCTTCACTTAAATCATAGTACTCCATAGTAACCTACTAGTAGGTTCATTACAATCCATCTTGTGTATGACAGGGTAAAGAAAAGGCAGGAAGCACAAAGGATAAAGGACATCTGCTGCTATTGCTGCTAATACTGGAGCACTCCAGCTGGAGAAACATCACTCCTACTAACTAAAATAAAAGTCCAGCTTGAGAAATTTGACACATTATCATCCAGAACTTAAAGATAAAATGTTTTCTCCAATTTTTATATTCACTTTGAGATTCCTAGGGCACATTTACAAAAGTGCTCGTAAAGTTACAACTTTGACTTCAGAAGTCGTTATTTTGAAAATACAACTTTATCTTGGGATTGTCTTGAAATGTAAGTGTCTAAGTTTGTGCAGGTTTAGAAACTATGGGATTTACACTGAATGTAAGTCACTGCAATTTTTGAAATTTAAATTTCAATTATGTTACAAAATTACAATATGACATTATGAAATATAACATATGAAATACATTTAATGCCTTTCAGCAATGAGTTGATTCTGTGATGATGATTCCAGTAAAGTAAAACAAAACAAACAAATAAAACTCCAACCAAAAAAAACCACCAAAAAAAGAAGCTTACGACTTGTCACCAAGTTTACAACTTGTCACCAGCGCCACCTTGCCCTTGCTCTTTTTAAATGCCGTGCACTTCAGTTTGTATTTGGGATTTCATACGTAGAAGAACATTTTCAAAATGTCACATTGTTTTATTTAGGCCTTGATTTCCACTGGCTGATACCTTTTTGTTGTCATCCAGCACCGTGTTCATGCTTTCTATCCACAGAGTGTCGATGGGGCCATCAAAGATCACCCACTTGCGCTCAGGGGTCTCAGACAAGGCGAACTCCCTGAAGGTTGTAGCGACCACACCATCTGTCCACTGGTGGGGTTGGATGTGGGAGTGGAGGAAACAAGGAACAGAGAGTTCAGGCTGAGCCTCCAGTCACAGACACCCCTCCCTTTGCTTTCCATTACCCCTCCCTTTTCGTTCTCTCTTGTTCTGCAGAGAGCAGCTCACAACTTCACAGTTTCACTGGGGGTCTTTGAACATCAGTAGATTTTAAAAGAGAGACTTTTTCACTTGAAAAAAAATATTGTAACAAAAAAGACCAGCAATTCAATTTTCTGAAACTTAGAAGGCTTCTGCTCTGCCTTGCATCTGTTTCTCTCCAGGGTCACCCTAAGTTTTAGTATTTCACATTCACTTCTCCATATTGTTCCCTCTCCAAACTTAAGTTTCACACATGAGTTCATAAATTTTTCTACATAGTTTTTGCATTACTTTGATTATACTGGTTTAGAATAGACAGAGCAATTAATACAGTTAAGTCTGGTATGATTTCCTAGCATGGATGCAACCATGTTAGGATGATGACCTTCAAAATGGTATTGCTCTTTTTTTCTCACATTTAAACTTACATAACTGCATACATGCTTGCTACAGCAGTTCTATGTACTAACTAAAAACAAGCCATAAAAGTATTAGTTAAAATAAAATTTACAATTGTGTTCTCATCTGTGTTTAAAATCTTGACATTATGAATTCAACAGTTTACTCTCCAGAATTATGGAGGTCTGACATCTGCAGGAAACACTATTTTTTAGACATACATTACCTCATGGGATATCAGATCAAACTGCCCAAAAAGCTGACCCATAGTGATCGATTTTGGATTCATAGTTCTAAAAATTACTTTTTCTTCTTCACCATAACCACGCTTTTTCATAAGGGACAGTGTATCTGCCAGCACATGGAGAACTTTGGTCTTCCCAGAGAAAGGTTCCCCTACCAGCATGAAGCTGTTAGATGGAAAAAAACCCTGCCATTAATAAATTTGTCTTCCATTTTAGACTTTTACAGATCACATGAAGGCCAACAGTATTAACCATATGCTTAAAGCTAATTTTCACCTAATTTTCAAAAATCAGAGCAAGTAAATTTGCTTTGTGTATACAGAACATCATTTCAGCAAAACCAGTTTATTTGCACATGCACTGTACACATGTTGTCCTCTAAAACTTAGATTTTATGACCACACTAGTTCAATTATTTGCTGAATGAGATTACTTTTGAGTTTCACTTCAATATAGACAGAGTTTATAACACTGGAAGAACACAAACAGGAAACTTTTGTAGTCACCCAGCAGAAGGATGTGACTATAACAAGGTCTCAGAGAGAAGATTAATTAATGAACATTAACCACCATATGGCTAATGTCACGTTGTATATATTTTCTCCACATAGTCACTATTCTGTAATAAAAGCTTGGAATAAAATGGCACAGATCTGATAACTAATATTTTAATATTGACAAACTTCTACAGTCCATACTGATATCAGCACCCAAAATCACTTTACATGTGAGGCTGCTTCTGATATCAAGAAGAGAACAATTCCCCAGACACAGAGGCACAAGAATTCTGGGACATTAAAAGCAGTATCAAGGATCAACTGTTCCAACACAAATAGGAACATTTTGCCACCCTTAAGATGTTCTTATAACTTCATATAAAAAACTGCTACAGTCTAAGTCCAAATTACAAATGATACTGCTGTGAAACAGTGATGAGAATCTTACCCGTGTCTAACAATCATCATTTCATATGTCTGTATAATTTTCTGCATAAAAGTTGTTACAGGTTGGACATTATGTTGAATGCAACATTCGTTGGCACATTCCAGAAAATCCTGAAATCAAAATAGATCATAATCTTATCATTGCTACAATTCAAATTACTGTCTTGGACTACAGTAGAACAGTCTATGCTCATCAATAAGGGTTTCCAACTAATTAATAACTGAAATACTACTGGTCACAATATAGCAAACTTCCTGGAGAAAAGAAGTCACTTCTGTATTTTATGTGCTAGAACAGGATTTAACCACAATTTCTACCTTGAGGAGAAGGCATATCACCATCAGGAAACCAGTAGTATGCTTTGGAACAATATACTTTTATCAAAATTGTAGTATTTATTTAAAACTTAAAAGTTAATCTATTTTGTCTTTTCCAACATAGTCATCTTCTTCCCAAACACCCTCCTAAAAGAAGCTGTGCTTTAAGTATTGCTATAAATAAAATACAAGTAGCAAGCTTAATCTCATTTAATTAGGTCCAAAAACTAGGAAAGAAATCAGTCAGAGAGCCTAAAGTTTGGTAAATCTGCAGGTCAGTTTCCAATCTGTAGGACACAACCCCTCTGAATGTAAGGAAACTCAGACATGGATTATATTCAGCATAGACAAAAGAATTTTCTTTGGTATTAAGTTTCATTGCAAATATTCAGCAAATCTGCTCATCTTACAATAACTCACTGAATTAATTGCACTTGGTTAAAAAGCAAATCACCACAAACCAACCAACAATGACCAAGGAAAAACTACAAGAGCACTTACGTTGTAGTCTGCCTCAGGAAGCTTAATTCCAGGAAATAAATCACTGGTTATACCCATGAACAGAGGTATATCATGGGACAAAAATTTAGGCTCATTCACATCTTTAATGGATCTAAGAAGCTAGAAGAAACAAATATACATTTTAGTGTTCCTATTAACAGACAGAATGTTCAGCAACTAAGATAATCTAATACATAACAGATTAATTCATTAAGTGCTGCCTTTGATAGGCAGTTAAGCCCAACTGTGCCTTTTGGGTATTTTATTGTCTTCATTTCACAACTAAGAAACACGGATCAGTGATGGGGCAAGACCTGGTGCAACTGCCTTCACAACTGTGAGCATCTAGAAAATTCCTTAAAGAATTATTCCCTCAGGAACTCACCAATATATCTTCATCTTCTGTGGGAAATTTCAGCTTCAGATTGCCAGCAGCCACCAGCACAGCCTTGACTGCTCTCATGCCGTAGTCATAGTGGTACTGGGAGGAAAGCTGCTCTGAGCAGAGCCTGTAGGTCATCACTATCTTCACTGACAGGGATTTAGCATTCAAAAATCCATAAGAATAGAGTGAAATCTCTGCTATCAGAGCATAGTTAGGAACCATCATGGCTACTGTTCGGAAAAGGACCTGAAATACATACCCAAAGAAAGATCTTTAAATAAGTAATTGAGGAATGAGAAGTAATTCAGAACTTTTACAGGTGTTGGATTAGTAGTAACCCCATTGCAGCATTTCTAACTGAAAACAATAACAGCACGTTCAGCTAAGTAATGCTTAGTACCATGAGGGAAATTGTAGATAATTTAAAATAGTTACACTGGAAAGCAGTGGCCTGCAGAACATTTGGGAGCCAATGAAATACAAGAATTGTCAATATTTGCAGCTTGTGACTCCCATGGAAGTTAATCTAAGCTGCCATCAACATCCATCTCAATGTACAATCCAATGCAATAAATGCAATGTAAAAATATTTTCATAAAGCATTTTCCCCAAAATACCTGTCCATCTTACAAAGTTAATATGCAAACATTATAATCTATCCACAGCCTGACACTTGCCTTTGGCCTGGAAAAATAATAATGAAGAACACTAATAAACATGAGAAAATAAAATGTATTTCGAATTTCTTCAAAAAGAACAAAGTACTCAGGAGGAAGGGAAAAAAGCCAGGCTCAGTATGTGTAAATCTTATAGCAGGTGTATGTTTATATTCCAGGTGGTAAAGTCTGGATTAATACCAGGAATACACAGGCCCCTCGTTTTTTTTGGAAAGGCTCATTCTTAAACAGAAGCATCTATTTTATTATTTTACCTTCAGATTATCTGGAAGTTCAGAACGTCCTGCATAACCTGGATTCATAGTAATAGCTATAAAACAGTTGGGGTTAAGCTTCAGCTCAGTTCCTTCAAAGAGAAATGTTTCTTGTTTTGTCTGGATGGCTCTCTGGATGCACAGGATCTGCTGGGCCACCACAGACAGCACTTCCAGTTCGATGCGATTGAATTCATCAAAACACGCCCAGGCACCGGTGGAAGCCAAACCCTTGAAAAACTGCAGATGAAGAAAGAGAGCAACGATACTGGTACAGAGCCTTGGAAGATAGAAAAGAAACTCAAGAGTGTCATGTTGGGAGTTTAATTACACACACACATACACAAAACAGACAATTATGATAATACTAAGCCTATTTAGATCGCAGATCTGTGAGGCACTGAAGAAAAAAATTTTTTCTTGATTCTAAATAAAGCTAAATCAGAAGATCCCAATCCCATGAATTCTTGTTTCCTTCAAGTTTTAATTAGCAACTTAGTAGGATTTCATAAAGCACAGAAAATGAAATATGTAGAGACAAGGATGTAGCATCCAAGGGTAGCAGACCACAGGTGCCACATTTAAGTGTCTCTGCAAAGTAGGGACTCTACAATTTTCATCCCAAAAATAAAATACAAAATATATTTATTTTCTATTTACCTTTCCCATTGCCAGGTAATCAAGGCCATCAGAGCAGTTGAAGACAACACACTGAACAGCAAGGGCTTTAGCCAAATCTTTGGTGGTCTCTGTTTTACCTGTCCCTGCTGGACCCTCTGGTGCACCACCGAGGTTTAAATAAAAGGCTCCAATCTAAATCACAGAAATAGTTTATGGAAATTATACTCCAGCAGAGAAATGGCAGTAAATGACAGTGAGAAAAGCTGTATCTGACTTGTCAGGTTAGTTGAGGATAAACCAACACAATAATAAACACCTCTGCCAAGAGCAGGGGTGCTAAAAAGTTACCAAACTTGTACTACTCTTAGGAACAATATCATCCCTAGTGGCTCATTCTTCACTTAAGTTTAGCAACCACAGACCATCAGAAAAGCACTCTGTGTTCTCATAATCTGTACAGCAATAAAATACTGGGTGTTTTTCCTATCTGTGTTTTAAAAACCCCACATCCACAACAGAATAACCCACAAATTTTTCGGCCAGGTTGGTGAGCCGTCCAGCTTTGTTGTTACGAGTGGGTTTCATGTCCAGTATTCTACAGGCAGTTAACTCTTTGAAAACCTCATTTTAGCAGCAGTAGCAGAGTCTGACAGCAGCTGTAAGCCCTAAGAGTCTGGCTGTACGAACAGTGGCAGGAATACTCCAGCACACAGGTGCAGTCTCAGTGGTGGGGCCGTACCAGGGTGCGGTAACACCTGTCCGTGAGGGGAGTGATGACGAGGCGGGGGGAGTTTCCCAGGTATTCGTAGGCGTATTTGACGTTGCAGTTGATGATGCAAACACGGACGTTCTCAGACTGCCAATAGTATCGGAGCTGTGCAAGCCACTGGAAGTCTGTCTCACTCTGCACACCTGATGAAAGTAGGCATAAAAGACATTTTAGGTATCTGCATCTTCTGTTACAGCTAAATTTAAAGCTGCTTTGAAATTATTAGTGCTGGTGCTCATATCCAAATACAAACCCATCTTAATACTGTGCTGTTTTAGGCAGTAAAATCTGATTGGTTAACTATTTTTCATTAACTATGTGTAAAGACACATGTGAAGAAAAGTGTTTTAAGAGATAATTACCACTTTCAATCATATCCTTGATGACATCTCTAGCATGAACATCAATAGTAACCAAGGCACCCAGTGTAGTCCTTGTTTGCTTTGACAGTTTTCCTCTTACCAGCTCTACAATATCATTAAGTTGAAGTTGAAGTGTATCATAATAACCCTTTAAACCCTAGGAGAGAAAAGGTAATTTTGAAACATCACAGTTTCGAGTGTTCCAGACTTTTTCATGTTGACTAAATATTTTAGCAGCAGTTGCTTATTAACCTATTCTTTTTAATTGTCATGTTTTTGCATCAGCTTCTCTCTCATTGACAGTTGTGCATTTCTGTTGCAAAGCTACATTTTAATCTATGCTTGCTCTAAACAAGAATACTTGAATAAAGGGTACAAGTACTTGAATGAAAGGCGTAAATCACCGTACATAAATTCCTATATGTCAAATGTACTCATAGTTTTTCAAATTTTATTTTGGCTGTAGAAAAATACTTGATTAAGCAAAATAGATCAGCTGGAATGAAACATTAGGAAAGATTTAAAAAAATGTATGAATTACAGCACCTCAGGTCCACTGCGAAGAACTTCATGTACCCCACTTGTCCAGTACATCTGAGACACACACAACACGACTTGTCCCGGCCACTCCAGAACCCACCGTTTTCTCTCAGTCTCTAGATATGCCTGAAAGAGTTAAATACAGTACACACACATAGAGATGTGAATATATAATGTAATACCGAAGTATATAAGGTGATCCTATTAATATTCATTGCTAAAAAAAATACAATTGTCTATTTGCAACATCCAAATAGACTTTTAAATGCTATTTCTCCCTTAGATTTGCAATTTATTATTCAATAATTTTAAAGAATCTTGCAAGTATCTTTTCATATTACATAAATATGCACAGCTTGTTAACTTCATACAAAGAAACATTTTCTGTCTAATGATTTTCTTTTAGGAGGGAGAAAGCATTTACAAGTGTTGCATTTCTAATTTGTAACTAAAGAAACATAAATTATTTACATCAGGTGATATATCCCATAAACAGTGTTGCTGTCAAACTTTTAAAAGAATTTATATCCCCGTACCATTCTCGATCTGTCAATGACATCACGTATAGTCTTCAGCATAATGTCTTCTACTTGAATTAACCACTTCTCCACTGCACCTCGAGCTTCAGAGGTAGAAATGTTTGAAATCAGTTGTACGCGCTCGCCTTCGGAACTGCACATTCCTTTAATATCCAAATTGCGAAGGAAATCCAGCTTAGCAATGCCTTCAAAACACTTCTTCAAGTGAGGCTGAACTCTGAGAGGATCCTTAGTCTCTGACAGGATCTCCAACATTTCATCATTAGACAAGAAAAAGAAGCTAAAAGAAAAAAAAAAGAAAAAAAACACCTGCATTATCAAGCTACTTCTAAGGCTGACCTTATTCACGACAAAATAAACATTCAGTATCTGTATTTTTCAAGCAGCCCAAACTCATCCTACCGGGGAAAGAAGAGACGTTTTTTCTCAAGGTAAGCATTAAGCCCTTTCATGATTTTGTCCAGAAGCTCATTACTGGTCTGAAGCTTCTCTGATAACCCTGGCAAGGAAGTGGCAACAAGAACCTGTAACAAACACGTGCAAACTGTCAGTTAAATAAAATACTTCACAGAGTATTTTAGAGGTTAATCAAATAAAGAACAATGTGACTTTGTTCCTAGAAAGCCCAGGCAACTGATGTTGTAGTTCATTGTATATGTTCTGAAAACAAAGCATCCCCATCCAAAAGAAAAAGTGAGAGAAGCTCCTGTTTCCTGTTAGTCATGTGAATTTATCTCCCTTACCTTTGGGTCTTCAGCACAAAATTTCATAATCTCTCTCCAGAATCTATCCACAGTCTGGAACTGTCGCCCCTCTTCTGGCATCTGTTGCATAATATCCTCAGAGGAAAAAATGGGTTCCAAATAAAGCCACTGTGCTTGTACCTTCAGCCAATCATCAATATTCTCCTGAATTTGAATCAAGCGACTTTCCCATTCCTTAATAAATATTTAAAGAATGTTATCTTGATATTTCCAAGCAAATAATGTTAGAGACAATAAATTCAAGAAAGGTAGACACTGGGGTATTCTAGTTCCCAAAGAGAAAAAATAATCATCTAACAATAAACTAAATAAAATAAAAATATTTAGGAGTATTTAGGTTCTTTCACATATACAAAAGCCAAAGGAACTCAGCACTTTTACCTACTTGGAAGCAAATTTTCCAAAATGCAGTTATCACTTTAGGGCTATCAACTTTGACCAACTTAAAGGTCAAGCAATACCCAGGAGCTACCAGTGACAAATTGTGTTTCACCTCCTCACAGCAGGGAGCTCTTGCAGCTGCATTACAGCAGGAACACAAGGATTCCAGAAAGGCCACATTAATCATAGCAGAGATCCAGCCAGTCCAGTATCCTTTTCCTAAAGGGGACAGTAGCAGATACCTCTGTATCTGCTGTCTGTTGGGATAAATACTGCATAAGGACACTGAGCCTGCTTGAGCCTGAAGATTTCCTGCATAAACCAACAAAGAACTAGGAAGGGTAACTGCAAAGCAGTTTCAGCAGCTTCTCTCCTGTCACTAGGTATGGTATTAGCACCATAAAGACTGTTCTAGCCCTGAAAATACAAACAAAGGGGTGAAGTGCTCCCATCGTTTTTCTGAAGCCTGATTGAAAAACTTTCTCACAGCCATTAAGAAGTTTCATTGCTCTGGAAAAATACCTGAGTCCGGAACTAAATTACCAAATGTTCTTATTACCAGTAAGAGAAACATAATTTCCAGTTTTTAAGAAGCAAGGTTAAAGACACTAATGGAAATGGTGATTTCATAAAAGATGTGAAAAAATAACCATATTCTCTTGTTGCACTTGGATCTGAATGGAAAAGGGAACTCCAAGGCAGACATAAGATAAGTATGACTCGTATAAACTCAAAAATTCTTGCTGGAAAATCAGTGAAAGCATTTAATTCACAACTCAAACAATAAAGTTGTAATAAAAATGGTATAACTTGCACAACAGTTATCCTACAAATAAAAATAGTTGAAAAAATACTGATTGTACCTTAATTTCATTGTCAAATGGTTTAATGAAAGGTGATCCTCTCATTGTCTGAGTTTTCATAATCTGATCATCAAGAAGAGCCTGAATATCATCCACTGAAGACAGGATGTGAATACCAGTCTCACGATACACGTTTGTATTGAAGGAAATTGAATCCCAGACTTCCATCATGGTATGCATTGCTTTCTCCAGGGAAAATTCCTATTAAAAAAAAAAAAAGAGTTTGGTGTAGTCAACTGAATTGGTTTTTTCCAACTCATTAATTCCATATATAAGCTTATCTAGCTGAATAAGCTCTTTTGCTCTAACAGCACAAGTTAGTTATTACTTTTCCTCAGTATATCATTTTCTAGCACACAGAAAGCAGGACACTTGGGAAATACCAACAATGTAATATAAGATACAAATGTTTACATGAACATCATTATCTTATCATCATCATCTTATCATCTAATAGATCATCTAATCACCTAAGTCTCACCAAATCTCTTTTGTTGCCTAAGGGTAAAGACAAAATAATTCTAGTAAGTCATAAAATATTCACTAAGAGATCAGATGTCATATTGTCACTATCAAATCTCTGTGCTTACCTTGCTTGCACCCACACTTATAGCTGTAAACTCTTCCAGATAAGGGCCCAGGTTCTGCTTTAAAATTTTTCTCAGGGTAGTTCCAGCATCTGGGGTTAAATCATATCCTACTATATTTGACATCCGCTCCCAATGACGATCCCTCATGCCAGGGTTACAAAAGACAGTCACAGTGGGAATATTCTCCTAATTCCAAAAAGACATTTATAAGGTAAAAATTGTCATATGAACAATTTCTTAACTTTTTAATAATCTCTGATGTGCATTTAAAATTCTGCTGTAGTAGTTGATGACATGAGAATCTTTTCTGAAAAGTGCAGATTGCTCCATTCAGTTATCCACTCCATTTCTAAATAATTATATTAGTTACTGAAGAGGAAGTATACAACTATTAAGCATAGCCTTAGAATAAAAGAGAAAATGAATAGGTTTTCAGCTATATTATAGTAAATTTTATTTTCATAAACATAACACAGTTATTTCAAAATTTCCAACTACATCCTTAAATGTTCCTTTACACCCCAAAATTACTTTTCTCCTGTATGTGTTCACTCATTAACAATTCATAGTCCTAAAACTACAAAAAACCCCAAATCAATTTTATTAAAATGAATGGGACAGTACAATCTGGAAATGGTGATTCAGAGTGTGCTCTATCTTTCTCTCTCTCTCTCTCTCTCTCTCTCTGTCTAATAGTGTGTGTCTAACACTGCATCATCTACCTGTACTGAGAACTGAATTTAGCATTTGTCCCTCAGCATCAGATATCAATATCCCTCACTTTTTCTTACCTTAAAGTCTTTAACCTGCTCTAGAACTGAGGAACACATTGTAAGAGTTGTATTAGCCTTTATTGCTTTTACTGTCTTCACTTCTTCTTTGGGTCGTGGTGCCTTTTTCCTGTCCTGTGGCATTTTCTTCCTTTGTTGGAAAAGTTTTGTCACTTTATATAGCTCTCTATAAAACTCATCCAGCTCAGCCTCCATGCTTTCCCCATTTAGTTCCAAAAAGGTACCATCCATCCATCTGAGAAAAAATACAGGGTTAGAAAACAGAATAACAGATGCATCCCACAAATACCTAACACTTTGTTTTGCAATACAAACAAGGTGTACATTAATAGCTATTCAAATTAAAGCAAAGGTCTTCTTTCCAATTATTGTCATTCTGTGCAAAGTTCTAATACACAGCTAAATCACATTCTTCTGTGTATTTGTGCAGTTCTCTCAAGTCAGTCACATACTGAAACTGAGTAACTGCATGAACTGAGAAATACTTAAATTAACCTCTGGATAGAGACCAACACATGACATTTAAAAATACACTAGGTCTTGTATTTTCAAAATTCGACATGAACAGGAGCAGCATGAGCATTTTCCTCACTCTCCCTGATTAGAGTTGAATTACCTTTTTTCTGTTCGCTGCCATTTCAGTATAAGATTAAAGAGTTTCTGATATGGCTCTATCTCAGCTTTTATGTTGTTGAGGACTGGGAAGTCACTCGGTTTCCATCCAAGCAGAATCTCTTCATTGTTAATAAGAGCTACTGTTTCTTCAGTGTCCTGTATGGTTTTCTGTAATGTCCTCACATCAGCCACATACTGAAATCAAATAACATATGACTGCAGAGAGAACTGAATTATGTTCTGAACAGCTATCAAAATAAGATATCAAAATATAATGTCTTCATATTAAAAGTTTAGAAAATGTGTGTTGAAAAAACTTTTCTACCTATCCTTGAGTAGATAAACCATGAAGAACCCAGAGGAACATGATGAAAAGTAAAGCTGGTTTTCTCATTACTGAATTTTATAGTATTTTCAAAATATTTGAGCTTTAAAACTCACTGTTCTGGGAGGCAGGCACACACTTTTTTTTTTTCAGTTCCTTTCAATACATCAAAAATAGGAAAGAAAATTCTAATTCCACTCAAGTTATTTGCAAACAATATCACTATGGCCAGAATTCCATGTTTATACAAAAGTGTATTAACCACACGAAACATTTCTACCCTTTTTAAACTGCTAATCAAACCTGTTGCATGCAATCCAGTTCTGAATATTCTTCTAATTCTGCCACAGAATCTGCCAGCTTGTCTAATTCCTCTCGCAGGTTCTCACATTTCTGTAGTAGTTCTTGCTCTCTGACACTTTTAGACTGTTCAATCAGCTACAAAACAATTGATTTTTTAAAAATTAATAAAAAAGCATTGCAAAGGTGTATAATCCTTTCAGTGCTTAACATACACAGTACCATCTAAACACTTAGTGCAAAGGCCTCCTTCAGCAATCAGACAAAAGATGGGAAAGTATTGCTGAAAAAAAGAGAGAGAGAGATTCTCATCTTTGGGATTCAGTATTTTACTGCTGAAAAGAACACCTACAGTTGTTGACAGCCAGAGCTATCCCACATGTACCTACTGCTGCAAAAGGCAGGAATTCTAGAACACCAGAGCAGTGTAAAGCACTGGGTCTGCACACAGAAGGGTTAGTTTTAAGGTACCAAACAAGAAATCAATCAAGGGAGAGGAGATCTCCTAGGACAAGGGCACCCACCACCAGGCAAAATTGTGGAGGCAGACAAACAGAACTTCTCCAAAGGAGGAACCACTCTTTTCCTTTTGCATTAGAATAACTCATATCTGAGAGTGTAAAATGCAAATATAGAGACTTGATGTGAAGCTGTTCTTGTCTTCAAACTCTAGCACATTCCAGGCACTCAGTCTTATTAAAGGCCTGGCAGTTACATTTTCAGTACTAGACAAGTGCAGTGTAGTGAATTCTCACCTTCCTATGTATTACCTGGCACTGACCACAAACAAACCAGGATAATAAGATTCACTGAAGCTTTTCAGCTACAGTGACAGTTGTAAAATTTATCCACAAAAAGTCCTCTGTCATGAGAAAAATCTGGAAGTATGTTATTTACGCATGTTTAAATTAGTATGGTTCATGTTATATGTGTATATACATTTAGTGTGCTGAGGAAATAAATAGCTATAGTAAAGTGAGAAGTCTAAAAAGCCAAAATATACCATCAACTAAGAAAATTCTCTTACATCATCATGCTCTTTAAAAATGAGGTTCATCTTCTTCGGCCACAATATAGCTGTTGAAATTAGTTCAATGTCCTCAGGAGCAAATAAAAAAACATCTAACAAGTAACTCATTTGCCGACAGCACTCCTATTAAAAGAGATTTTATAAAGCTTTAGGTATCATAGGTCTGTTTAAAATATAGAGCAGGACAATATTATCTTCAAAGATAAAATAGAAACCTATATTTCATGAACTTTCAGAATTCGGAGCTATTTCAGCAATATTAACTTCTGAAATATATGTATGAAGTGATTCAAATCCCTGTCTTGTTCATGAGCTTGTTTCTCTAGATGCGACTCCTGTGGTCTGTAAGTCTACGTGCAAAAATCCCAATATTATTAAAAATACACAAAATATAGTTTTTGCAGATATAAACATAACATGCTATATAGACCCATTATAATAGACCCATCACCATAACAGAAAATCTGACACATATTCACACACACAAACTGCTGCTAATGTAACATCACCTTTATTCTGCTCAAAGAGTAAACTGGGGGTTGTGTGTTCAAAATCATGACTGTTTTTACACATAAAATACTCTTTATGCTTGTCTGTTACATTTTCACAAATAGATTTTTAAGCAGCCCTGAAGTCTCCAGGTACAAACAATAAACTGTGTGCCTTACAATCTGCCATGATTTATTAAAAGCTACATTTCCTCCCTGGCATGCAGAACATATGGGAATAGGAATAAGAAGCAAAGGCATATGGCAAAGAATGAGCTGGACTTCTCACTTCTGTCTGAAGTACAAGTGAGATTATTCATACATGCAGCATGATCAGAAGACTCTGCACTCCAGAAGGAATTCTCTGTTTGTATAGGCCAGCATGTCTGACAAAAGGTTAAAACCAAAAGGATAGCCACTTACCTTGCTCCTTAGCACCAGGTCTGGAATATCTTTGGTTTTGACCCGCTTTGTGTAATCTATTGTTTCCACCATTTCTTCTGTTGTCTCAGGAACTTTTAATGCACGTTCCTTAATGGTTTCAAATTCACTGCATATCCTGTAGATTTGTTTTACATAAAGTAATTTTAAGATTTTACTTTGACTGGCTTCAAGCTCAGCTTTAATGGAAGTAAAAGTTTAAATCATTTCTTTAAGTATTGCCCATGCACAAACTCCTTTATGAAACTTAAAAGAGAAGATGACCAAGTCAGTTTAGAAAAATACTGTTTCCTGACTTGCAATAATTGCTTTGTTTGGGTTTTGGGGTGTTCTTCTGCAATAGATACTTTGGTTACCTATTACTAGGAAATGAACTTCAGAAAAATATTGTTAGTGTACACACAGACACTTTCCTAGTAAATATTTTGTCATTTTGGTAATGTGGAATCACTGTAAGACTTGATCAAAACATTTCATAAGAGTTTACTCCTTACTTAACCAATACTTGTAAATTAACCTCCTAAATTGACATCCTATGATAAGTTCACCCATGTAGAGGATGAAGGGAAGGTAGGGGATATAATTTTTCTTGATTTTAGTAAGGCTTTTGATATTGCCCCTCACAGAATCCTTCTAGACAAGTTATCCAGCTGTGGGGTGAGTGGGTTCATGGTGTGCGAACTGACCAAAGTGGTAAATGGGGCCAAATCTGGCTGGCAACTGTTACCAGCAGTGCTCGTCAGGGTGCACTTCTGGGGCCAGTTCTGTTCAATATATTTACCAGTGATTTGGCTGCAGGAGTTCAATGCACCATTAACAAGTTTGTTGATCATACAACTGCAAGGTGCTGCTGACTCTCATGAAGGATGAGAGTCATTGCAGAGGCAATCTAGAAAGATGGATGCATTTCACTGTGATCAGTGGGGTGAAATGTAACGAGTTGAAATGGCAGTTTCTGCACTGAGGATGGAGTAATAAATGGGGAGGAGTGGCCTGAGAGCAGCCCTGGGAGGTATCTGTCATGAAATAAGAGAGTCTAACTACTCTCTCCTTTGACAGTGCAGTAGTACTGTAGTTCACACTAAAAAATCCAGAATGGTAGTGAAGTCCTTTGATCTTTTAGCTCCTCCATGATCCAAGTCCATTAATATGTTCTCCTACCCATTTTTGAGATTAAAACATTAGAAAAATACAAAAGCTGGTGCAAGTTGCATGAGATCATTATTTAGCCAAGAACCTTCATTAAACAAAAGTATGGTATATTTACATTTCTTCTACATGTTTCTACTATGCATTTAACACATACAGCATCCACAAGCAGAAAAATTCTACTTACTTTTCATTTTCCTCTCTGTAATTTGCAACAATTTTGTCCATTAGCATTTTTGCAAAGCTGTTTGCACGGTTAGCCAAACCTTGCTTTAAATCCTCACAATGCAAACAGATCATAGGGAAATAAAACGTCTCTGGCAAACTCAAGATTTCCTTCTTGAGGGTGAAGAATTCATCTATGAACTTCAGAAAAACACGAGGCTTTACACTTCAGAGCTGTTGTTTAAATACTTGGCTACATGAGTAGGTATTAGACAGTGAAGAAAATAAATAATATTTTCTTCTATTTACCACAGATTTTTTTAGGGTAAAAATCACTTATGGTGTACATTTATAGGCAGTCCACATTACTTTTAGATAAAGGCTAAGCACCTATTATTCTCTGTTCCCCTTTTTATGATTACTGTATATATAGCAAAAATGTCGAATCAAAACTTACAGTGGTATATTCATCAAAACTGTGTTGTTCTGCTTCAAATCTTTCTATCTGTGCCTCTGCAGTTCCATCTACAAGCCAGCCATACTTTTCAACTACAATTCAATTACAACGTATTAATATTATTAAAAATGACAGCAAGTTACTCATTACAAAGAAGTGACACAGTTCCTTGCACACTCTTCTATCACTCACCGTAGCTTTCAAAATGTTCCTTTGGGCCTTCTAAGTTGTCTCTGATGGATTTTTTCAGAGTGGATGTGGCCCATTGTATGACATGATTAGGAAGCTCAGCATTCACAGTTGCAGTGCCCCCTGTTAGCCAAGAACGGATCGTGGGGACGTTCTAATGGAAGGGCAAGTTTTGATTATTTACATTTTAAAAAGCAATGCAAGGGCACATATGTTTGAAAAGTAAGTTGTAATCTGCAGAAGATGCTATCAGAAAAGTATGAGACCCTAATCATGATCAAGGTGCCTCTTACACATGTAGAATGACACTTCTCGATGTAAAAAGATGAACAGGAAATGTGAAAAAGGGAAAAAAACCTAAACCAACTATCCAAGCTTACATGCAATTAAATTATAACATATATATACAAATACACAAAACTAAGCCCAAAACACTTCTCTGAAAGTACCATTACATATGACTGAAGAACACTACTCAGTTCACAGGGATACATCCAAAGTCCCCAGGAAGGATCTCTTCCCTGGAGTCACAGACAGGTTCCTGAGACATCAATCTATCAATATGGTATGGATTAGCTTTTAGAGATTTGAAGAGTTTCTTTTTCTTGAAGACAAAAGGAATATCAACACTAATTTTCCTTGTCTTTTTCTGGGGATCTTGACCATTAATGCAAATTTACTGTAAATCATCACACATATAATTAAGGTTATTATCATTGCAGATCCAAACAGCAGGCTGAAACAATCAGTGGTACATGCACCAATTTTTTATGAACAAGGAATTACAAAATGAGTTTCAGAGTCTGGAGTGCTGCTGGGCACCAAGATTCATGATGTGACCTGTAGAATGCTTATGGAAAATAAATAGCACCAGTTGCACTCTGCTCCCATTGCCCTTGTAGTCAGATTCCTAAATCACTAATATTTTAATGTATTCAGCAACTTAACAACTACATACTTAAATAAAGATAAAAGCACACCTGGAGAGTCTCTCCTATACAATCTACTACAAACAAAACTGATTCTTCTAAGTCTTTAAAGCTTGGATAAAACTCAATATTATTTTCTTCAAGAGTCAAATCCATCTTAAATAAAGGCAGACGACTTCTGTCTTCAGGATCAAAAAGTTTCACAAAAGCTTCAGTGGTTCGTCCCAGTAATTCTTTCAGCTAGGTAATAACACAGATCACCTATTAGTTGACAGAACAAAGGCCCACCCCATTTTCCATTCATGCAGTAAGACAGGATTTCCATTTATTTTAGTACTTCTGGTCTGATTCATGGATAACTGAAACAGTGTGACTTTAATAACTCCAGTGGCTATTATCCCAACCCTTCAAGGATGTAAACCAATGAACAAGTAAATATTTCAGTAAAGCCGATGTGCTTTTCTTTTGCTACAACATTAAGTCTATTACTAATAAATGCTTTAAGTAAAAATGAAATATCTGGAAAGCATTTTCCTCTGACATTTTATAAATTACAATTATTTGATTAGACTATTGTTCCATTATTTTTCTACAAAGTTAGTAGTGGTTTAATCCCATTAAGGTTATAATGGAGAAGAAAGTTATTTACCTGATTAGACATAAGCATAGCCACACAGTTATAGAAAGAGTCAACCTGATCCAGCTTTACACCATCCAAGGCCTCCTTCTGAGTAAAGAGGTTGACAACTCTTTGATACCACGTACTCATTATGTCCTCTTCTGCTTTTGAACAGCTCAGAGATGCATCAGTTCTGAAAGATCTGTAGTCAGTAGGTCCTTTTGATCTAGAAAAGAAAGTTACAGGCAACTTTATAAACAAAATTAAAAAAAAAAAACACAAACGTGGAGTAAAGTAACAATAGTAAATTCTGTATTACAAACCCATTCTTTGTTTTAGCAGAAAGCACAGTGGGAACCTAAACATCATTTCAATAGACTACGGGAAGTAAAAAAATACCCCAAAGTCTGGGAAATACAGAAGAGCTACCTGAAAAAATAATGAGGAAAATATAGTGAAAATTATCTTTTTGAAAACAGTGAAAACTTGAAGTTCCAAGATTAAACATAAAATCCAACTGATGAAAATCAGGAAGAAATCTGATCTTCAAGGTTAGCATGAGAAGTTGATTTTTTAAATGCTACTTTAAACAGATTTCTCTGGGGATCACAGCATTAGGAATAAGTAAATACTGAGGAGACCTTTACAGAATCAAAGGTAAAATATAAATCTAAAGGGCTGATACTAACAGTAACTTAAGCATTGATAAAATGTGTAACAGAAAGAGGAAAAGTCATACGTGTCATAACACAAAGTAATTTACTCAGAGTACATTCAATGACACAAAGAAATTTGTTATATAAACTCCCCTATGATAAATAATAGAATTGAACAAACTCATCTTTGCCAGTTTCTAAAACCTATATGGGTTAATAATTCAGCAGAACAGATTTTACCTGGAACCAGAGAAATCCACTACAAGGAAGGAAGAGAATGCTGCATAACCAAAATCCAGCAGAGTTTTCATTGTGGGGTGGACAGTGTGCAAGGTGGAAAGGATTTGATTTTTTGCTTTGACAAAGCTCTTATGCCACGAACTAGAAAAATCCAGGCCTCTGAAAAAAACCACCAAAACCCAACCAAAACAAATAAACAAAATTTAAGAGTTCAAGAAATAGTTGAATATTCTCATATATAAAAAGTAGTATTAAAAAGCTTATTCCCTAACACAAATAGTTCTTTAAATGCCACTATGTAAATATCCTCACTGTGACACAGTGGAAGTTATAAAGATCCTGTCTGATCAAATGTGTTTTATCCTCATGGTATTTTCACACCACCTGCTCTTCCAGAAGTTCTTTAGATGTAAACTCCTAACTTCACCACCTGCTATCAGGAAGCCTTTGTATCATTACCTTGAGAGCACACGTTCTGATGCTCCAGCAAATTGCACAGTTCAGGTATTTACACTCTACCCAAATTCCTCTTCTGTTTTGGCAGAGCATACTGGGTTTGCCTTTGGTCTGAAGGTTTAATCTCATAACACCAAAGTCCCAAGAACCCTTGGCATTACAGGCAGTTGCAGCATGGCAAAGCAGTGTGCAGTGCTGCTGTCTGCCAGAGAACTGCCCTGTGCACACACACACCCCATTCCAGAGGCAGTTGCAATCTGACTTGAGCGTCTGGGCACTCGCAGCCAGAAGTTTAATTTGCAAATATTAGTGCTGCTCTGTGTAACTGTAACAACAGTAATAAAACACTGTCAGTGCTGAAACTTTGTGGAGCATTCATACAAGAGGTGTTGAAACACAAGATCCTCTCCAAATAGAAAATTTGTCAGATTAAGGTACTCCAGAATTAACAATGTGCCCTAACTCTATCCACGCAGCTCAACAAGAATTTCACTCATGCAACTCAGTGTGTTTTGCCCATGCTAACTTAGTCCACTCACAGGGGCAACAAAGGCAAAGGTGCCTCCTCTTCCTCTTCAAGTCCTTCTACATCTGGTTTAATAAGAGCTCTTCGCACTAAGAAAAAAACCCAAAAAACATGAACCTTAGAAGAAAATGATGCCATATTCAACAGGCCCTGCAATTTCTTGGTCTTTCTCCAGGCTGAACCAAGCACACAGGAGGATGAAAACTGTGTCACCCTAGTCTTCAAAATACTTTCTCCCTAAGGTAACTCAAAATCTCTCCTTCTGCTAAATATCTGTACAGATTCAGGTGGCATAACTCCAGTTCTGTCCCCTGTTCGTGAAGGTTTTTGGTTCGTGTTTAAATAATTAAATACTTTGTTAGGCAATTTCTTCTCTGAGGGATGGTCAGTAGTGGGATCAGGCTGCCCAGGGAAGTGGTCTCATGGCACCAGGATGTTCAAGGAGCATCTGGACAGTGCTCTTAGTCGTATGGTTTAGTTTTAGGCAGTCCTGCATGGAGTAGGGAGTCAGATTCTGGTTCTTATGGGCCCCTTCCACACTGAGATATTCCATGACTACAAGAATTTATGGCAACTTTGTTTAACAAAATTACAGTGAGATACTATAACTATCCCACTGATGACACTACAAAGAACTTAGTCCCATGATAAATTATGTATTTTTAATCTGCATTTTTAAAAATATCAGCCATCCACTAAAAATATTGACAAAATTTGGCTCGTTTTCAGACTTCAGATACTATAAATATAAATAAAAAAGAAATTAATATGTAATTTCAAGGGAAAATACTTAATATTCCAGTTCATGAACCTTTTTAAAAGGTTTAAAAACTGAAGCGAGTTTCAGTGATATCTGAAAACAGTAATTATGTTTGCAGATTTTTATTGCAAGCTTCCTCATGCATCAAAGCTACCATAAAAAAACTTATGGATGTGTTCGTGAATGAACAGCTTAAAAAATGCTTCTGTTCCTGAAGAAAGAGAAAGAATCATTAGTACAGAAAAAGTTTCTACTTTTTTTAGCAGCAAACAGCGATACATTCTTGCAGCAAATTAACTAAACAGGTTAAAGACTTAATGAAATAGTGTCATCAGCAGTCAACCTTTCTGACATGAAGTCTACAGCTGCCTGTCTTTGCTTGAACTGTACCTTCAGCTGGTTAACTTTTTCCTGGTCCAATAAAATAAGCAAGTTCTGCCTTAAGCATCACAGTCAACACACATTTGATGAGGCAGAGAAAGATAAATCATTAGTTAATTACCAAGATCACGCCTGGCTGAAAGAACAAACTAGAAAAAATATTTTCAGTGAGAGAACATGGAACAGCTTGTAATATATATACCAACATTAAGTACTGAGTAATTTGTGATACTTACACACACATCTTTTCATGCTCTTTTCATAATCCCTTACTATCTCCCCTAAGAGCTCTTGAGTGAGCAGCTCTCTATCTTTGCCCTCCATAAGCGACCGTGGCACCAGGGCAAGCATGGACCTGAGCCACTGCTGCTGGATGGGAACCACGGGATTGCTCTGCACACGTTGCTTCATGTAGAGGTAATCTGCCTGAAAGGACAGTATTGTCAGAGCTCTCATAATTGGCTATGTAAATATTTTTGCATTAGGCTTGACAAAAGTCTCTTTTTATTCACAGCTTTTTATCCTTAAGGGTGGAGACTTAATCTAATCTTTCCAGGATTCACTGACTAATGCACTGAAAGCTACTCTGTGGTTGGTAAAAGGGTCTCTCTGTCTCAGTGTTTAAATACAAAATACTGTACTTGTTAGTATGGCATTTTCCTTGATTCTCTGCTGAAGTTTATGGCTGACAATAAAGCAGTTCAAGGTTAAGGTTATTGTTCTTCAGACAAACATTTATCTGTCAAAAAAGTGGGGACAAACATTCCCCACAAGGGGAGTGGGTCTTGGCCAAAGAAATAGGTATTTATGATCTTGATTGACAACTTTGTTATATATAAAAAAAGGGATCCGAATCTCTACATCTACAGAACAAGTTTACCTAACATAAGCTAGGAAAAATTGGTTTTACCTTAAGCTACTTAATATTTCAATACTGATTTGGTTTTCCAGTTGCTCTCAGAGACTAAGTTTTACTTTAAAAGCTATGCACAAATTTCAGGATTAGTGCCCATTCTTCAAATCAGGAGAATGATGTCAAAGACTACTTTTTGAACAGGCTAAGGTACAATCTCTGACCTCAACTTAAAAAGTCCTGAAGCCTGTTAGATTTTTTTCCTAACTAATGAACTTTAACTAAGGCTGAATTAACTACTGATAGACACGCTTTCTGTAACAGAAAAATACTTTTCTTCTACTGGACCACAAGACAAGACTCCTATTTTCCTCCCATACCATTTTTCCCCACCAAGACTTCCTTTTCCTGTTTAATCACCCTTGATTCCATGTAACATACTCTACCCTCTGAATAGAGATCATTCACTCTCCTACTCCAAAAAAAGCAGACAAAACAATTTAACTCACTCTTTGTTGGTCTTCCTCATTGTTCACCTGTATAAAAAACAAACAGAAAATTGTTATGTATTCAGAACATACAAACAAACAAAAACATCCGAAATATAAAATATAAGAAGTATTATTTCTAAACAGAGACTTTATTCTGTAGGTATATGTGTCATTTCAATGGGATTACCTGAGTATATAAATATGTTTATGAACTACTAAGGATCGAGATTACTATCTTTACTTAAATTCTGAGAAGTAAAATAAGTGCCCCGATAAAAAAGTACTAAATAGGTGACACTTAAAATATTAAAGAAACACTTTCTCACAATGGAAGGCAGTTCTGGAATAGGAGGTTCAGGATCTCTGTGGGATGTTTCTTCCATGGTTTTGTCATAGACTTTAAGAGCTCGATCAATTCTAAAGTAAAACAGAAATGCAGAAAAACTACAAAGAACATATTAAAAATAATGCTAATATTTTAATCAATGCAACCTGGGTTTTAATGATCTTTGATCCCTAAATCTCGCTGTAATTATATTAAACAAACACCATAATTATTTGTCAGATGTCAAATGTGCAATGTCTCTTTCTTGTGAATTTCAATGTCATGAATTACATGAAACTCACAGTATCTGATCAATCATCTCTTGCTGCTCATGGCTTCTTCGGTGCGTCAACAGTTTTTTCTGTGATGCTGACAGATCAGTTGTGACTGATGAAGGTAAAACAATTGGGCGAAACAAAGTTCTCAAAGTCCGTTTCTTGGGAGGTTCTTCATCTGAGTGCTCCATCTAAAACCATAACACAACCAAGATTCTACAATACAATCCTGTCCAGAAAGTGGTTTAACAGATGCATATATCAGGTTGAATGGACATGAGATATAAAATTGCGTCAACTCAGGGATTTCCATAGTCTAGATATGACAGCTGAGCCCTCAGAAAACAGAAAAGTCTAATGTATAGTCTAAAACCAGCAAAGTTCAACAGTACACAAAAAAGCCTGAGGTACTAGAAAAACACATCAGTTTATTAACTCCAGATTAGTACATTGCATAAAACTGAAAATTTCTAGTACAAATCTCTGACATTACTTATTTATCAGCTGTACATCACGCAGAAGACACCAGGAAAGGGGTCGGTTAAACCCCCATCAGACTGCCCCAGGCTCACCCTGCCTGATGTAGGCACATTGTCTGTTCTGAGGGGGGATATGGGATTCAAGCTAAGAAGGTGGGAATTTTGGTGAAGACTAGTGGGTAGCTGGGCTGTGCAACAGAAAAGTGGAGACAGGTGTGGGTTTGAAATAAGAATCCTAGCCTGGGGGTGAGGTGAAAGTGTGAAGCAAATAATTGGATTTACACGGTTAAAGGTAGTTGGAACCCAAAGTTTGATAATCGCCTTGTATAAAATAGATATATATAAAAAGGAAATAAAGATTAAAAAAAAGCAAACCTTGTTGTGCGACTGGGCTCGGGTTCAGCTAAAGACCACCCTCCTACAGCGGCTTAAGCGGCTGAGTATGGCTATCCCGAAAGATTGACAGTCCGGTTCCCCTGGAAACACGATGCACAAACTCAGAACCGCAGTTCAGCAGGGGAGAGCAGAAAGCCAAAGCTACCTCCTAAATCAGCAGTATGCCTTAGAAACGCACTAAAACGGGGGTGGTGGACACAAAGCTGCCCCTACCCCTGCCCCACGGAGCGTTCCCCGCCGCCCTCGGCTCTCCCTCAGCCCCGGCTCGAGACAACAGCGCGGTTGCCCCGGAGCCGAGGGCGGGCGGCAGGGCCGGGCCGGGCGGGGCTCTCCCTTGCCCAGGATATCAATGCCTCTCGTGATTTAAAAAAAAAAAAAAATTAGAAGCAAGGACTTGGAAAAGCCTTACCTTGGCTGTTCCGGTCTGCCGGACACAGCCCGAAAGAGTCAGCGAGTCTCTGTGCCCCGGTCCCTGCCTGCACCACGCAGATAAAAACCTCCGTGTTCGAGATCATAGCACGAATGCCTGGGGAAGTAAAATTATAATACCCTCAGGCATCAGGTGGCTGTTGCTAAGCTTCTGCTTTTTGTACAACTATAAATGGCAATGTGAAGAAATCCTAGAGGTTTGCTACCCACTTGCCCATATTTAACAAAGAGGCTTTAAACCCCCAGTTTTGTGCCTGTGGGCAGAGCCCGGCGCGCAGCGATTGCGGGAGCAGAGAGAGGGAACCTGAGGTCCGCTTTCCAAAGTCCCGGGCACCCTCCCAGCATGGGATTTCACAGCCCAGGGACTGCTCAGCTTGAGGTGTCAAACCAGACACGAAGTGTGCCCTCGCAAACAGGAAACAAACCCAAAATCTTGATGCTAAAGGATTGATAAGTTTGCACTGGGGCGTTACGACGGAGAGCCGCCCCCGCCTCGGACACCTGTTGGCCGTGATGGGAAGGGACTGCGCTGCTGAGGGAACGGAACCCGGCGATTCTGCGGGCGGCCCCCCTCACACTGTGCCGGGCGGGTTAACGGCGGGCAGGGCGGCGCGGGACCCCGGAGCGAGCGGGCAGCGCTGGGCGGTCCCCCTGATCGGGCACCGCTGGGCGGGACCGCCCTCGTGGCCCCGGGAGGCAGCACCGCCCTCACGGCCCGCCCCTCCCTCACGGCCCGCCCCTCCCTCACGGCCCGCCCCTCCCTCACAGCCCGGCCCCGCGGCGCGCGCAGTGACGGTGCGGCCCCGCCCCCTCGCGGCGGTTCCGGCCGCGCCCCACGGAAGCCGCAGCGCCGCCGGGTCCATGTGGCGCCGGCTCCGCTCCGCCCTCCGGAGCCTCCGCGGCTCCCCCGCCGTGCCCCCGCCCGGCGGCGGCGGTGGCGGAGCCGCCGCCATGGAGCGCGCCGTGGTGCGCTGCGTGCCGTCCGAGCCCAAGCTGAGCCTGCGGTTCGTGCTGCCCGACGGCAGCGCCCGGCACATGCAGCGCGACCAGGCGGAGCCGCTGGGGCGGGCGCTGGCGCGGATCGCCACCAACGCCGCCAAGGGCCACGGCAAGGCGGGCAAGAAGAGCAAGAAGGCGCGGGCGGAGGAGGGCGCGGACGGCGGGGAGGCGGCGGCGGCGCCGGCCGTGCGGTTGTTCTCCCGCGACGGCGCGGCCGTGTCCGAGGAGGTGCCGAACGCGGCCGCCTGGCAGGACGGGGCCGTGCTGCACATCGGCGCCGCGCGGTACCGCGTGGAGCGCAACCCGCCCGCGCTCACCGAGCTGCGCCTGCCGCGCTCGCTGCTCGCCGGCTTCCCCGTGTGCCCCAAGGTGAGCGCCGAGTTCGCGGCCCCGCAGCACTGCCTGTTCCGCTGGTACCGCGAGCAGCGCCCCGCGGGCGGCGGGGACGCGCCGGGCGAGGCCTGGGTGGAGGCGGCCGAGGGCGAGCGAGTGTTCACGCCGTCCAACGCGCTGGTGGGGCTGCGGCTGAAGCTGCGCTGCACGCCCGGTGACGGGGAGCAGCGCTACGGGCCCGCCCGGGAGGTGGAGAGCAGCGGCCCCGTGGAGGCCGGGCCCGGCGCCTGCACCTTCGACAACCGGCACCTCTACACCAAGAAGGTCTGCGGGCAGGGCTCCGTCCGCGCCGTGTCCTACAACATCCTGGCCGACACCTACGCCCAGACGGAGTTCTCCCGCACCGTGCTCTACCCTTACTGCGCTCCCTACGCCCTGGAGATCGACTACCGCCAGAACCTGCTCAAGAAGGAGCTGGCAGGATACAGCGCCGACCTCATCTGCCTGCAAGAGGTGGATAAGTCTGTCTTCGTGGACAGCTTGGTCCCGGCCCTAGATGCTTTTGGACTCGAAGGGCTGTTCAAGATTAAGGAGAAGCAGCACGAAGGGCTGGCCACCTTCTATCGCAGGGACAAGTTCAGCCTCCTCAGCCAGCACGACATCGCGTTCAGCGAAGCGCTGCTCTCCGAGCCGCTGCACAAGGAGCTGTGCGATCAGCTGGCCAAGTACCCCCTGGTGCAGGAGAAGGTGCTGCAGAGGTCGTCTGTGCTGCAGGTACCACCTTGGACAAGCCTTCTTCCTTTCTTTCCTCTTTCTCCTCTGTCTCCAGGCAGCTGCAGCCAGGCCAGGTTTGTTAAGACTCAAACCCCAGGAGAAGGGAGGTGAGGGATTAACAATCTGAAACACTGGAACTATGGTATGTTCTCTGGGGTAATGCATAGAGCAAATGAGAACAAAACTTTGCAATGCTACCGTGTGCTTGCTAAAATCAGAGATTTAGCTCCAGTTCTGTTGCAGAAGAATTGGTGAATAGAACTTCTTTAAATCATAACCTCTCAGTTTAAGACTTACCAAAGGCTGCTTTTTCTCTTGAAGGTTTCGGTTCTTCAGTCTACAACTGATCCTTCCAGGAAGCTTTGTGTAGCAAATACCCACCTCTACTGGCACCCCAAAGGTAATTTTGGCATGTTCCAGCATGTAGGATAACTGAGTTTTTAAGGGTTTTGGCCTTCCTTGGGAGAATAGATTTCCCACCATTCCTTTGCAGCTATAACCTTTCCTTCTGGAACTGAGGGTTTCCTGCCTTACCTCTTTAGGTGAATCAAGCCAGGCTTCTAGGTCTGTTTATGTATTTATTTTCCTAATCTGCCTGGGAGTCAACAGAATACAGGTGAAAGCAAGGCAAGCCATGTTACACCCAATTCATCCAAAGAGCAGATCATAAAACAGAGATGGTTTTGCATGTGCTCGTGGCTTTCCACTCCTGATGTACCTGAAGGGGTTCTATTGGGGTACTGCCAGGAGGGCAACCAGATTGTGCTACGGAAGCTTTTAAAAGACATTCTCCTCCTTTAAGTTTTCTTTTGGGAACATTATTAGGATGGTTGCTGTGAAATGGAAAGCTGCTGGATGTTTAAGGTTCAGTCCTTTAACGTCCACATTTAAATTAAAGCTTTGTCTGCCTCTCAAAAGCTTTCATATTCACAAATTTCAAAGGCTTCTTTATTTATGAAAACTATTCTAAAATGTAAGATTGCTGTTTCAGAGCTATAACTGATATATGCTTCAATGAGCAACTTGGAAAATTGCTCCAGTGCTGTTGTGCAGAATTTGAAATAATACTTTATTCTTTTCTTAGGTGGGAACATCCGGCTCATCCAAATTGCTGTAGCCTTGTCCCACATCAAGCACGTCGCATGTGACCTGTACCCCAATATCCCAGTCATATTCTGCGGAGATTTTAACAGCACCCCATCGTCAGGCACTTACAGCTTCATCAGCAGTGGTGCCATTGCAGAAGATCACGAGGACTGGGTCTCCAATGGGGAAGAAGAAAGGTGCAGTATGGCTCTGAGCCACCCCTTCAAACTGCTGAGTGCCTGTGGAGAACCTGCTTATACAAACTATGTTGGGGGGTTTCACGGCTGTCTGGACTACATTTTCATTGACAAAAATGCTCTAGAGGTTGAACAAGTCATTCCATTGCCAACTCACGAAGAAGTAACAACCCACCAGGCTTTGCCAAGTGTTTCACATCCTTCTGATCATATAGCTCTAATATGTGACTTAAAGTGGAAATAGAGCAGCTCTGGCATGGTACTTTTGGGGTTTTTCAAACCAGAAATTTAATGTACTGCTGGGGAACTGAGGTTACACCCTGACTTGTATGCTACTAAAAGGAAAGCCAAAACTATTACTGAAAAGTTCATGTGTTTAATGGTTCTACCTAATATTATCACACTGTTCAGAATATTTGCATGATAATTTCCCCCTTTTTTATATGCTAATGGGAAAAATGTATTTAAGAACAGGGGTTTGAAAATTGGATTATCATATACCTTTTTATTGCTGTTTCTAAAGAATGAAGAATTATTTTGTTAAAACTAGAAATTTAATCTGATTTGTAATACAGTGTACAAACTGAACCCTGCTTAATTCAGAACCAAACACAGAACCCAAACCCAAATGGATTTAGCTGATTCAACCTCACTGTAATTACCGTCATGGCAATTTTTAAAAAATAAGTTCAGAAATTGTCTTGGTCACTTAGCATTACTGTATCCCAACTTGTTAGTAAATTACATGAACAAATGTACCTAATATCTTCTGAAAAGATGTTCTTAATTGTCAGTGAATAGACTTTCTGAAAACAGTCAACCATGTTAAATTCAAGTTTATAATTGATCTGGAAGCATTTTGCTTGCCCACGTAACGTTACTGAGGGTAACAGCACCTGCTGAAATTGGACTACATGTAGAGGTGGCATCAACTTGGAACATCTCTTCCTTCTGTTGTTTTGAGTCATTGGCAATAAAAGAAATACCAGAGTTTTGGACAACCAGCTCTGGATGGGAGGGAGCTTTTTATCAATATCATCTGTTTCCAGAGGAGTTAGTGTGGTGCATTAGCTGTCTGTGCCTAAATCTTGAAAAAGAAACACAAGTGACTTGCAAACCTTTTACCACAATCGTTCTATTTTGCTCCTCTCTTGCATACAAAGACAGCCTGAATTTTTAAGTGTTATTACCTGCATTTTTTTCCTTCTAGAAATAGCCTAGTTTTCCTTATTTTGTAGGAGATAATTTGG